ACAGTTGCTGAGTTGATGTAATTAAAATGTTAAGGAACACAAAAGGAAGTAAACAGAATAATAAAGTCCCAAGAAAGTAAAGGAAATAATGCAAGTGAATAGCACTGTCACAATGTCAACTAGCAAGTGGGGGTTCTCTGAGAGATGTCCGATGAGGAAGGATCCGTGTCCCGGCACTGGGTGCGCAGCTGCTTCTGGAGACCTCAAATCCAAACTGCTCCCAGACATGGGGAGAAGTGAGCCCTTCCCCACACAAGGACCCATAGTCACATTGTTCAGAGACATGCACATCAGGCCGGAGGGGTTTATGGCTGCACTTTACAATCTGCCAACCATACCATCCGTTTCCCATTCATTTTTGGTACCACTTTATTTTTTTCTCATTAAACTTTGTTTTAATGGGTCTCAAAATTCTGCAACAGATATTCGATCAAGATGTTTCCATGAGAAAGTCCTCATTTTAAAAACTAGTAACTTAAAATCTCTCTCTCTCTCTCTCTCTCTCACTCACTCACACACACACACACACACACACACACGAATGGTCCACAAAGCATTCTACCTTCCTTCTGAAAGTTTTACGATGCATTATTGTCATAACCAGTCTTTTACTATTAAATTTAAATGCCCAGTTGAGACAAACCGTTCTGAGACCGTTCTTTTGCCACTGACGAAAACTTTACTTTGTATCACGTTCCAAGTCTTTCGTAATTTCCCTCCTCTGTCCAAGGATTGCTTAGGAGGAGATTTCTCCCCTCCCAGGATTCTGCGATTTTAAGAAAACCTATCCTCCTCTTGTTATCATGGTCTAATTTTATTGCATGCTGGTCAGAGAACATGGTCTCTATGATGCTGGTTTTTTGGAATTTATTGGGGCCTCTTTTGTGGGCTAGAACGTAGATGATTTTTATCACTGTTCCAAGTTATTAAAAACAAAAAAACATGTATCCTCTTTGTGGGTAAATTCTCTCACTATGAATTTGAATACGGTATTATTCAAATCTTTAATATTTTCTCCTATTTCTATGTAATGATTAAGGTGTTGGTTTCGTCTTCACACTAGCTTTGAAATTTATCATCGATATTTTAATGTCTAAGATGGCTGTACTTTTGCTATATTTTGCTGTTCAAAGAATAAGGCCATTAACTTGATAACCTAGTATTTTTGAGTGGCCTGGTCTGAGACCACTTTTTTTAGTCTGTTATGGCTGGTTGTACAGGCAATGCACATGGTTGTACAGGCAATGCACATGGTTGTACAGGCAATGCACATGGCAAATTTTGGTGTTCGGTTGGCAATATTGAGAAGCTGTGGCTTCACTTATCTTTTCCAGCCTGTGGACGCTGTGTCCTTTGCGGGAGTCCGTGGGCTGTCTTTGGAAGAATACTTCGTTCTCACCGCTGAACAAGCAGATAATGGAACTGCCTTGATCTCGGTAAATGCTACACTAAAACATCCATCACTAAAGAGGTTAAAACTTTCACAGAATACGCCCTGGCCGGTTTGGCTCAGCGGTGAGAGCGTCGGCCCTCGGACCAAAGAGTCGCAGGTTCGATTCCATTTAAGGGCACGTACCTCGGTTGCTGTTCGTTCATGGCCCTGGTTGGGGTCGTGTGGGAGGCAACCAATCAATGTGTCTCTCTCACATCAATCTCTCTCTCTCTCTTCCCTCCCTCCCACCCTATCTGAAGTTGAAAGGAAAAATGTCCTTGGGTGAGGATTAAAAAAATAAAACTTTCACAAAATAGAGAAAGGAACTCCATACCTCTGCGCCCTGTGATGTGATTGTATAGACAAGCTTTTATCCCAAGGAATGCCGCAGTGTAAACTGTGAAGATAACATCATCATGTGTACCACAGTGCACACTGCTCACGTCTGAGAGTCCATGATGAACGTGTTTTAAAATGAACTTGAGCCCTGGCCAGTTTGGCTCAGCAGTTTGAGCCTCGGCTGCGGACCAGAGAGTCCCGGGTTTGGTTCCCGCTAGGGGCACATACCAAAAAGTAAAATAAAATAAAATGAACTTGAGCCCTGGCCGGTTTGGATCAGTAGTTAGAGCATCAGCCTGCAGACTGAACAGTTTCAGTTTTGATTCCTGGTCAAGGGCACGTACCTAGGTTGAAGGCTTGATCCCCAGCCCTGGTTGGGGTTGTGTGGGAGGCAACCAATCAATGTGTCTCTCTCACATTGATGTTCCTCTCTCTCTCCCTTCCTTCCACTCTATCTTAAAAATAAAAAATCAGCCCTGGCCAGTTTGGCTCAGTGGTTGGAGCGTTGGCTTGCGAATCAGAGAGTCCCAGGTTTGGTTCCCGCTAGGAGCACATACCAAAAATAAATAAATAGGTAGATAAATAAATAAATAAAATAAAAATATAAAATTAGTGGGAAAATATGCTTGGGTGAGGATTAAAATAAAATGAACTCAATCTGGGCTCTGATTGAGCTGCTCCTTTTACCTCTCCAGAACTTGAAGTTAAACCTAAAAGACTGAAATAAAAATAAGTAAACACTCACACTTAACATGTGTGGATGAGAAGTGTGTCCACTAGAGATGAACCAAGGTTCCTCCAGAGGTTGCACATGGAGGTCAGCCAATTCACCACAGTTCAGGGGCCGGATCACAAGCTTATAGGCTCACAAACCCGCCACCTGAGGCCTGACAGCCTTCCGAGAGTCAGCCTACCTTTCTGGGTAGACTGACATTAACTAAGCTCAAGTCTCAGGTCTATGTAACCATTTCTATCCATACAGTATCTATGTAGACATTTATTCAACCAGTATTTATTGAGCCCCCTGACGTGCCACGCTCTGTTCTAGGCAGTGGGTATGGAGCACTGAACCCTGTTCTGAGCTATTGTAGAGTGCACGTTACTAACGGCGCTGGACAAACAAATGACTCTCTGACATCCCAGCAGGTGATGATGACAGTAAAGGGAAGAAGAGGGTAGGGAGAGAGTGAGTGAGAACTCATGAAGTGGGAGCATGAGCTACTCAAGGTTGGCAGCGTGTTGGGGGAGCAGCAAGTGAAACGGCCCCGCAGTAGATTCCAACTTGGGGCGTCCCAGCAACAATGATGTTTGTCGTCAGCAGACCAGAATGCTCTTGGGTCCTGCCTCTCCATGCTGGCCTTTTATACAGAAATCCATGTCACTGTCCAGAGGGGGTTGGTGAGCCTGGGATCTGAGCAGGTGGGGTTACTGACCTGGCATCACGACCCATGGCATCAGCTGACTTAGTCTGAAGCATCCGTCTGCACTTTGGAGCCACTCCTCGTGTCCCTGGCTAAGGCTGGGATGGGCAGGACCTTGTTTCTAAATTGGGGTTGGGATCCACTGGCTCCAGCACTTGCCAACAGGGTGATACTGGCAAGTTCCCTCACCTTCTTGAAGTCTTTGTAAAGAGAGACGGTAATAGGCCCAAAATCACACAGGCAGGACCTGGATACAGGGCTTTGGACTGTGTCCTCTTGCTGCTGCCTCTTTGGCCACATCCACCCTGGTTGAAAACAAACCAGTGTGGATAGTCAGAATTAAGTCTCTGTCTTTACTACTAAGAGCATTGCCCTTTATAGCTTGAATTTGGGCCACAGCCGTGTCTCCTCACAGTGTTGCAGCAGCTCAGCTCTGCAGGGGTGACTCCCTCTACCTACCTACAACAGAGCCTTCCCACAGGCACAGCAGCCTGGCCAGAGACTCAGGGTCAACACAGGTTCTTTCTCTACTAGAAACTCTGAGACTCCAACAGGCCACGGAAGGCCATGTCCTCAGATGCTCACTACACATCTGCTTATAGCACAGGACAGAGTTCCCTCAAACTAGAGGACAACCTGACAACTCCAGGAATCACCAAATTGCTCATCTAATGAGCTAGTTCATGATTTATCGGAACACATAACCAAGTATTGATGAAGGCATTAAAAAGTGCACCAGCCCGGTTTCCCTCATTCATTTATACCTCCATTTTATTTCAGGGCATTTAATGCGGCTCTCAAGGTAATAACATCTTGCAAACACGCAGTACTTCGTTCCCATCAAAGCTGTTTTTCATACATTGCATCATTTTCTGAGCTCAGGGTCGCCCCGGGATTAGGTAGGACTGGCTTTGCTGTCTTCACTTTAAGGGCGGGGTCTTAGACGCGGAGGATGCAGCCTGTGCACGAACGGTTTCCCCCGACAGGACACCATGTGGTCCTCTCCTCCCACCCTGCACGTGGACAGGGCTCACGTCTTCCCATCCGTTTGGGGACGCCGGAGGTCGGTCTGTTCTGGTTGTCAGATGTGCTGGGGTCAGGGGCACCCGCACCACCCTCGGCCCAGGCGCCCGAGCGAGGACCTCCCGCATCAGTCCGCCTGCCCTTGTCGAGGTCGGTCACCTCCCGGCCAACCCGCAGGGCCTCCAGTGCACAAGGCACCGCCGCGTGCCTGCCCAGCAAGTCTCCCGGCGACGCCCTCACTGGGCGGACGGCGCAGCCCCGACGCGCCCGGCCTCGCGCCCTGCAGAGCGGAGGATCCGGATCTTTCGGCCAAGGGCTCGGGAGAGCCCCGGGGACAGGGCGCGTCGCGCAGGGTCCGCTCGTCCTCGGCCGCGAGCGAGCCAGCGGGGCGGCAGCAACAGTGGTGCTCGGGGCCCCGCGGCGGCGACACCTGTGGGAGCCGCCGGCTGTCCGACCTCCAGGGCGCATGCGGGTCCGCGACAAAGGGCCCGCCCCCTGCACTGGCCCGGCCCCAGGCCCCGCCCCCTGCTCTGGCCCGCCCCCTGCTCTGGCCCGCCCCAGGCCCCTCCCCCTGCTCTGGCCCGCCCCCTGCACTGGCCCGGCCCCAGCCCCGCCCCGCCGGCCCCAGGCCCGCCTCTTCCTCCGGCCTTTCTCCCCAGGGGCCCGCCTCTTCCGCCAGCCCCGCCCCTTCCGGCGCACGTGTGGACGCCAGTAGCGCTCTGCTCCCGGAGCGTCCTTGCGTCCGGTCCGCAGGTGTGGGGCCCGCCGCGGCCCGCCCTCCCGGCATGGGGGTCCCCAAGAGGAAGGCCCGGGGCGACCTGGACGGCGCGGCTGCCCTCGAGAGTGCGGCCAAACGGGCGCGCCCCGAAGAGCTCACGGGCGCGCGCTTCAAGGCCCAGCTGAGGGACCCGCAGGGCGCGGGGCCGGGTGAGGGCTGGGTGTGCGCGGGGGTCGGGTCAGCGCGGGGCCGGGTGAGGGCTGGGTGTGCGCGGGGGTCGGGTCAGCGCGGGGCCGGGTGAGGGCTGAGTGTGCGCGGGGGTCGGGTCAGCGCGGGGCCGGGTGAGGGCTGGGTGTGCGCGGGGGTCGGGTCAGCGCGGGGCCGGGTGAGGGCTGGGTGTGCGCGGGGGTCGGGTCAGCGCGGGGCCGGGTGAGGGCTGGGTGTGCGCGGGGGTCGGGTCAGCGCAGGGCCCGGTGAGCGCGGCAGGCAACACGTGCGTTTGCGGCGGCCTCCAGGCCGGGCTGTGGGACGGGTCACCGCCCCGGCTCCCAGTTTGCAGAAGGGAAACCGAGGTCCCGTGGGCGGGTGTCCAGGGCCCCCGGGCTGCCTGGGACTTGTTTGCTTGTGACAGCTCCGGGCGACCGCTCGCCGCCCTCGCCGGGGCAGTGCCCCTCGGCAAACTCTAAGGCCTTTATATCGCATTTGTTAGGAAAGTAAGTAAGCGCCCTGCTTCCCAAGTAAGGCGCGAGTCCCGGCTGCGGCAGCTCGCCCTGGCTGCAGCTGTCAGCAGGGACCCTCCATCACGCAGCCAACCGAAGCCACCAAGGGCCCAGACGGTTGACAGGCTGAACCGGTGACTGCTGGGAGCAGATGCTATACTCGCAGGTTTTGAAAAGTGTGAGGCCTGTGTAATCCGTTAGAAAGCCCGTTGGTTGTGGGGGAAACAGACGAATTTGCTACTGTGTGGAAACCCTGGCAACTGTGTCAAAATAAAACCAGGACAGTGTTTCTCCCGGGTTAAAGAAGTTATTAAATCAGCCACCAGAATAGCCTCCCTTTCCAGTTTGTCTCCCACAGATTTTGTTTTTAAATATAGGGTACCTGCAACTGCTAGGCGGTGCGGGGACGGTGATACCTGCCTTCGCACAGAATTGCATGTTGCATTCATGCATTCGCTGGTTCATTGTTTATTATCTGCCAGGGTAGAGATAAAATGGTGACTACACATCAGACAGGGCCCTGCCATTGTGAGCTCACACGTGGTCAGGTGTGGAAGGCAGATATCCATAAAATCACAGGTGAACCGTTCTGGAGCCTGCGGGCCTGTCTCTGACCTGGGAGATCCGGAAGGCTCCCTGAGGAGGTGACTTTTCAGCAGAGTTGGGACATGAGCAGGGACTGGAACTGTGGCAGGAGAAAGCATGTCTTTTTAAGCAATTGCATCCATGTGCATATTCATGGGTTGGCTCAGAGAGCTTCATGACATTCAGATGCTGCATCGAAAGGGTTTCAGAAGGGAATTTGGTTTGACGGGATGGATGGGGTGCAGGTGGGATCATCGGAAGATGTGACTCCTGTGACGCTGTTTGAATCTGGTCCCTATCTTGGATTCTCTCTCCCTTTTGATGTGTTCTCATAACTTCCTGTGATAGGATCACCTCACAGGGAACTGGAATGGATAGGTGTTAGGGGCTTGGTTTTCATCCAGGCGTTAGGGAAGGCATTTCCAGCTTATTGAGATATTGTTGACATCTATGTAAGTTTAAGGTGTACAGTGTCATGATTTGATACATGAATATGTTGTGAGATGACCACAATAAAGTTAGTGAACACCGCCATTCCCTCACATAATTACTTTTCGTGTGTGGCGATAATATTTATAACTTACTCTCCTAACAGCTTTCCGCTACATAATGCAGTACTATTACATGTAGTCACAGTGCTGTACATCAGATCCCCAGAACATACTCCTCATAGCCAAAAGTTTACACTGTGACCAGCATCTCTCCGTCTCCCCACCCCCGGCAACCTTCCTTCTGTTCAGCTTCTATGAGTTCAGCTTTTTAAGGTGCCATATATAAGTGACAACATATATTCTATGTCTTTTCTCTCTGACTTATTTCATTTAATACCCTCATGGTCTATACATGTTGCAAAAGACAGGACTTCCTTTTTTAAGGCTGAGAATATTGTACGTGTACGTGCGCGCGTGTGTGTAGATATGTATATAGATAAATATAGGCATACCACATTTCCTATATGCATTCTGATTATGCTGCTTGTATGGGGGTGGGCAGAAAAGTGCCCGGGGTTCGATTGGTGAAGACCCGAGGTGCCCGGGAGTGGATCGGTGTCGGCCTCAGGGAGGATGCTGGACGGAGGCGGGCTCTGCTCTGTGTGGACCGGTCCCCGTGCCTTCACTGGCACTAGGGAAAAGGCAGGGTCGTAACTCTGATCCCCCGTCTCCATCGCGGTCAGTGGCAGCTCCAGTCGCCTGCATGTTCCTGCCAGAAACCCCACTCTGCCCCAGGAGCGGCTGCGACGGTTTCTAGGGAGACTGTCCTTGTTAACATTTGAACATCTGTTTCAGCCTTGGAAGCGTTTGTCTCTGCCGCCAAGAAGCTGCCCCGGGAGGACGTGTACGATGTCGTGGAAGGCTACATCAAGATTTCTGTCGAGTGTGCGGAGCTTTTCCAGCTCCTGAGCGGGGCCAAGCGACCTGAAAGTGAGGTACGTCATTCCTTACCTGGCCGGGTGAAGTGAACAGACGTCCGTGCTACTGCTGTCTTCCGTGATGCAAGTTTCCAGGACACTGCCACCAGCTTTCTCCAGAAAGCAGCCTGGGCCCTGTGCTGTCGGAATGCACTCGCGTTTGCGTCATGACCTTTGAAAGCGTGTCAGTGGACAGCACCAAAGGAAGGGGTGTGGATCCTTCGCCCAGGTGCCCTGGGTTTAGTCGTGGTTTGTTTTAACAAAGGAAATAGGTAAAAATTGTGTGTCGCTGATGCAGACATATACTGAGTTGACTTGTTTTCTGGTTCCAAAGAGGCTCAAAATCGGGGATGTTTAGGACCCTGTGGCAATCTCAGGGTTACCGTGGGAAGGCTGCAGGCCTGAACATCCCCAGAGCAGTGAGGCCCAGTCGTGAACAGAAATTTCTCTCTTCGTTTCACTTGGTGTAGTCTTAAGCAATTCTCTAAGAGCTCGACTATGGGAACAAGACTAATCCCAGAGCTCTGGGCTGAGCGGCCACTGTCCTGCCTTTGGCTCAGGACCTGGGGAGGCCTCATCTGGCAGGTGACCAGCTGAGATAGGGTCTGGGGAGGAGGGAGAAACGAGAAGAGCCATAAGCATTTCGATCCTGTCTTTGCAGATGCTGTTGATATTTCAAGTTTTCGAGGCCATATTACTGCGGACAGCGAGCGACCTGTCCCATTTCCATGTAGTGGGGACCAACATCGTGAAAAAACTGCTGAATAACCACATGAAGCTCATCTGCGAGTCCCTGTACGCCGCAGGGTACAGGTGAGTGCGCCTGCCTGGCAGGACTGGCCCTGCTCTCTCAGCACCCCAGCCCTGCAGACACCTCCTCCTCCGAGCCCCAGGCTCTGCCCCCTGCCACAGGTCCCTCAGGCGATGGCTCCTCCCACCATAGCCCCTCCCACTCCTGCCCTGGAGACCCCGAGACCCTGCATTGCTTGTCCTGCCCCAACAGCCCTGGATGGCCCCTCTCCACCATCACCAACGGGCCCCCTTCCTCTGCCGTCAGGGCTTTGCTGTGTTCTCTCAGGAGGCCTTTCTGACCATCCTCCATCCACTGTCACTCCCTGCCCCTGTCGCCTGCAGAGGAAGACGCCGCTTGTGCGTGTGTTTATTCGGCTGTACCCTCGACGTGGTACTCCTGTCGGCTGTCTGCTGTCTCCCCCACTCCCCACTAGAATGCAGGGTGGATGCGGGCAGGGCCTCAGTGTCCTGCACATGCTGACTCCCCAGCACCTGAAAGAGTGGCGGTGTGGGGGTGCTCAGTGAGCCACGCATTCCGGGCGCCTGCGGAGGGGAGGTGGCCTACGGGGATGGCCTCTGTGCCCACCAAGGCAGGGCAGGTGGCTGGCCCACAGACGCGACGATGTGCTGGACAGAGAGGTTGCCATCTTTCTAGCTCACATCTTGTATCCTTGGGTCCTGCTCAGACTCGGGATTTTTATTTTATTTGAAGCTTACGTTACAATTTAAAGAGAAGAAAACACCTGCCCTTCCCGCCTGATTCCCCTTGTCCCTGTGCAGGATGGCTCGGGCCTGCCTGACCCTGATGGCCGCTATGGTAACCCAGGGCCCTGAGGCCGCCAGGGACGTCTGCAGCCATTTTGATTTGAACAAAAAGACCTTATACACTCTGGTGACCAAGAGGGATTCAAAGGTGAGCCCAGCATCTCCTGCCTCCCACGTGCTTCCTTCCCCTTCAGAGGGCGAGTGGTCTGTCCTCTCCGGTCTTGGTGCTCGCGTACCTGGGTCAGAGGCCTCTGTGGAGAGTCGTGTGCCTTGGCAGCCACTGGAGCTGGGGGGTGGGGGGTGGGGGGTGCGGGCCCTGCTCCTGGCTGCCTGGGCTGGGCGCTGCAGAGCCTGAGGGACAGGACACCTGAGGCCAGCTTACCTGGGGCTCAGCATCATACTGCCTGCCTGCCTGCCTGCCTGCGGGAAGACAGCTTGTGGGCAGCGAAGTTCTCCACGGCCTCGTGGCCTGGGCCCTGTGGGTGTCCAGTGCTCCTGCCCATGTACTTTCTGTCCACTTCGGAGGAAGCCCTTGGACGTGGAAGCCAGTGACATCAGAGAGGACGTAAATGACTTTAGTGATGCTCACACCTGCCAAGTATGTCTGGTGATGAGAAGGGGCTGGACTGTGCCGGAGAGAATGGACGTGTGGATGGTGGTGTCGGGGGACTGAACAACATTCGTAGGAGTTTCCCTTGGGTTAGGGAAGTTCTTGAGGAGAAAGCACGAGTTTGGGGACTCTGGCTGGGAGGACATCCTCCCGAGACATGTCCTGCCTTCTGAGACAGGTCCCCCTCCTGCTGCGCTCCTGAGCTCCAGCAGCCAGAAGTCGTTCTGCACCCCACCCTGAGATCAGGGAACAACCTAGCAGTCGGTTCTGCTCCCCACCCTGAGATCAGGGACAGCCAGGAGTTGGTTCTGCTGGCCGCAGGCCGACGCTCTAACCCCTGAGCCAAACTGGCCAGAGCTCTTTGCATCTTTTTAGTTTTCTGCCTCACGCCCACCCCCAGAGGAACTTATTTAAACCGTGTAAAGGGAGGGGATCATGGGTGTTTGTCATCGGCCAGAGGAAGCACTGTGAAGGACCCTGTGCCCAACAGCGGTGTCACCACGGATACTCTGGTCTATTTGAGAAAGTGTTTGGAACAGGCCGCAGCACTCGGGACGCACTCTTCCCGGGGTGACAGCCCTGTGAGGCCACGGGGTAGGAATGAGGACTGGGCACGGGCCTCTTGCTGAGACGGGGGCTGCAGGCAGTGAGCAGCTGTCTGGTGGGGGCCGAGCTGGAGGCCTGGGGTGGGCAGGGCTGTGTCTGGGAGGGGTGGGGAGGAGGGGTGTGCAGGGCTGTGTCTGGGAGGGGTGGGGAGGAGGGGTGGGCAGGGCTGTGTCTGGGAGGGGTGGGGAGGAGGGGTGTGCAGGGCTGTGTCTGGGAGGGGTGGGGAGGAGGGGTGGGCAGGGCTGTGTCTGGGAGGGGTGGGGAGGAGGGGTGGGCAGGGCTGTGTCTGGGAGGGGTGGGGAGGAGGGGTGTGCAGGGCTGTGTCTGGGAGGGCTGAGGGAGGAGGGGTGGGCAGGGCTGTGTGACAGGGTTTATTTCTCCATGTGGGAGCTGGAGCCCGGGGTCTGTTCATACAAGGTGGGTGCCGGGAGGTGGGAGCTGGAGCCCATCTCAGCCCGAATTTGTTGCTGGGGGACCAAGAGCACCTGTGCCCACTGTGCTGTGTCCATACAGGGCAGAAAGGTCTAGAAGGGCAGGTAACTGGGACCAGCATTCCAGTGGTCGAAAACCCCCAAACTGGCGGAACTAGCTGGCAAAGGACACACCTACCTGAAGTCGTCTGGGCACGTGTCAGCATCCTCCCAGCACGCTTTGACAGGGCTGCGTGGACCGCGGTGACACGCTCACTGCCCATGCGGGTCCTGGGTCTCTGTGCGATGAGGCATCTGGAGAGCTGGGGGCGGTGCTCACCATGAGCCTCCCGAGAATGGACAGTGTCCGTCATCTCGGCACCTCAGCCTGGCTCTCGGCGTGTGGCGTGGGTCAGTGGTGGGGGGTCCGGGCCAGCTGGCGGCCTGGTGGTGAGGGCATGTCCTGTGGATGCACAGGGACGCCGAGGCACATCTGTCTGGGAGTTACTGGGAGGGATGGCGGATCAGATGGCCCTGTGACCCCTGCAGTGCTGGCTGCCATTATGGCCTGGGCCCCGGTCGAGGAGGCCACTGTCCCCGGCCACGGCCATGCCTAAGGACGGGTCAGAGCGCAGTCCTGGGGGCCAGGCTGGGTTGTGGCAGGACCGCTTCTGCTTAGGTGTCTGTGGTTGGTGTGTGACCTCTAGCACACCAGACGTCACCTCCCTGCGCCTCACTGGGGACAGCGCAGTCTCTCTATCTTTGGACCCTCACAGCCGTGGGTGCACCTGTCGGCCATGAGGCTGATGCCTGGAGAGTGGTCCTTAGCTGACACGCGTGACACAGCCAGGGGAGGGCGCTCTGTCTATCGTGCTTTCATGCCCAGGGGGAGCTTGGAAGAGAAGGAAGAGGAGCGGATTGAGGGGAGCACAGAAAACCCCATGTTCCCGTAGAGACGCCCCTGGGTTTGGACGGGCGTGTGTGGATCCGCGCTCACCCTGGTCTCTGTCCCCAGGGTGTGCATGACGTCAGGCTGGCCTACATCCAGTTTGCTCTGTCCTTCCTGATCGCCGGAGACGACAGCACGGTGGTGCAGGTGCTGGAGCTGAAAGGTGGGTGTACCTGGCGACTCCGCGACGGGGGTGCGGGCGGTGAGGCTTAGGGCACGGGGTCAGAATGAACACGTGTTGCTGACACGCTGTGCGGGGCTGCCCACATCCCAGCGGAGGGTAGGTGTGAGCCTCAGGGCCGTGCAAACAGGGCGTGCCCGGTTCGTGGCCTGGGCAGCCTGGCTCCACTTGGTACCTGCGTGTGGTTACTGCGGGGCTGTGCCTGGTGTCACCAGAATGTCAGCGACAGAGCTTCCGGGAATTCCCTGGCCCACCCATGTCTCCCTCCCGCGAGGCTATGTGTGGTTTGATCTGTTGGGGCCGCCTGCCTTCCGTGCAGAGTCTGTGGGCGCAGGGGAGGCCACTCCTGTTCAGGACGGTGCCATGGTTCTCATCCACACTGCTGGGGCTGGGGTGGCAGGGCCGGGCCTCAGTTCCTGCCGGGCACTCGGCCAGGGCATCGAAACTCGTGCAGTGATTGATCCAGCAGTACCTGTCTGCTCGGGTGTCCTGAGGAAATGGTTTGGGTGTGAGGACAGGCTCCGTGGAGGGCCGTGTTTCCTCCCGTGAAGACGAGCTAACCACCCAGCAGGGCTGACTGCGCGCCTGGAGGGCAGGCCGGATAGGTGGGCGCAGCTGCTCGGGGAGGTGGGACGCGGTGCTTCCGGTGGGCTTTCCCACCACCTGCGCCGGCCTGGTCCAGCTGCAGAGCTCACCTGTGGTCTGTCTCAGCGGTAACGTGGCAGAGAACAGGCACGTCAGCGTCAGCTGTCACCTCCGCTCGGGGTTGTGCAGTCAGGGCTGACTTTTGTTTTTTAAAAGCACATTTTTATTTTATATTTTATTGATTTATTTGGGTTTTTTTTAGAGAGGGACGGGGGTGGGGGGGTAGAAACATCCTGCCTCCTGCAGGCCTCCTACTGGGGATCGAACTGGGACCTCTTGGTCCTGGGACGACAGTTCATCCCCTGAGCCGCACCGGCCAGGCCAGAGCTGGCTGTAAAGCCCATTCGTTGGGCTGTGGGTGCCCTGTGAGCACGGCCTGCCCGAGACGTGTGCGGTGTGACTGCAGCTGGTGCTGGGTCTGCCCGGGCCCGGGCTGTGGGAAACGGCGAGGGTGAGCTGTGCGGGCTCCTTCCCGGGACCCACCGGCTCCCCGAATTCTGTCTCCGGTCACTGAAAGGACCACCCTCACTTGTCGCCTCTGAGCACGTCTAAGCAAAGAGAACTGTTGGAAAACTGACCCTAACAGGTTCTCTCTGAAACCGTCAGTGGTGAGTGAAGGGTCCGAGTGAAGGGGAGGAGTGGAGGCTGAGAAGCCGGGAGCCCTGTGGCCTGGACAGCGGTCTCCCTGCGTCAGCAGGTGGTTCTCCTCTCGGAGAAGACTCAGCTCCAAACAGGGGCGCGAGGCAGCGTCTGCTGTCCCGCGTGGGGAGTGACATTCATTTTCCCACATTCGGAATGTGCTCAAACGTAATGCTTTGAATGTTTACTTTCAGAATTTATTCCGTGCATCTTCGCCTCAGGCGTAAAGGAGGATAGGATTTCCACCGTCAACATTTTGTTGTCCACGCTGAGAACAAAGGTGTGTGCTGGCTGCGCGGGTCTGCCCAGTGTCGGCAGGACTCTGCCCCTCCTCCGCTCTGTGCTCACAGGGCCTGAGCGCCACGCCCTGGGCAGGGGCTAAGTTGTCACACGGAGGATGGAATGATGCCCAGCCCTCCAAGGGATGTTTGAGCAGAATCCCTGACGATGGGGGGCTCATGCTGTGAGCAGGAGCGGGCACAGGCTGTGTGCACGGGGCTCCCAGAGGCCAGGAGTCCCCAACACAGACACGTGTGTCCTCAGGGTGGGGCCACGGCTCTGTTGGGTTTTTCTTTCATCTTGTTTCCTTTTTTGGGCCAAATATTTTCTCATAAGCCTACATTATTTTTATAGTGCTCCCCCCCCCCAAACCACACTATTTTACAAGTGGAATCTCTTGAAATTGCTTTGTCTCGCTGTTTTCAGGTGGTTCACAGTAAAAACATCACCAAAACCCAGAAGGTGCGTTTCTTCACCGGGCAGCTGCTGACCCACATAGCGTCTCTGTACAGCTGGGACGGGGCGGTCGACGTGGACCTGGGAGACACCCAGGTACAGTGGCTGCCGTCGGCCCCGTGACCCATGAGCCTCGCAGCAGACGCTGGAGACGAGCATGCGTCTGCCTCCCCTCCTGGCCGTGGCCTTCCCGTGGTCGTGTTAGCTTTCCCGTTCGATGCGACAGGACTTCGGCGTTCTTTCTTGTACAGGGAGACTTCTTCCACTCTGCAGTACTGGGATACTAAACTTTTTCTTTTGTTTTGTTTTTTTTAAGATTTTTTTCTTTATTGATTTTCAGGAGGGAGGAAGGGAGAGGGAGGCAGAGATAGAAACATCGATGAGGGACAACATTGATTGGCTGCCTCCTACATGCCCCCACTAGGGATTTGGTCCAGAACCTGGGCATGTGCCCTGACCGGGAATCAAACCAGTGACCTCTTGGTGCCTGGGTCAATGCTCAACCACTGAGCCACACCGGCTGGACTTTAAAGATTTTTTTTATTGATTATTTTAGAGAGGGAGGAGAGAGCTAGAACATTGATTGGCTGCCTCCTGCATGCCCCCTCCTGGGGGTTGAGCATACAGTCTGGGCGTGCGCCCTGACTGGGAACTGAACTGCAACCTTCCAGTGCAGCGGACTGCGCCCAACCACTGAGCCACACTGGCAAGGGCTAAACTTTTTTTAAATACTGTTTTTTAGTACTGGTGTGGCTCAGTGGTTGAGCATCTACCCATATACCAAGAGGTCGCCGGTTCGATTCCTAGTCAGGGCACATGCCCAGGGTGTGGGCCAAATCCTTAGTGGGGGGCATGCAGGAGCTGGCCAATTGATGTTCTCTGTCGTTGATGTTTCTGTCTCTTTCTCTCCCTTCCTCTCTCTCTAAAATCAACGAAGAAAAAAGAATATGTTTATTGACCTTTTAGAGAGAAAGGAAGGGAGAGAGAGAGAAATAGCGATTGAGCCCGCAGCCTGGGCATGTGCCGGCCAGGAAGCAAACCCGGGACCTCTCAGTCCATGGGACCACGGTCAGTCCACTGAGTCACACCAGCTGGGCTAAATTTTTTTAAGAGAAAAACAGTTACCTTTAGCTGAGCGACATCTAACTGTCCCCTGTAGTGCTTGCCCAGTAGAATTACAGGGCTGGCGCAGGCTCCGCCTCCTCTCCTGCCCCTCTTCTCCTTCCTTCCATTTTTCTCACATCTGGCTTTTGGAGTTTCAGGGCTTGTCCGCTTTTAATTCAGAGTCCTGAGCATCTAGAGAAGCCTAGTGTCCTCGCCTACTGACATGCAGCGTGCTGGGCAGTGGTCACCAAAGTGCCGAGTGGCTGATGCTGACCAAGGCCAGTGTCTCTGACTCTCCTCTGTCTGAATTCCTCAGGCTGTTTCTGAATTTGGATGTGGTGGGAGTCACGAGGGCTCAGACGTCCTGTCGCTAATAACCCCGCAGAGCCCACTGTGCTGTGTCCTCGGTCTCCCGGCGTGGCCGTCCTCCGGTCGCAGCGCCTTCTGTGCTCTTAGCAGGAGGCCCCGGAGGCTTAATAAGGACACCCCCACACGTGGGCTGACTGACGAGAGCAGCAGCAGTCGAAGCACCTGTTGGTTTAAACACGCAGGTTTGGGCGTGGCCTCGGGAGTACTTTCTGATGTTGGTGCCTCCGCTTCTCTGCTGCTCTGTTTGAAGTGGCACCGGGTTGTCCTTGGGCGTGTGGCCCTGTCGCTGAGGCGTGTCGCCATGTGGTTTCATGGAGCTCTTTAAACCCTGCCCAGGTTTCTGCTGAAGACGCGGGGAAAACCACGGTGAGGACGCTGGTGCACCACTTCCTGCTGGATCTCTGCTGTTCGCTCAAACACGGGATCAACTTCTACGACGCGTCTCTGGGAACCTCCGGCAGGTGAGCTGTGGGCTCCTGAGAACGAGCTGTGTCCGCAGAAGTCACCCAGCGTGACCGCAGGGAGAGTGGCAGGGGGACGGCTTTCAGGGGTGAATCCGAGACCAGAGAGCTCCTGTCACGTGCCCTCGGGGAGTAGGTCTTGGGGGCCGCTGACGTGGACAGAGCTGCTAGGACATCGTCACCAGGCAGGTGCTTTGTGTTACTTGGAGGCTGGACCTGAGAATAGTCCTCATTCGCCTTCCCAGAGGCTGCCCCAGAACAGGCCTCGCCGCCGCCCTGAGGGGTGTCGTCGCTCCAGGTCTGCAGCGAGGCTGGGTCACCCCTGTGAGTGGCAGGGCTCAGCTGCAACCCCAGGGGTCCGCTTCATCCCTGTAATAGCGGAACAGTCCTCTGCCAAGACAGCTGCTGACCAGGCAGGAGTTTGAGCTTGTGTTTATCCACCGTTCACATTCGTGCCCATCACGTTTCGTGGACAGTGCGCAGCTCACAGCCTAGGCTGTGTCCCCTGCGCTTGCTCCTTGTACTTCTGCGAGTGGGGCGCACACCGTGCTGTTACCCGGAGTAGCTGGAATGGCCAGCTATGGGGTGCGTTGCTCCCACAACCTGTGTCTGGGACACGGAGAAGCCCTGGACACGTGGTCACCATGTGACTCCTGCGTTAGCCCTTGGCGTTCGCCTGTCAGGACGCAGGGTGTCTGATTTAGTTCGGCCAGTCAGGAAATAGGGTGACACGGGGAGTGTTTCTCCCTGCTGTGCCTTTGGCCTTGTTTTGATTCTGAGACTGCTGTGATTTAACTTGCCCATCATTTCTTTTTCTCGTCAGTGAGAACAAGCTCCGTTTCCTGCTGCAGTGTTACAGCCGACTTTTACAGTCTTGTGCACCATAACTCCACGCTTAGATCACCCACATCTCCCCCAAGTAGATCCGTAAAGCCGGGATCATTAAGTGGCATATTGAACACCCTGCGGGTCTGTCTGAGTAAGCTGCGGTTTACACATGTGTCTGAAACCATGAGCGAAAGACAGCTGTGCGCTCCATGGAGAGGAGGGGCTTTACGTGTGGGGACGTTAGTGTCCCCACAGTCCTGAGTCTTGCTCCCTCAGGCCACAAGGTTTCTGGGGGCCCCTGCGGAGGTGGCCCGGCCGCCACTGTCCAGCCGGGCGGGCTCTGCGGCTGGCTGTGACTGCCACGCCCTGCGTGCTGGTGTACCTGCTGTGCTCCCTGGTGGGTGCGGGTGGGAACAGCTGGTCTGCAGAGCCTGTGCCTGGCAGGTGCTTGACGAAAACCAGGCGAGCGGCGCAGGCGGGTGTGGCTCGCTCTCGAGGGCCAGTGCTCAGGCTTCGGGCCTGCGGGCCATGGTGCGCTCGCTCTCGAGGGGCAGTGCTCAGGGCTTCGGGCCTGGCGGGCCATGGTGCGCTCGCTCTCGAGGGGCAGTGCTCAGGCTTCGGGCCTGGCGGGCCATGGTGCGCTCGCTCTCGAGGGCCAGTGCTCAGGCTTCGGGCCTGTGGGCCATGGTGCGCTCGCTCTCGAGGGCCAGTGCTCAGCCTTCGGGCCTGCGGGCCATGGTGCGGCTCGCTCTCGAGGGCCAGTGCTCAGCCTTCGGGCCTGGCGGGCCATGGTGCGCTCGCTCTCGAGGGCCAGTGCTCAGGGCTTCGGGCCTGGCGGGCCATGGTGCGCTCGCTCTCAAGGGGCAGTGCTCAGGGCTTCGGGCCTGTGGGCCATGGTGCGCTCGCTCTCGAGGGGCAGTGCTCAGGCTTCGGGCCTGTGGGCCATGGTGCGCTCGCTCTCGAGGGGCAGTGCTCAGGGCTTCGGGCCTGTGGGCCATGGTGCGCTCGCTCTCGAGGGCCAGTGCTCAGCCTTCGGGCCTGCGGGCCATGGTGCGCTCGCTCTCGAGGGCCAGTGCTCAGCCTTCGGGCCTGCGGGCCATGGTGCGCTCGCTCTCGAGGGGCAGTGCTCAGGGCTTCTGGCCTGTGGGCCATGGTGCGCTCGCTCTCGAGGGCCAGTGCTCAGCCTTCGGGCCTGCGGGCCATGGTGCGCTCGCTCTCGAGGGCCAGTGCTCAGCCTTCGGGCCTGTGGGCCATGGTGCGCTCGCTCTCGAGGGCCAGTGCTCAGGCTTCGGGCCTGTGGGCCATGGTGCGCTCGCTCTCGAGGGGCAGTGCTCAGGGCTTCTGGCCTGTGGGCCATGGTGCGCTCGCTCTCGAGGGCCAGTGCTCAGCCTTCGGGCCTGCGGGCCATGGTGCGCTCGCTCTCGAGGGCCAGTGCTCAGCCTTCGGGCCTGTGGGCCATGGTGCGCTCGCTCTCGAGGGCCAGTGCTCAGCCTTCGGGCCTGTGGGCCATGGTGCGCTCGCTCTCGAGGGGCAGTGCTCAGCCTTCGGGCCTGTGGGCCATGGTGCGCTCGCTCTCGAGGGCCAGTGCTCAGCCTTCGGGCCTGTGGGCCATGGTGCGCTCGCTCTCGAGGGCCAGTGCTCAGGCTTCGGGCCTGTGGGCCATGGTGCGCTCGCTCTCGAGGGCCAGTGCTCAGGGCTTCGGGCCTGCGGGCCATGGTGCGCTCGCTCTCGAGGGCCAGTGCTCAGCCTTCGGGCCTGCGGGCCATGGTGCGCTCGCTCTCGAGGGGCAGTGCTCAGGCTTCGGGCCTGTGGGCCATGGTGCGCTCGCTCTCGAGGGCAGTGCTCAGGCTTCGGGCCTGTGGGCCATGGTGCGCTCGCTCTCGCGGGCCGGGTGCTCAGGGCTTCGGGCCTGGTGGGCCATGGTGCGCTCGCTCTCGAGGGCCAGTGCTCAGCCTTCGGGCCTGCGGGCCATGGTGCGCTCGCTCTCGAGGGGCAGTGCTCAGGCTTCGGGCCTGCGGGCCATGGTGCGCTCGCTCTCGAGGGCCAGTGCTCAGGGCTTCGGGCCTGTGGGCCATGGTGCGCTCGCTCTCGAGGGGCAGTGCTCAGGCTTCGGGCCTGTGGGCCATGGTGCGCTCGCTCTCGAGGGGCAGTGCTCAGGCTTCGGGCCTGTGGGCCATGGTGCGCTCGCTCTCGAGGGGCAGTGCTCAGGCTTCGGGCCTGCGGGCCATGGTGCGCTCGCTCTCGAGGGCCAGTGCTCAGGGCTTCGGGCCTGTGGGCCATGGTGCGCTCGCTCTCGAGGGCCAGTGCTCAGGCTTCGGGCCTGTGGGCCATGGTGCGCTCGCTCTCGAGGGCCAGTGCTCAGGGCTTCGGGCCTGTGGGCCATGGTGCGCTCGCTCTCGAGGGCCAGTGCTCAGGGCTTCGGGCCTGTGGGCCATGGTGCGGCTCGCTCTCGAGGGCCGGCGCTCGGACTTTGGACCATGGCACCAGCCGTGCCCATGCAGTACAGGAGCAGTGTGGGTATGAACCTGTTGTGACCGTGCCCCTGGAGCCTGGTCAACAGGCAGATGGTGGGCTGTGCTGTGCTGACTCTGCCCGCCTCCACCGGCTCCTCTGGGATACGGACATGAAGGAGCCCGGCCAGGGAGGGCGGGCGGGACCTAGAGCAGCCTCTGTCTTGTTACATTGTGTCCACGTGGTGTTCACAGCTCTGCAGACCTCATTCCATCCCCTCGCAGCACCAGCTGGGTCTTCCTCGTGAACTTTCCATGTTAAGGAATTTAAGCTTTTCAGATGATGGTTTTGTGATAAAAGTTATTATTTGTGCCCTGGCTTGTTTGGCTCAGCGGTTAGAGCATCAATCTGTGGTCCAGAGAGACCCGGGTTCGGTATGTACCTCGGTTGCAGTTTGTCCCCAGCCCTGGTTGGGCTGTATGGGTGGTAGCCACTTAATGTGTCCCTTTCACGTCAATGCTTCTCTCTCTCTCCCTCCCACTCTATCTGAACAAAACATGGAAAAATGTCCTCAGGTGAGGATAAAAAAAATTATCCTTCTTAAATTTTTTTTTTTTATCCTCACGCGAGGACATTTTTTCATTTATCTTCAGAGAGGGTGGGGGAGAGAGAGAGAGAGAGGAAGAGAGAAAGAGAAACATCGATGTGAGAGAGACACATCGTGTGGTTGCCACCCACACAACCCCAACCGGGACGGGGACAAACCACAACCGAGGTACGTGCCCTTAGCGGGAACTGAACCTGGGACTCTCTGGTCCGTGGGCCAGTGCTCTAACTGCTGAGTCAAACCGGGCCTGGCACATTTTTTTTTGTTAATCCTTACCTGAGGATGTTTTTCCATTTATCCTCAGATAGAGTGGGAGGAAGGGGGGGAGAGAGAGAGAGAGAGAGACACATCGACTGGTTGCCTCCTGCACGACCCTAACCAGGGCCGGGGACCAAATCACAACTGAGGTACGTGTCCATTACTGGAAGCGAGCCCACAACTCTTTGGTCCTCAGGTTGCTGCTCTAACCGCTGAGCAGAACTGGACAGGGCTCTAATTTAATTTTTGAAAAGGTTTTACTATGTGTAAAGCTGTCCTGTAGCACCTTAGATTTTGTGGGTTCGTGAGGGGACACCAGGCGGGGCGGGTCCTGGGAGCCAGCAGCGTGGCTGCACAAGGCAGATTGGCGGGGCTCTGGGTGTGAGCCTTCGAGGTGCCAAGCAGACATGAAAAGGCCCCTTAGCTTCAAAGGCGTCTGGGGTAAACCCAGCGCCTGCCCTCTGGCTGTGGCGTCCTGGGCTGGTGGCCCCCTTTCTGCGGGTTTCGGTGTCCACAGGTTCTTCCCCTTCTTTCTGTTCTCCTTGAAGCGGCCTCGTGGTACATTTTGAAGACTTTCCCCTCGTGTAGCTGCTCTCAGCCGCTGCGTGAAGGTGTGGGAACTTGAAATAAGCTAGAAACAGGAAGCAGAAGACCTTTGAGAAATAATTTTATGGACTTGGGCAGTTCTTGAGTATTTCATGTAAAAAAAAAAGCATCATTTCAAAGGAAGGGTGCATTTTTTATATCTTGTACTTGCGCACACTTGCATGTGTACCCACTTTCCTTTGTGAGTGGAGGCAGCAGGTCAGTGCAGTCTCAGAACGAGGTTGGGGCGTGGGGCCCTCTTGCTTATTTGGGGTTTGGCCCTGTTTTTACACTGGCTTCTGGGCAGATGGTGGGCCAGGCGGGCGGAGGCAGGGCTTCCCCCTCTTCCTTACCCGTCAGGTGGATCTCGGGAGGAGGGGATAGGAGGGCTGAAATGCAGGCCCTGCCCTGGGAACCCCACCCTGGCTGTGAAGACACCCTGCTTTGTGCCGCACGGGAAATTGCTGGTGACCTGTGATCACCCTGAGCTCTTCGCCGTGACAGTTCCCTACTGGCCCTCTTCCTCTGGCAGAGGCGGGAACCTGACGCTCCTGCACTTCCTGTTGGGCTTGAGAACGGCCGCAGACGACGAGCTGGTGGCCGAGCTGGTGGTGAGCATCCTCCGAGTGTGCCCCGACTTGCTGCACAAGTACTTCAAGGAGGTTGCCTTCTCCTTCCATCCACGAGTGAGCTCCACGTGGTCAAATAACATCAAACTCCTGAACAAGGTGGGAACCTCGGGACCTCAGTCTGCGGGGTGGTGGGCCAAGTTCAGGGTTGGGGTGGCGGGCGGCAGGGAGGCGCAACCTTGTGACCAGCGGAGCGAGGAGAACTTTCAGTGGTCCTTCGGGGGATGTGTTAGACCACGTGCTGCTGTCCTTGTCCACTGGGGCTCCTGGTGCTCATCAGCTGAACTGGGGGGTCGGCTTTCAGGTCGGCTGAGCCAATTCCGCTTCTGCACCTCGATTCTGCAGTGAGAGCTTCGTGAGTTTCAGGCTGGAACCAGTGAACTATTGGGCAGTTTTTAAACTGCTGTTTCAAGTATTTAGAACAACTGGGAATTGACTGTGGGGTGGTCTGTTGCTTTAAGTGGACACGTATGGGTTCCTTCTGAGCAAAGACGTCAACGTCCCCTCATCTGCCAGGGAAGCCCACAGCCAGCCCCCGGCAGCTCCCAGGGAAGCCCACAGCCAGCCCCCGGCAGCTCCCAGGGAAGCCCACAGCCAGCCCCCGGCTGCTCCCAGGGAAGCCCACAGCCGGCCCCCTGCAGCTCCCAGGGAAGCCCACAGCCGGCCCCCTGCAGCTCCCAGGGAAGCCCACAGCCGGCCCCCGGCAGCTCCCAGGGAAGCCCACAGCCGGCCCCCTGCAGCTCCCAGGGAAGCCCACAGCCTGCCCCCGGCTGCTCCCAGGGAAGCCCACAGCCGGCCCCCTGCAGCTCCCAGGGAAGCCCACAGCCAGCCCCCGGCTGCTCCCAGGGAAGCCCACAGCCAGCCCCCGGCAGCTCTCTCTTCCATCTGTGTGCTGCCTGTGCGGCGGCCCCTCGACCGGCAGCGGTCACTGTGAAGCAGTCTTTATTCTCTCCTCCTCGCCTTCTCCTTGAGTGCCCCTGTGCGGTACTCACGTGTGTCTTTGCCCCTCATTTTGGTGACGGGAGCCCTGTGGCCGCACCTGTGGGATACGGCCCTGGCATGGCTCTCCCCGGGGAAGGGGCGGGCAGGCCTGGGTGTGAGTCCTCACCCCTCTAGGGAAATTACGTACCCTCATTGGAGTCTGTCATCTGTAGACGTGTTTATTTTAACGTAAAATAACCCTGCCCCATGGGGTTGGGAAGCGCTGCAAGGTGCCCTCGTTTGCCAGGTGCCTGTCGGGCACGGTACCTGCCGGGGACATGGCTGGTAGCTCTGGCAGTCACTTGCTGTCAGAGGTTTTAAGAAGCCTTCAAACCACAGGCCAAGCTCTGCTTTGAAGGTCGCTGCCCAGGAACCCGCCAACCTCGTGACCTGACTTTCCTGGCGGGGGCCTGGGGCTGATCTTCCCAGTCCCAGCCTTCGTCTCGGTCCCGTCGCACTGACCTGGCCGCCCTGGCCGCTGACCGTCAGCCTCAGCTGAGGAACTCAACGCCCCGCACCAGCTCGTTCTTTCTCCTCTCACAGATCTACGAGGCCCAGCCGGAGATTTCCCGGGCATTTCAGACCAAGGAGTTCATCCCTATGCCCCGGCTCGTGGCGATGGTGATGGTGACCTCCGTGCCCCCGGTGTGCAACAAGGTCATGTTCACCCAGGCGCTGAATGTGAGTGCTCCCTCCCTGCTGCGCGCTGGGCTGGGCGGTCAGTGAGCCTCGGAGGTCTTCCCGTGCCCACCCACTGGGGGAGGGGACGTCTCAGCTGGGGCGAGGGGTGACTGCCTGCTCCGGCTCGAGCGGGCGCCCTGGGCCTGAGGTGGGCCAGTGTCGGCACAGGAGGGACAGCCCCGTGGCCACCGCCCGAGACCATGTGTGAAAGGGTCACTTTCTGGGGCTTGTGGACGGTGTGGCAGAACCGGGCTGGCACACCTCTCTCTGTGGTTCTAGTGACTCGTGGGTAGGTTTCTGGGAAACATGTACTTTGGGGACTAGTTATTTCAGGCATTTTTAGAGGCTGTGTTCATGGAAAAAAATAATACTTAAATTTCATGTTTTTTAATTATAAAAGGTCCCCAGGCCCATCAAAGCCATGTTCTGGGGGCCTCGTGGCTCTGGGTGCGCGTCTGGAGCGCTGGGAGACGGGGGCCCAGGGCCCTGCCGCTCCTCCTCGACCCAGGTTGCAGCTGGACCTACCTGGGGGAGGCCTGGTGTCAGGAGGGGTGCAGGGCTGGGTGTCTCCGGGGCAGGTGGAGTCACCCTCCTTCGGGGCTGGGTTTGGCGTGAGCAGTCGGACCAGGGTCTTCTGGGGGGCACACGGCTGAGCTGGGGAGGAACACAGCTGGGTGTGGGGGCCTGGTGGCAATGGGCAGAGACTCCTTAGAGCAGTGGTTCTCAACCTCCCCGATGCCGCGACCCTTTGCTACAGGCCCTCATGTGTGTGACCCCAACCATAAAATTCTTCTTCTTTTTAATCTTTATTGTTGAATGTAGAATGTATTACACATATTCCTCATTTTTCCCCCATTGACTCCCTCCTCCCCACTCCCACCTCCCTCCCGCCTCTTCCCACACTGTTGTCTGTGTCCATTGGTTATGCAGATAAGTTCTTCGGTTTATTTCTTCCCACCCCCGAGCCCCTTTCCCTTTGAGGTTTGTCAGTCTAGCAATGAATTTGTGCTTCTTAATCCCTTCACCTTTTTCACCCATTCCCCCAACCCCCCTCCCAACTGGTAACCATCAAACTGTTCTCTGTATCTACGAGAATGTTTCTGTTCTGCTTGTTCATTTTGTTTGTAGATTCCATTGTCGATAGATACGTATTTGTTGCCATTTTGTTTGTTCATATATTTTATCTTTTTCTTCGAAGAGACCCTTCATCATTTCATATAATAAGGGTTTTGGTGGTGATGAACTCCTTTAACTTTTTCTTGTCTGGGAATTTTCTTGATGCTACTTCATAACTGTAGTTTTGCTACGGTTGTGAATTGCCATCAGAAATACGTGTTTTCCTATGGTCTTAGGGTACCCCTGTGAAAGGGTCTTTCAATCCCCAGAGGGGTCATGACCCATAGGTTGAGCACCGCTGCCTTAGACTGCAGGAGGTTGGCGCCCACCAGGTCTGTGCCGAGACTGGCGGTGGGTGAGGACCAGGCAGGAAGCCCCTGTTCTGGTTGTGAATCGTAATGAGCACACTCGGGCCTAGCCTGTCTGCCCATTCACTTTGTGGGAGACAGCAGTTTGCCTTTGCACCTGCTGGGGCGTGTCCGACCTGCCTCTGCGTGGCCCGCTGCGTCTGCCCCCAGGGCTGGTACCAGGCAGCTGGTGTGTGTTCTGGGGGAGGGTGTGGCCCCGGGTTGCTCCATCCCTGGGCAGTGTGGCTGCAGGATGAGGGGAGGCCGCGGCTCTGCCCTGTCTCCAGTGGGCCTCCCTGCGCTCCGCCCGTTACCGGGAGGGAGACCCGGGACGTGTGGGTTTGGAGTTGTATGTTTTCTTATTCTTCACTGTCATCTGGTCACTTTTTTTTTTTTTTTCCTCACCTGAGGACATTTTTTGTTCAGGTAGAGTGGGAGGGAGAGAGAGGAAGAGAGAGAGAGAGAGAAACATCGACGTGAAGGGACACATCGAGTGGCTGCCACCCACACGACCGACCAGGGCTGGGGACAAACTACAACCAAGGTACGTGCCCTTAGCGGGAACCGAACCCGGGTCTCTCAGGACCGCAGGCTGATGCTCCAACCGCTGAGCCAAACCGGCCAGGGCCCATCTGGTCACTTTTAAGGGCCATTGTTGGAATCAGGAGGGAAAGCTTGAGCGTATTTCAGAAGCAGGGATGCGGTGTGGAGGCAGTGCCTCGGGCTGTTGTTGGCTGAGCCTTTGCTGGAGCCGTGGGGTGTGCCTGTGAACCCCCGTCTGGGCCTGCCTTCGAAGGACCGCAGGCGGGAGCCGTTCCAGCTCAGGGTGCTCTCTGTGGAGCTGCTTCGCGGTGCAGCGAGTGTGCAGCCCCTGACCCCCCGACTGGGATGCGGGGCATCCCGGTTATCAAGCCAGAAGTCCATCCGAAAGCCTCTGGTTTCTGCGTAGTCTCCAGTGTCCCAGCCAGAGCCTCCTGGCTTGACCGTCCTGTTGGTTTGGGCTGGGGCCTGAGATGGTGCGTGTCTCCGAGCACCCGGGAGATGCCCGGCCGCTGCTGGCCCAGGAACACACTGCCACCAGCCGGGCCTCTGCCTGCCTCTTTTCTTTGGGCAATAGCACAGCCTCTGGGATCTTCTTCAACTCCTGCAGTGAGGGAGCATTTTGACGCCCCTCCTGCTGCTGGAGGCCCGGGGTCGGGCTGCACGCCCAGGGCAGAGCTGGTTCCCTGCGGGATGCCTGCTGCTCTCTGAGTACACAGGAACTTGGTGCTGGAGGCCCGGGGTCGGGCTGTGCGCCCAGGGGAGAGCTGGTTCCCTGCGGGGTGCCTGCTGCTCTCTGAGTACACAGGAACTTGGTGCTGGAGGCCCGGGGTCGGGCTGCGCGCCCAGGGGAGAGCTGGTTCCCTGCGGGATGCCTGCTGCTCTCTGAGTACACAGGAACTTGGTGCTGGAGGCCCGGGGTCGGGCTGTGCGCCCAGGGGAGAGCTGGTTCCCTGCGGGGTGCCTGCTGCTCTCTGAGTACACAGGAACTTGGTGCTGGAGGCCCGGGGTCGGGCTGGGGTCGGGCTGTGCGCCCAGGGCAGAGCTGGTTCCCTGCGGGGTGCCTGCTGCTGTCTGAGTACACAGGAACTTGGTGCTGGAGGCCCGGGGTCGGGCTGTGCGCCCAGGGGAGAGCTGGTTCCCTGCGGGATGCCTGCTGCTCTCTGAGTACACAGGAACTTGGTGCTGGAGGCCCGGGGTCGGGCTGTGCGCCCAGGGGAGAGCTGGTTCCCTGCGGGATGCCTGCTGCTGTCTGAGTACACAGGAACTTGGTGCTGGAGGCCCGGGGTCGGGCTGCGCGCCCAGGGCAGAGCTGGTTCCCTGCGGGGTGCCTGCTGCTCTCTGAGTACACAGGAACTTGGTGCTGGAGGCCCGGGGTCGGGCTGCGCGCCCAGGGCAGAGCTGGTTCCCTGCGGGGTGCCTGCTGCTGTCTGAGTACACAGGAACTTGGTGCTGGAGGCCCGGGGTCGGGCTGCGCGCCCAGGGGAGAGCTGGTTCCCTGCGGGGTGCCTGCTGCTGTCTGAGTACACAGGAACTTGGTGCTGGAGGCCCGGGGTCGGGCTGCGCGCCCAGGGCAGAGCTGGTTCCCTGCGGGATGCCTGCTGCTCTCTGAGTACACAGGAACTTGGTGCTGGAGGCCCGGGGTCGGGCTGAGCGCCCAGGGGAGTGCTGGTTCCCTGCGGGATGCCTGCTGCTCTCTGAGTACACAGGAACTTGGTGCTGGAGGCCCGGGGTCAGGCTGCGCGCCCAGGGCAGAGCTGGTTCCCTGCGGGGTGCCTGCTGCTCTCTGAGTACACAGGAACTTGGTGCTGGAGGCCCGGGGTCGGGCTGCGCGCCCAGGGCAGAGCTGGTTCCCTGCGGGGTGCCTGCTGCTGTCTGAGTACACAGGAACTTGGTGCTGGAGGCCCGGGGTCGGGCTGCGCGCCCAGGGGAGAGCTGGTTCCCTGCGGGATGCCTGCTGCTCTCTGAGTACACAGGAACTTGGTGCTGGAGGCCCGGGGTCGGGCTGTGCGCCCAGGGGAGAGCTGGTTCCCTGCGGGATGCCTGCTGCTCTCTGAGTACACAGGAACTTGGTGCTGGAGGCCCGGGGTCGGGCTGCGCGCCCAGGGCAGAGCTGGTTCCCTGCGGGGTGCCTGCTGCTCTCTGAGTACACAGGAACTTGGTGCTGGAGGCCCGGGGTCGGGCTGTGTGCCCAGGGCAGAGCTGGTTCCCTGCGGGGTGCCTGCTGCTGTCTGAGTACACAGGAACTTGGTGCTGGAGGCCCGGGGTCGGGCTGTGTGCCCAGGGCAGAGCTGGTTCCCTGCGGGATGCCTGCTGCTGTCTGAGTACACAGGAACTTGGTGCTGGGGGCCCGGGGTCGGGCTGTGTGCCCAGGGCAGAGCTGGTTCCCTGCGGGATGCCTGCTGCTCTCTGAGTACACAGGAACTTGGTGCTGGAGGCCCGGGGTCGGGCTGCGCGCCCAGGGGAGAGCTGGTTCCCTGCGGGATGCCTGCTGCTCTCTGAGTACACAGGAACTTGGTGCTGGAGGCCCGGGGTCGGGCTGCGCGCCCAGGGGAGAGCTGGTTCCCTGCGGGATGCCTGCTGCTGTCTGAGTACACAGGAACTTGGTGCTGGAGGCCCGGGGTCGGGCTGCGCGCCCAGGGGAGAGCTGGTTCCCTGCGGGATGCCTGCTGCTCTCTGAGTACACAGGAACTTGGTGCTGGAGGCCCGGGGTCGGGCTGCGCGCCCAGGGCAGAGCTGGTTCCCTGCGGGGGCACCTGCACCGGGGCCGTCCTCGCCCAGCTGGCGGGGCTGGTGCCCCCGGCTCTGTGATTCGGAGAACCCGTAGGAGCTGCGTGGGTCTCAGAGGCCTACCAGACAGGCAGTGGAGAGAGGAGCCCCTCTCAGCTCTTCTTCCAGTAGCTGTCTCCCCGCACCTTCTGAGGGCAGATTTGCAGGAGGGCAGGAGGGCAGGGTCCCTGGGCCACCTCTTCTCACAGCCGTCTCATGTGGCTGTGCTGACCCAAGGAGGGGCCAGAGCCAGCCAAGCCCCGGGCTCGGGAGGTGCGCGCCCTCGTTGCAGCCTAAAGACTGTTGTGGGTGTAACTTTCCTTCCCAGCTGGACAGCAGGTCAGTGAGGCACACCGCCTTGTCCCTGCTCACCGCCATTTTGAAGAGAGCATTGAAGACGGTCGACCACTGCCTGAATAGAGAGGCCTGGCAGGACTCCTGCGTGTACACGGCCCCGATGCTGGAGGACTTCGTGCGGCTCTTCAGAGAAGCCCTGAGCAAGGTAGGCAGGAGGCCAGGCTGGGCCCCTGAGAAGCTCCCAGGGCTTCCCTCCTGATGCCCCGGGTCCGCACACCAGCTGGAAGGTGATCTTGGGGCAGAGGGTGGGTGTGAGGCGAGGTGAAGGGGACGGTGGTCCTGGGGCCTGCGTCTCACCAGGAGCTGTGGTGTCCGCGCCCCCCCCCCCCGGCCCCGGCTGCCCCCTCCCTGGGGGTTATTCTGGTAAGTCAGGAAGGCCGGCCGTCTGCAGACTGGCCAGCTGCCCTGAAAGAGCCTGGTCATGCTGGGAAGGACCCCAGGCGGGCGTGAGGACGTGGCTCTTTGTTCCCAGAGCCTCGCTCGGCTGCATGAGTCTCATGGGGCTTGTTTTGATCGCCAGCTTTTGTTTTTCCCGGAGCCTCACTGTGCACGTTTCTCGGAACCGTACCTCAGACAGAGCGGCCCGGCTGGGGCCTGGCTCTGCACGCACATGTGTGCTGGTCCCACCCCGTGTGGGTCTTTCCCTGCCGGCTTCTGTTTCTCAGTTTCTTTGTTTCCCTTTTTAGATTTTACCTGACTTAAACACCATCGTGTGGGTGTGGCAGTCACTCAGAAAACAAGACACCGAACAGGATGACGGGAAAGGAAAGAAAAGGGACAGACAGACTCCTGCGGCCAGCGAGGCTCCCCCGTGTGGTGAGGGCTCGTGGGGTCCGCTGCCTGCAGACAGCCCGCACGGGGCAGGCCGTGAGGGGCCAGCCCTTGCTTGGGGGGGGGGCTGGAGTGGGCCGTGCACTGAATTCTGCCGTGTGTCACCGACGGCCCGGGCTTCACATGCATTGTGTGCACTTGGGTGCCCTGGGCTCAGGCCTTTGGGCGGGGTGGGGCCGGAGACCCCACAGTAAGGTTTGTCGCCTCAGCCCTGATCTGTCAACCCTCCGGCGGCCCTGGAGGGTGGGCGCTGCTGAGGGCCGCTGGAGCACAGACCAGCAGCTGCACCCTGCCGGGCCACAGCCCTGAAGGTGATGGACGCAGGCTGTGTAGGCTCCTCAGTCCAGCCGGTGGGTCTGTCGCAGCCTCGGTGCTGTGTGCAGTGGACCGCGATGGGTCACGGTGGCCCGACTGCCCGCCGGCTGCTGACGGGGACAGAGCAGTGTGACTCCTAAGCGCAGCTGTTGCTTTGCCTCAGATGACGCAGAAACCATCCTCTTGAAAGCCGCCCTGCTCCAGGTCATCTGTCTGTACCAGAAGGTGGTCCCACACGTGGTCACGCAGTCCAGCTTCGACTTCAGCAAGCTCCTGAAAGGTGGGCGGCTCCAGCGGGGTGAGGGGTGCAGCAGCCTGAGCAGGGCCTGGAGCCAGGGCAGTGGGCGGGCTGTGGGGCCGGCGTGAGGCCTCCAGCCTGCTGGTTTTTCTTCGGACCAGTGCTTCCCAGTGGCCAGCCTTCCTTAAGCGAGTGTTGGGTGGACACCGAGGCGCCGCAAGCGCAGAGGTGGGAGGAGCCGGCCTGCCTTGTCCACCCGGGATGATCAGCAGACGATCATGTGACATTCGCTCCCCAGTCTCTCCAGAGGGTGCAGAGGCCCTGGGAGGACTCCCTGCTCACCCCCGTTCACACAGGGGCACCCTGACAGCGTCCCTCATTTACCCACCGAGTTGGGTTCAAACCACTTCTTGTTACCATAATCCTGCCTGTCTGGTCACGTTTCCTTGATGGGAAAGTTTGTCTAGTAAAGTGGACTTTATAATTGGGTCCATGGAGGAGGCTTGCAGAAGTATCATTCCTGGATTTATGTAAACTACTGAGGCAGTCCTGGTCGATGTGCAGTTACTTTTCAGTCGTTAGAGGTGAAAGGTTCCCTTTGCTGGGAGGACAGTTTCCAGAACGTGGCCACTTGTGTTTGGTGGTGTGTCCTTCCCAAGTAGAGGGACTTGGAAACCAGGCACGAGGGTAAGGACCCGTCTCGGGCAGCCCCCATCCAGGGGGCAAGGCCTGCGCCCGCCCAGTGCTGACGTGCACAGAGCCTGCCCCAGAGAGCAGGGTGGGTGGGGGAAGCCGTGTCCGAATGGCAGGGGGAATCTGGCTTCTTGTCGAAGGGTTTGGAGGGGCCTCAGGAGGGACAGACAAGTCAGGTGAGGTTTGGCTGGGCAGAGGGGTGGGCACAACCTGTGTGAGGGTGACCACAGGACCGGGGGACAGAGTCCCTTGTCCTCGTGGCCAGGACAGCAGCTGCTGGACGCCGCCTCCTGTGACGTGACAGGTCCCTCTTCCCGCCCACAGGTGTCATCTCGGGGCAGGGCCTGCAGGCAGAGGCGCCTCCCGTCCTGCAGCAGCACATGCTCAAGGTGGCCCTGGAGCTGCCCGCCTGCAGGTTCTCCTGGCTGAAGGCCCAGGTAGGCGCCGGCGCACCCTCCCGTCCTCTGCGCACCTGCGGGCCGGCTGGGGCGCTTGCGGTCGGGCCCGGGCAGGTGGGGCCTGAGGGCGACAGCAGGTTCTCGCTCAGGGAGACGTGCCCAGAGCCGAGGTCAGACCCCACAGGAGGCCCGCAGCGCTCCGCTGGGTACTGGGAGTGTTCGCACTCTTGGCTCGGCTGCTTTACCTTTTTTCCCATCATTTTAAAATTTTTTGTGAAATTTAAGTAAAATATATTTCTTCTCCTTCGTCCTCATTCTGGAAAAACTTAAGACCGAGATAGGAGTAGACACCAAGCCAGCAGAGGGTTGAGGCTGGTGGAGAATCGGTGAAGATTGCTGGCATTTTCCTGTGTCTTTGGTAACATCTGGGGCTTTCTGGAGAACATCATTTTGAATCATGGCGGGAACTCAAGATGCCCGATCCTGTGTACTAAACACGGCTGCCTGGTCATTTCTCTCGAAGGGGGGACACGACTGGGCAAAGGCAGCATTGTCTAAGAGTGTTTCTCAGTAGCCCAGGTGACGTTTTTAAGGAGTCGGTCCTATTTAAGATCCCATGGATCCCCTGGTGGGGAAGGGTGCGTTGCCATCTTTACCTGGGATGTCTCCAGAAAGGAGTGGGAGGCCGTGGCTCTGGGGTCACTGTGTCCCCCACGTCGTCTCAGGCCCCCTGCATGCTGGCGGGTGGTCCTGCTGCAGAGCTTCCTCGTGCCAGGCTCCATGGGTGCTTGGTGACCGCTTGCTGGCCACACCCTGCAGGGGGGCACGGGGGCGCAGGGTCCCAGCCACAGAGGGCCCAGAGCCCAGCTCCCCACCTTCGTCCCACACCGTGGGGTCACTGCCAGGGGCCGTAGAGAAGACGGGCAGGTGGTGTCGGTGTGCGTGGACACTGCTCTGTTTGACAGGAGGGCCCGGAAGCAGAGATCATCGGAGGAGAGCGGTCCGTGTTCTACCTGCTGATGAAGATGTTTCTGACCAGCACCCACGTCCAGCTCAAGTCGTCGACCAAGCTCCTGATCATGAAGGTGGGGTGCCTAGCCTTGGTGCTGAGCCACACCTCGCACGTCCCTACGGTAGACGCTGGATTAAGGGTGTCTCGGGACTCCTATACTTTAAGGACCGAGGGTTTTGTGGCAGTTTCAGTCGATGGTGCCTGATGCGAGGCTGCGTTCCTGGGAGGCAGCGGGCAGTGGGGGTGGCGTGAGCTTGAGTGGGCTCCTAGGGTCAAGCCCTGCCCTCCGCCTCCAGGGCACACGGCTCAGGTTCCTGCCTCTCTGACCTGGTCCCCACGGGTAGTGGGGTGAGGAAGGCGTTGGGGGGGACCGGGGACAGTGCTGTAGGCTGGCCTCAGACCTGGGCTTTGGCAGTGCAGCTCCCTGGCGCTTGGGGCCGTGGGAGGGTGAGGCTTCCTCCCTGGACTCAGCTCACTGTCCCCGAGCGTCACAGTGCAGGTCCCAGTGCTGGGCACCTGTGGGGTGGACTCTGCTTCGCTGCCCCACGGGTCTTCTGTGGCAGCGGGGATCGGCTCCTCATGCTGCTGCGCGGCCGGCGTCTCGGGGTGTCTGCTGCATGGCAGGCATCTTGGGGTGCTACTGACATCACACTGGCCATTTGTAGGGTGCAGTCTTTACCTTTCTTTGAAGACCTGATAATTCTGCTGTCCTTTAACCTCACCTGAGCTACTTGAAGGCTGTGGACACCTAGGTCTTGGCCTCCATAGGTTTTGTGTCCTTTTGGCCGTGCAGGTGTGCCCTCCCCCGCGGGGCCGTGGTCACTGCCTGTAGGTAGGCTGCCTTCGGTGTGTTGTTACCGGGTCACGCCATAGGGCAGCGGAGACTGGGAGTCTCCTGTCTGGCCCTTTGGGGTGGCATTGACTCACCCGCAGGTTCAGGTTCTGCCTCATAGCCAATCCCATCTCTCAGAAACAGTGGGAGCCCCTCGCCCCAGGTCTGAGTGTCGGGGGCTGCACCAAGTGGATACAGTGTGGCTGGCTCGTGACCTGAGAGTTCAGGCAGGCCGGGCTTGAGCTGTGAGGGGTGGGGCCCTGCACCTGTGCCCGGGACTCGGGAGCAGGTAGAAAGTCAGACTCCTGGAGGCCGCGGGCCGGGCTCCCCATGTACCGCGAGGAGCAGTGGCGAGACGGGCGGGTCTCGGCCAGAGTGCAGAGCGCTCTCCTGTCTCCCTCGGCAGGGAGTGCTGTTTGCAGTGAAACTTGGACCCCTTGGTGCTCCCTGGGTGCCCCTGTCCTGTCGGCACCGTCACCTGGGAAGCTCCCTCAAACGCAGGCCCCATTGATCAGCCGCTGCGTCTGCTTGGACAGATCCTGCGGGACACGGGCGTGTTCGAGCACACGTGGAAGGAGCTGGAGCTGTGGCTGGAGCATCTGCATGGCCCCGGGGAGGACCAGCAGGAGGCCGTTCTCCAGTTCCTGGAACGGGTGAGCACCCAGTCCCGGTGAAGGGCATGGTCCAGGACACGTGAGTGCACAGTCCCGGTGAAGAACATGGTCCTGGATCATGTGAGCACCCAGTCCCGGGGGGCAGGGGGGGCGTGCTGCAGGGAATCCCCCTGAGTGATCCCCAGCCAAGTGGGCGTTTCTGAGCCAGCGCCCTGAGGTCTCGCTCTACCTTCTGGTTCTTGCCTCACACCAGAGGCTGTGAAGCAGGAACACAGCACCGTGTGCTGCTTGATTTCCTTTGGGGAAGTGTTTGCACAGAAGACGCTGAGCTGAGTGATGTTGAAAACAATGATTTACGTACTGAAAGGAGACTTGTTTGTTTGTTAGTCCTCACCGAAGGATATTGTTCCATTTGTTTTTAGATGGGGGTTGAGGGGATGGAGAGAAACATACACGTGAGAGAGACACATCGATTGGTTGTCTCCTGCACGACCCAGACTGGGGCTAGAGATCAAACCTGCAGCCCAGGCACGTGCCCTTGAACAAGAATCGAACCCACAGCCCTTCGGTCTGCAGGCTGGCGCTCTGACCGCTGAGCCAAACCAGTCAGTTCAAGGAGGTGCTTCTTTTTAAAGGGACAGTAAAAAGTTTTGAAAGCGCCCTGGCCAGTTTGGCTGAGCGGTTAGAGTGTCAGCTGCGGTCCGGAGAGACCCGGGTTCGGTTCCTGCTAAGGGCACGTACTTTGGTTGCAGTTTGTCCCCAGCCCTGGTCGGTCGTGCGGGTGGCAGCCACTCGATGTGTCCCTTCACGTCGATGTTTCTCTCTCTCCCTTCCTCTCTCTTCCTCCCACTCTACCTGTACAAAAAATGGAAAAGTATCCTCGGGTGAGAATAAAAAAAAAAAAGTTTTGAAAGCTCTGTAGAAAGGTGCTCTAGCTGAGCCTCCCTGTGTCTCACTCGGGGTACTGGGTGTTCTCTCCATCGCATTGGTGGCCACCTTTCTTCTTGGCCCTGTGCCGTCCAGGTGTTGCTGACGCTGGTGGCCAGTCCCTACCTATACACAGACAAGGCATCCGACTTCGTGCAGGAAGCCAGCACGCTGCAGACCACCGCGGCCAGGCAGGACGCCGACGACGCCAGCATCCCCGTGTCCCACATCGACGGTCAGTGCCGCTCCGTCTTGGTCCTGGGTTCTGAGGTCCGCGGTGGGGGCATGTTAGACCCAGACGTGTGCTCAAGGCCACACAGGGTCCAAACGGATGTCCACTACTTGGCGTCAAAGACCAGCCTACCGTGGAAAGGAAAATGGCTGTTTTTCTGTCATGGAAGTCGATGTGGCTGGTGGCTGCATTATCTGTGTTTGTGCAGTGTTTGCTTCACGCCGGGTGCTGACCTAAGCTCGTCGCACGTCTTACGTGCGCAGCAGCCAAAGGGCCGTGGCTACTGTCCTCGTGTTCCGTCGGGACGAGACTGCTGGCCAGCCTGGCGCAGCGGTGCTCAGCAGCGTCAGGCTGCTCTGGGCTCTGGCCCGCTCTGCGCGCTCCCGGCTCCGCGCGCTCCGGGCTCCGCGCTCAGCGTCCCAGGTGTCGGCGTGCAGGCCTGAACGTGCGGCGGAGGTCCGCAGTCACCGCCGCCTGGCGGACTGCAGCCCGTCACCCCTGCGCTGGCACGTCCTCCTCTCTCCAGAACTAAACTTGGTGGTCAGCAACCCCCCAGAGGAGCTGTCCGTGTTTTCTCCTTTCCACCCACATCATCTTGCGTCCCCGCCCCTGGTGGCTCTCTCCTCAGACGTGCTGGACATGGTGGATGTGCTGGTGGACGGCAGTGAGGGCCTGGACGAGGAGGTCGGGCTCTCGCTGAGCGAGGACATGGCCCAGCTCACGTTTCCGTTCAGCCCCGTGGCCCCCGCCGCCCTGGAAGCCAGGAACAGGCTGCTCCTCGGCACAGGAGGCCAAGCAGGTGCTTGTGGGTGGCTGCCTGGGAGCATCGGGCCACAGCGTCTGTGTGGGGTGGGTGGCGGGGTTCCGGGGGCTCTGGAAATAATTGCTGAAATCCCCCCCGGTGAGAGCTCCCGGCGGCAGAGCTGAGCGCAAGGAGGGGCTCCAGAGGCCGGCCGGGCCATGGGAAAGTCCTCGAGGGGACCTGCAGTACCGTGTTTGTGGGACACACAGGATCCTGCCGTAGTGCCGGTCTTGGCAGTGTCTGTTTCCTGGCCTTTGCTGGGTATCCAGGCAACTTAGACCCCAGGAGGCGCGCCCAGACCATGATGTGTGGTCAGCTGGGATCGCTCAGGCTCTGCTGCAGTGATGAACAGCCCCAGCAAGTCAGCGCTTTAACAGGTCAAGGTCTCTCTCTTGACCTTGGGATAGTCCAGGACAGCCCAGGCAGCTCTGGGAGGCTCTCCTCCAGGAGGTGGCATAGGGACCCAGGCTGCATCCAGCTTGTAGCTGCACCATCCCCACGTGTGACCTCCTGGGTCACGCGGCAGAGGAGGGCGGGTGCAGACAAGCAGGGCTGCTGTGCCCAGCTGGAGTGGTGAACCTGGCGTGCGGCCCCAGCCTAAAGGCCAGGGAGGGGTGTGTCGCGTTGCAGGAGTGGGTTGGTGGCCTTGCCTCACCTCTTCTCTGCCCCAGTCTGCGCCTGTGGGCCTCTGGTGCTGGCATCTGCCTGCCTCCCCGTGTGGCCCCGGGTGGAGTTGGCGTGAATGTCTCTGGTCTTGAACACGAGGATTGGTGTGCCGGTACCCTGAGCCTGCCGCACATCTTCTCCGCAGGAGACAGCGTCATGGCGTACCTGACGGCCGTGCTCACAGACCTCCTACACAGCCAGAGAGACCCCCTGGCGCTCTGTCTCCTGCTTCAGGCCTATGACACGTTGGCGCCTCCCTGCCCTCAGCTGTCCTGCTTCAGCAGGTACTACCGCCTCTGGATCCCGGAGCCCGCCCGGGGGCCCTTGGTGAGTGCGCTCCTGCCGAGACCAGGCCTTCCCTGGGGAGCCCGGCTTTCGTCCTGCAGCCACAGCTGGTTCCTCTCTCTCCTTCCCTGCATCTGAGGAGGCTGCAGGGCTGGGGTTGCCTTTTCCTTTCCCTCCCGGAGCGGTCTGCACACTTGGCGTCCTCACACGGCCTGGGTGTGCTCGGCTGTCACCTGGCCCCGCCCGCGTGCGGCTGGAACTGGGGAAGGGGAGGGTCTGCACTCAGGGTCCAGTCCACAGCCCACGCTCTTCACCAGCTCGCCCTGTGCCCACCCTGCACAGGCCCGGCCAGGCGTTGTGGTGGCTGCACAACAGTTTGGACAGGAGGGCAGTCCGGGGCTGCACTGACGTGGGTGCCCAGGCAGGGACGTCTGCCCTGTGGGGGGCCACAGTTCCTCCACCTGCAGGGCCTCGGGACTCTCTGCAGCTCCACCGCAGCCGGTCTGGGGAGGGCCTGGTAGTTTGCGTTTATCACTGATTCCCTGGTGATGCTGGTCCAGGGGCCCCACCGGAGACCCCCTGAGTTTCAGGGTACATATAGCCTAGTTTTATTTATTTACTTCTTTTTCCTCATCTGAGTATATCTTCCCTCTTACTATCAGGTAGAGGGAAGAAGAGAGAGAGAGAGAGAGAGAGACAAACATCAACATGATAGAGGCACGTTGACTGGCTGCCTCCCACACGATCCGACCAGGGCCAGGGACGAACCGCAACCCATATCCGTGCCCTTGACCGAAATTGGACCCGCGACTCATTGGTCTGCAGGCTGACGCTCTAACCGCTTAGCCAAACCAGCCAGGGCATACAGACTCATTTTATTGGTCTCAGGAAATAGTGTTGGGAGTAGGAAAAATAAAGGTCGTGGGGTAAGTAAAGAACACAGTTTGGGAATTACGTAAGAAGAAATTAATAACTCGATAACTTTGTCTTTGAGTCTGCCTTTTCCCCTCCCAACAAGCTGCTCTGACCGAGGCTCCTGGGGGAGGGCCTGTGGGCGGCATGCAGCTCACAGCTAGGCCTGTGGGCGGGCCCCTGTCCCAGGGGCCGTCCAGCGATGGCTGCGGTGTCGTCATGTGTCACACGCGGCCCTGCGGGCGGGCTCCTGTCCCAGGGGCCGTCCAGCGATGGCTGCGGTGTCGTCATGTGTCACACGCGGCCCTGCGGGCGGGCTCCTGCCCCAGGGGCCGTCCAGCCAGCGATGGCTGCGGTGTCGTCATGTGTCACACGCGGCCCTGCGGGCGGGCTCCTGCCCCAGGGGCCGTCCAGCGATGGCTGCGGTGTCGTCATGTGTCACACGCGGCCCTGCGGGCGGGCTCCTGCCCCAGGGGCCGTCCAGCGATGGCTGCGGTGTCGTCATGTGTCACACGCGGCCCTGCGGGCGGGCTCCTGCCCCAGGGGCCGTCCAGCGATGGCTGCGGTGTCGTCATGTGTCACACACGGCCCTGCGGGTGGGCTCCTGTCCCAGGGGCCGTCCAGCGATGGCTGTGGTGTCATCTGTCACATACAGCCCCTACGCAGTGTGTTCTCAAGATGTACAGACACCTTCTGACTCAGGCCTTCGCGTGAGTGCAGTTTAGGGACCATGTGACGGATCGGACCGGGACTTGTGCACTTATGTGCCACCGGGTCATGTTTTCTGGTTTGCGTATGTGATGGATTTGCCCGTACCTGTTCCCCGGGCCCTGCACCTCCTCCATTTGTGGTGACTTCTCTGTCCTCTTCCCCAGCCGCCCCCGACGCCGGGCAGCCTTGCCCCCCAGGGGCCCTCGGCCTGCTCCTTCGGCGCCCTGCTGCAGACGGCCTTCCAGAGTGAGGGTGAGCTCCTGGACGAAGGGGTGCAGGCGCAGCTGCGGGCCGCCATTCCCCACCTTCCCATGCACCACATCCTTCGATCGGTGAAGCACGTGCTCTTGTACCTGCAGAGCACCGTCGAGCGTTTCGGCCAGGTGAGCTGGCCCTGGAGGGGGTCCATATCCACGGACTGCGCCGACCAGAGTCCTGGGGTCAGGCGCCACGCAGTCCACCCTGGACCGCAGGGCAGGCCCCCCACTCGAGGCCTGGGTGGCCAGTTCGGTGACCCATGCCAGCTGTGTCTCCTTGGAACAGACACGCCCGTTTCTCAGGCCTCACTTGCCAACCCAGCGAGCCCCTCGGCCCTGGGGACGGGGCGCTGAGCGCTGCTGAGCCTCGCTGCTGGGGCCCCTTGTACCGGGGGGCGCAGCCAAGGCGTGGACAGGCTCCCTAAGCGTCTTCACTCCGCGGTGTATGAGCCTCCCGTCCTGATGTGGCCTCCGAGCCCGGGGTTAGGCTTGAGGTGGCTGGTCTCTCACTGAGGTCGCAGGAAGCGTGTGTTCAGTCGGTGTGGAGGCCGCGTCGTGGGGACTGACCTGGCTGTCAACGTCTTTCGAGCAATTGTTTTTCTGGTGTGGGTCCTCCTCAGTGGTGGCGTCACACCCTCTGGTCGGGGTGGACCGGCACCGACGGGACTGGCAGCCCTTCCCGGTCTGAGGGCCACGCGCTCTCGTCCCCACAGCTGGGCAGAAGCACGGGGCCCCGGCTGCTGCAGCTCTTCCTGGACCTGCTGCGGCGCCTGGTCGCGCACTGTGAGCAGCTGGACGCCGAGAACCGGCGGAAGTGTGAGGTCACCCAGGCCGAGTCCGACCTCTTCCTGGACATGGAGGCCGTGGCCTCGCTGGAGCTGGCCGACGACAAGGTATTGTGGGTCTCCGGCCTGCTGGCCTCTGCCTGGGAGGTCGCAGGCACCTGCTGCTTCTCAGTCCCAATTGGAAGGAGACACGTGTCTGTTGCAGGGACACAGAGAAATGCAGGAAATGGCAGGAGACCCTGAGCCAACCTGGCCCTCCCCCCAGAGCATGGTTTCTGTAGGCTCGTCCGTCCCCTCCATGCTCGGTCACCCCCCTGCAAGCAGCCCCCACCGTGGGCTGTGGGCTCTGAGAAACGCAGCACGGACTTTCCCTCTGCACGTGCTGCATCGGTGGGCGAGGCCTCGGGCGGGACCGTCACAGTGATGCCCTGCTCCAGGGGTCGCACCCCGCTCTCCCCGGCGTCTGGTGAAGCAGGCTACCGCGTTTGCTGGTCGGCCTGTTTCTCTGGGTTCGGGAAGTGAACGTGCTCCTCATTCCCGAGTCCCGTGTAGGCCCCTCCTGGGATCTCCAAGGACTTTCAGGGCGTGTCTGCCGGGCAGAGACACCAGTCAGCCGGCCAGTGAAACAGCCCTAATGGAGACCCGTGCTGTGCTTTTCGTACCTGGCAAAGCGAGGGTGTGCAGTATGGACGGCTCCCCTTCCCTTCCCTTCAGAGTGAACAGGGAGAGGGTGTTTCCTCCTGTCTGGGGCATCTGTGCGGCTCCCCTGACTAGGAGACACGCTCACCCAGGCTGCTCAGAACAGCTGAGTCCAAGGCCTCTCGTCCAGCAGAGGGCGCTGTTCACCCCTGCTCAGCAGCCTAGACGCAGGGTGAGAGCTGGTTCCTCAGCTGCTTCCTGGGGTCACGGAGCCAGCTCTCCTCTGTGAATGGAGACAGTTGCCTTCATCCCAGACCAGGATTCCACAGCACTTGAGTCCCACGCACCTTCCCCACTCGTGGGATCTCTGAGCTGTGACTGACCAGCCCTCAGAGGCCGATTTCGCTTGGAGGACAGGGCTGCCAGGGAAGTTGGTGGTCCTAGTCCCACTTGGCACCTCCGGGGCGCCCGCCCCCGTGTCGAGTGACTGGAGAGTACGTCCAGCCAGGCCGAATTCCCCCCGGCACCTGCGGTCTGGGCCAGGCACAGGCCAGGTCTCGGCCCCGCCCTTGCGGTCGTGCCCAGGAGATGCATGTCAGTGGGGTCACAGGTTGGGGTGCTGCAGCTCCCCCGAGAGGGTCCTGGGACCTGGGTTTGCGGACAGGCTGGCTTCCGTCCTACTCACCACGGCGCAGACTCGCGGAGCTGCTGGCCCTGGGCTGCCTGTGTGATCTGTGCCCATCTGTTCCAGACGCTGGAGGAGGTGCTCGTGGCCATCCTCAGACACCCCGTGCTGCAGGGCTGGTACCTGGCCCTGGAGCGGCAGGCCCTGCCCCCACACGCCCTCAGCCCCGTCCTGGCGAAGCTCCTGGCTGCCCACCTCACGGCAGGAGTCCTGCCGCTGCTGACGGCAAGCGCCCCCGTCCTCCAGAGCCTCGGGCGGCTGGACCTGCTGGCCCGGTACTCAGAGGCCATCGTCCAGAGCGTGCTGAGAGAACTTCGAAACAGAAAGGCGGGCCCAGCCACGTCTCCACAAAAAACCCTCCCCCAGCTAGAGGCCCTGCAGGGGCTGCATGCGTCCATGGAGGGTGCCCAGCTCCGAGAGGTCACCCTGGCCCTGCTGAGCCTGCCTGAGGCCCACCTGCTGGCCCAGCGACCCCTGAAGTCCACTGGGAAGGAAAAACGCTTGAATGCTCTTGGCGAGACCCTGGTCCAGCTGTTGAGCAGCAGCCCCCAGGGTCAGCTGCCGAGCAGCGAGCCCCTCTGGGCCTCCGAGTTCGTGAAAGGCCTGGGGGCTTTGCTGCCCACGCTGGCCGTGGACGAGCTGGACACGGTGTTTCTGCGCACCCTGCAGAGAGAGCCCGAGCTGGCGCCCGTGGTCGGGGTCAGCCTGCTCGACTACTGCCTGGCCCGGCGGACTCGCGAGGCCTTGGGCATCGCCACCCTGCTCGTGCAGTGGAGCTGGCCCCACCTGCTGCGGTTCGAGCTGTGGTGCCGGCGTCCGGGTGCGGGGCTCTGCCTACAGGAGGGCCTCGAGGACTTCCTCCCCCTCTTGCACACGTACCTCCAGCGCCGGACCCAGGGACGCTTCGCGCGCCCAGCAGGAGGTAAAGGAAAGGGTGGCTTTGGGCAGCTGGGAAGTTGTAAACCCTGGAACTCCTGTTCTGGGGATGGTTTCATTTCCTTCCCCCAGGGTCCGACCCAGCTGGGGATGGAGAAAGTCTGACTTAACACCCCCCCACACTCTTGTCCTGATGGCTTATGGTAGCAACCCCTCACACTGCCCTCAGTTCCAAGTTACCACAGGGAGCTGGGAAGGGTGGGCAGTAGCTGGGGACCACCAAGGAGGACCAGCACCGGGCTGGGTCTTGTTCGGCTGAGGAGTCATTCGGGGTCATCGTCTCTGTCCTGTCCCACTGTCCCCACCGTCGGGAATGTGGTGACGGTGCTGAGTCCACATGTTCTGGGCTCAGCTCTCTTCTTTCTCCACCTGCTTGGGTTTAGGTCAGAGGCACTTTTGTTTTTAACTGTTGACACTATTATAGGTGTCCCCCATTTCCCCCGTTGCCCCCCTCCACCCAGCCCCCGCCCACCCCAGGCCTTCCCCACACTATTGTCTGTGTCCATGGGCTATGCATATGTGCAGATCAGTTCTTTGGTGAATCTTCTCCTCTCCCCACCCACTCCCCTCTGAGATCTGTCTGTCGTTCCACACATCCATGTCTCTGGACCTATTTTGTTCATTAGTTTCCACATATAAGTGAGATCACGTGGTATTTGGCTTTCTCTGGCTGGCTCATTTCACACAGCATAATAGCCAGCAGGTCCCAGCAGGGGTTGATACCATAAGAGTAAGAGCTTTTTCACAGCTGCATAGTATTCCGTCATGTAAATGGGGGCACTTTTCGATCCCCTGACTTCATCCCTCTGGCTGTATGAGTGGGCGATTTCACTCACCACTCTGCCTCTGTCTGGAGTAACTTCACATCAGTGATGACAGAAGAGTGTTTTTGTTAATTGTTTTATTTTTGTTTGCTTTTGATCCTTACCTGAAGATACTTTTTCATTGATTCTTTGAGATAGAATGGAAGGGAGGGAGAAACATCAATGTGAGAAAGACATGGGTTGGTTGCCCCCTGAACGACCCCGACCAAGGTCGGGGATCGAACCTGCAACCCAGGTATGTTCCCTTGCAGAGCAGGCCCGTGGGAGTCCAGAACACTTGTGCTCGCATCTGCTCCTCGGCTTCAAGCTGGGGTGACCCGGCCCAGTGGTTTGAAGAGCCCGTGGGGGGCTGACCGGCAGTGTGCTGCTGAACGCCTCACACTGGCCCGGGGACTGGCGTCTGCCCTCGCCGTGGCCACTGGCAGGACAGCTGTGCGGTGCCTCCCAGTCGCGAGCTTCCTGGAGCCTAACCGCAGGCTCTCCTGAGCTGGTGGGCGCTGGCGCCACGCCCTTGCACATGACACCCTCTCCTTCCATGTCTGCCAGCGTCCTCTGCTGTTGTCCTGACCTTGAGGAAGGCCCTGTGGAGGCGTCTGCAGTCCAGGCTCCTCGGTGCGGATGGGCCCCAAGAGTCTGCGCTGCTCCCGGAGATCCTGGCCCAGCTGGTCCCGTTCACAAGAGCCAAGGACCTCGCTGTCCTCAAGGACCGTTTGCCCAGCTTGCTGCAGACTCCAGACTGTCACGGGAGGTACGGAGGCTCGGGTCGGTGCTGCTCCCTCGGCTCCGCCTTTCCCTGTGGCATGTACGGCCCGACGAGAATGCTGTGCTGCTCTAGTGCCATCCGGGAGGAGCCAGCTCCTGAGAAATCTCCAGGTTCCCCCAGAACAGTGGTTCTCAACCATGGGTGACATCGGCCCTACAGGGGATAGCGAGCAGTGTCTGACATTTTTATTTCAATGTGGGGGAGTGTTGTTTCCGTCACCTAGCGGGTGGGAGCCAAGGGTGGGGCTGTGTATCCTGTAATGCAGAAGACAGCGAGCATCACCCCCCCACAGGAAAGATGCTGGAAATGTCAACATTGCTGAGGATGAGAGGGCCTGATTTAGACAGTCGCGGCAATATGTCCTTTTTCTGGTGTGCTCATACTGGTCCCCTAGATGTCAACATTCTGGTCCGTTTTCAGTATTTAATAAGGGCAGGGGAAGACCGAGTCCTGTGCTTGGGTGGCCAAGGGAGTGGGACTCGGGGCGGCCATGGTCACATGGGATCATACTTAACACCAGAGGTATGTAGCCACCTTCTCTGACGCGGAGACTTCTGCCCCCTGTGCAGTTGGATTGTGGCCGATTCTGTCTCGACCGTCCTGGAGGGCTCGGCAGAGGAGCTACGTGCCTGGAGAGGGGCTCTGCTGGCGTCCTGTGTGAGCTGGCTGGTTGGGGCTTTCAGTGGCCACCCCCAGGACAGAGACGGTGCCCCATGTCAAGAGAAGCAGATGCTGCTGAGGTTAAACCACCTGTTGGTAGGTGTCCTACTTTTCCTTAGAGTCCTGGTTAAGTATTTAAGGGACAGAGAAAGAGAGACCAAGGTTTACAGATGGCTCTAAGCCAGGGGCCATGAACGTGGCTGGCAAAGAGAGCGGGACTGTCTGGAGGCCAGGGGGCAGGTGGGGCAGCCCTTGCGATGAGGAGCCGTCAGGAATAAATGCTGGGCTTCATCAGACACTGGGCTGCATCTGCTGAGTTGGTTGTTTTTTCCTTTTGGCTTAGTCTGTTAGTAACGCAAATTATATTAATTGATTATTTAAAATTTAATTTATTTTTTCCATCATTGTATATCCCCTCTATGTTCTCTTCCACCTCCACCCTATTCATCTTTGAACATTAAACCAACCTTGCATTCCTAGGGCCATGGGGTATTCATTTTGATTTCTTGCAACGTCTTTGTTTGGTTTTAGGATCAGGTAAACGCCCTCAGAATGGGTTGGGAAGAGTCTCACTGGGTATAAAATTCTAGGTTTTCTGTTTTCCTTTTGCATTTTAAAGGTGTTGCTTTGTTGTCCTCTGGAGTGCACTGTTTCTGATCAGAAATCTGTCATCTTATCTTTGTTGCTCTGTGTTAGGCCCTTTTTCTCTGGCTGCTTTTAGGATGTTTTCCTTTATGTCAGTCAGAGCAATTTGTGATGTGCCTTAGTGTCCTTTCCTTCGAGTTTCCCGTGCTTTGGGTTCAGTAAGCTGTGGTCTCTGAGTTTCGATTTCCATAACATTTGGAAATATTCAGTCCGGCCGGTGTGGCTCAGTGGTTGAGCGTCGACCCATGCACCAAGAGGTCGCCGGTTCAATTCCCGGTCAAGGCACATACCCAGGTTATGGGCCTGATCCCCAGTGGAGGGCATGCAGGAGGCAGCCAATCGATGTTCTCTCTCATCGATGTTTCTATCTCTCTCTCCCTCTCTCTCTAGTCAATAAAGAAAAAAAATTAAAAAGTGAAAGGAAATATTCAGCCATTTTTACCCATTATGCCTTTCTATTGAACTGCTTTTTTTTTTTACACATTATTTTTTTGTGTGGAGATAATTAGCATTAAAGTCTGACCTGAGATGTAGACAGTGACCCTCAGGAAAATGCCCGGTGGGACGGAAGTGAGCGCGACACACCCCAGGCTGCAGGTCAAGCGGCGCGTCTGCCTATTTGCATCGAGAGACTTGATGGCCCGTCTCAGCCTTGACTCGTCGTGTTAGGGTCTGCGTGTAAGGCTGGCACACGGGCACCCAGACGTGGCAAGACCGGGGAAGAGTAGGAACGACCCCAAGTCGAGGGAGGTCTGAGCTGCAGAGGAGTGGGCGGGGCCACTGCCCTGGTCACAGTGAGCCGTCAGCCCCCAGCCAGCGGGCTTGATGACTGCGCGACCGGCTGGCTCTTAGGGTCTGTGCTCGAGGCCTGCGGCCCTCCTCGCCCCGCTGCAATCCCTCTTTCTCTTCCCTTTCAGTGGATCTTCTCCCCAGAGCACTTTCAGGTTCGCAGCGAAATTGAAGGGAAAGTGCAGAGTTCCGTCTGCACCCGCCACACCGCAGCCTGCCTCACCAGTAATGCCCACACCAACCCTTTTCCTGTCATTGAAGTGTATTTTCTTTTTTTAAAATTAATTTTGGAGCGAGCACGACAGACAGACAGACATTGATCTGCTGTTCCACTTATTTGTGCATTGATTGGTTGATTCTTGGATGTGCCCTGACCAGGGATTGAACCCATAACCTTGGTGCATCGGCACGATGCTCTAACCAGCTGAGCTGCCCGACCAGGGCCTGAAGTATGTCCTAAGTATGTCCTCATATTGTGAGATGTGAGCTCTCGATGCCCAGTGCAGTGTCGGCAGACACACGTCCCTGGTGCCCACACTCCCACCCAAGGTTGTCATCATCCCGAAAGTGCCCTGTGCTTTGTCCGGTCAGTCCCCTTCCCTCCAGAGCAGACGCTCCTCTGGTTCAACGGGACAGAGTGTTTGGAGGTTCCCCACAGCAGGGACTGCAACCCACCTTGCCTGACGGTGGTGTGGTGGCCCCTGGGTGGGTGTTGTCACGAGTGGGAGCAGCTGCGTGTGCGGCAGCACTTCGTGCTGCTGAAACGGTCGACGGGGAGAACAGCAGAGCTCGGGGGTCCCTTTTGCTTGTTGCTGGGCACAGGTGCTCCAGGAACACGTGGAACAGTTTTAGAAATCAAAGTACAAGCAAGTCGTGTCCGTGTGGCTTCTTTAGGTGACTGGGTCCCATGTCATTAAGCGGCTCTGGTTCCTGTTCCACGTCCTGGTCTCTCAGATGAGGTGTCTCACGTGTGTTTCTCGCTGGCTTTACCGCAGAGCTCACTTAACGACGTGGATCCCGGTGCCTGGCAGAAGTTCGTGAAGACTGGACTCAAGTAAGTGCCTTTTCCCTGCGTGAGCGTCACTGGCGGGGCAGAGTGCCTGCTCCACCGTCCCAGGGGCTCAGGACATGTCGAGTGGGAGGCCATAGGATCTGCCCAGCCGCGCCCAGCGCTGCTGCTGATGTTGAGAGGCAGCCTCTGAAACATGGGGTGTTTTTTATTTTTATTTATTTATTTTTTTAATCCTCACCCGAGGACATTTTTCCATTTTTTGTTCAGATAGAGTGGGAGGGAGAGAGAGGAAGGGAGAGAGAGTGAGAAACATCGACATGAAGGGACACATCGAGTGGCTGCCACCCGCACGACCAACCAGGGCCGGGGACAAACTGCAACCGAAGTATGTGCCCTTAGCGGGAACCGAACCCGGGTCTCTCTGGACCACAGGCCGACGCTCTAACCGCTGAGCCAAACTGGCCAGGGCTGGGGTATTTTTTAAAACCCAGAGATGTGCCGACACTAATCCAGCAGCCCCACGTTCAGTGAGTGCTGACAGTTTTCCGCACTGGTCCTGACTTATTCTCTTCCCTCCGCTGCCTGAAGTGTCGCCCTGAGGTTGAGCTTCGTCGCAGCCATGCGTGTCCGCACATGGATTGCAGAGCATGCACTCTGAGCCATCAGTGACTGGACAGACAGCTCCCTGATGTGTCCTCCTGCACTCAGGTGTTTCTGCGTGACCCACGTGGGTTCACGTAGCTCTCGGTCATTCGTGTTCACTGCAGTGGGCTCTGTGTCTGGACTGTGCCCCAGTGAGTGCAAGCCGGCCCCTGCCAGTGGACAGCCACCTCCACCCACGCCCCTCCCGCCTGCCATCCCTCGGGAACCCCGCACATGCTGGTTTTCTCGGGGAGGGGTACTCGCCGGCTGTGGGTGTGGACACGGCCTCAGTTTCGTTACATCTTCAGCGTGTTCTCCAGAGTTCAGCTGACCCAGACGGGGTGGTGGTTCACTGTGTCCTCACGCCGTCACCACACCGCTGTGGTCAGACTCTCATGGTGCCTGTAATTCTCAGTGCCCTGGTCATTCAACTTGAAACAGAAAAATACTGTATCCAAGAGGAGAGACGAGTGGAGGTGGTCACGGGCTGAGGACAGCTGTGACGCCGTCATGCAGTGCTGACCTTCTCTCTGCCTTTGTTGGACTTGTGTTTCTAGAATGTCCCCTGTGCTCCATGACTCCTAACAGTGTTCACATGTGAGCGAACTCCACCCCTGGAGCAGGGTGCTGTGTCCCTCCAGCGCTCTGAAGGGATGGGGGAGGCAGACTGGGGCGCGTCTGATGGGGGTGTTGCAGCCGAAGGCAGGGAGGCAGGAGGGAGGCCATCTGGCAGGGGGCAGGGCAGTGCTGTCAACGCAGTTCAGCTCAGCCATTCTGCTTCCTGGCATTTCAACCAGACAGGAAGTTCGTCTGGCGTTGGCGCTGTCAGGAAACAGACACGTACTGCACACACCCCGCCCCTTCTCCAGATGTGCTCGGTGGGTGGTGCAGGTGCGTGTGCTCCTGCCGCGGGAGGACCTGGTGGTGCGTGGCACGCACTGTAAAATCTCCGGCGCTCTGCGCATTGGAACGCTTTCTTAATCAAATGCCAAGGAGAGTGTGTATACTGTTTTCTGTGAAATAAAATTCTTATGAAGCTGTTTCCCCTTTGATTCTTACCTGCCAGGTTTCGGTATCAGGACCCCGCATTTTTGCAGGCGCTCCAAGCCGCCACACAGCTCCTGTACGGCCCAGAGAGCCCCGTGCGCACGAAGCTCGTCCAGCTCCCCGCGGTCCACTCGATGCTCACCCAGCACTCCCTGTTCCTGCCCACCCTGCTGGCGTCCGAGGAGGAGGACGCCCCAAGCGGCCACGTAAAAGGTGACCTGCCCCACCCGCCCATCCGGTACAGGTGCTGTCTCCTGACACGTCAGCCTGCTGTGCGCCGGAGCTGAGGGAGCTTTGCCCAAAGGACGTGCTTGTTCTGTCAGGTCCGAGTTCAGGCAAGGTGTCCCCTGATGTGGGTCCGGCAGCGATGCAGACATCTCTTCAAAGCCCATTTTGGATCGTGGAAGTCCTGCTTACGGTCTTACGGCCACATCACGGGCATAGTTAAAATCTGAGTTACATGGAGAGTCTGACCCGAGAGATTTAGTTGCTTGAAACGTCTTAATGGGAATATGGAGGCTTCTCTCAAGGGCCACGGGTTCGTGCTTCCCTGTAAACAGGTCCCTGTGAGGGTTTCAGCTCCAGCCATAGGTCAGCACGCACCGACCTGAGCGCCTATGATCTCACACCGGGCGCGGGCTGTGGAGACGTCAGAGGTGGCGGTCTGAAGGGTCCTGCCCTCGAAGCCACACTGTTTAGAAACAAACTTGACGTTCCCTGTCAGAAATCACCATGAGGTGGGTCCGTAATAAATGGCTAAATCGAGGAGAATCATACCCAAGTTAGGAGAAGAAAAGTTAGAGATTTGGTAACACTCGTGGGAGATGATTAGGTTTTAAAAAACCTTTGTGGCTTAAAGTCTGGGAGGGGCAGTGGGACTGAGACCAGCCTTGTCAGAGACCAAGAAAGAGACCGCAGGTGGTGAAGATGTGCTCACCCCGGGCCCAGTCTTGCTCAGAAGAGGACATTTCCAGCTCTCAGTGTTCCCTGAAGTGCATCCCCCACTGCTATGCACACACTGCCATGCACCTACTCCCGAGCACACACTCCTGTACACTCACTGCCGTGCATACTCTGAAGCACTTGCTGCCTTGCACACACTGCCATGTACACACTGCCGTGCACTCCCTGCCATGCACACACTGTTGTTTTCCCCCAGAGGCGCTGGTGGACCTGATGTCGGTGGTGGTGAGGATGTGTCCCTCGGTCTGTGAGAGCAGCCACTTCGCTGTGCTCCTCGGGGCCTATGGTGCCTCTCTCAGCGTCCTGGGTGAGAGGGGGACCAGGGAGTGTGCGGGGACCAGGCAGTATGATGGGGGTGGGCGGTGTAAGGGTTCAGCTCTCTAACTTGGCCTCAACGGACTTCCAGACCAGAAGATTTTACTTCTCCTGCGGGCATATGAACAGAACAGCATCAGCCTCATCAACTCCAGGTGAGCGCTGGGCCTGGAGGCGTGAGTGGAGGGCTCGGCGGGTGGTTTGCTCTTGCTCCTTCCTGGTCCTCATGGGGGGCGGGATTGCAGCTCCCACATTCCACAGGCTGCTTCGCGAAAGGCTGAAGCTGTTGGTGGCGGGAACAGTGTGGGGCTGTCCTGCTGGCTGGTGGCTGTGTGTCTGTTCGGCACCGGCTCCCACACTCACCCCAACTGCATTGTCGAGTGTGGTGGATTTTTCTGGAAACCTTTTCGTGAACTACTCTCCCCTCTGGCTTCAGGGTGCTGCTGTGGGGCCCGGCGGCTGTGGAGCATCACAAGACCAGCCGCAGCCTGGGCAAGTCGCTGTGGCAGCAGCCGAGTGCCGGGGACATCCTCCGCGTGCTGGATCGCGACCGGATGATGATGACCATCCTCCACTTCCCCCAGAGCCGGAGGCTGCTGCCCCCTGAGGTGCGGGAGGCCTGGTCAGAGCTCCCAGGGCGCGCCCACAGGCCTGCCCCTCCCTCCAGGGCTCCATCTGCACCGCCAGCTCTACTGGACTGAAATACAAGCGCTCTGTTTTGTTCACTTCTTAAGTCACATTGCACACACAGATACAGAGCCAGGGCCCCAAGCACCCACCGCTTGGTTCCAGGTGACTGGCACGTGCCCGTTTGTAACGTGCCCCCATGGGCAAGCACTGCCTGTCCAGAACTGACGTGGAAGGTTCTTGGATATTCAGCACAGTTTGCACTCTGGGTGCAGGGGCAGGCAGTGTCCTGGTGTCCTCTCTGAGAGGGGACAGTGCATGTTTTTGTCTGGGCTCTTCTAGGATGCACGGGATCCAGTATTTAAAGACGGGAGCACCGCAGATCTCGACACCCTGTACGACCCCTGCTTTCTCCTGCACCTGTTCAGTGAACTGACCAGGCCAGGTAACTGCAGCCTGGGGGGTGGGTAGAGGCAGGTCCTGCAGGGTTAGCAGCGACCCTTGGGCAGCCTTTAGCTGCCTTCTCACCTGTCATCCCAGTTAATGTTTCAAACATACAGTGACTTTAAAAAAAAAAAGACATTTATAATTTAAAGCATCCCTTTGTCTCTGGTGTTCATCCTCATTCTCAGTGACAAGGGCCTTTCTGAGCTCTCACCAGGTGTGCTCGCTGCCAGCAGGTTCTGTCCCTGAGGAGCACTGATGCTGGGCTTGAGTTCTCCATGAGTGTCTGAAATGGCATTTGTGTCCAGTAGCTGAGGGTGGGAGTCTCTGGGTGGGTGTGTGAGAGAGAAGGAACCGAAGTGTGTTCTTTCTGCTCACTGGCTGGGCCCGTGGGTGCTGGACGGGCTCCCCAGGCTCCTGTCCACTGGACTCAGTGGCCGCGGACGCATCCGGCGAGCCTGGCTCGCTGTGCGGCTCATTTCTCCCTTGTCCGGCCTGAAAGTGTCCCTCCATGAGCACATTGCAGCTCCGCCCCCGCCGACCTGCGGCAGTCCCACCAGGCACGGTGCTGGGGTCCTGGGGCTCACCCCTCAGTGGGCTGTGAGGTCACGGCTGCGGCGTCTCTGTGGCCCTGGTGACTGTCAGTGGCAGACCACACGCAGCACACCTGCTCCCAGTGTGTGGCCAGGAAGGTGCTGCTGCCCATGGCCTGGCCGCTGGCTAAGTCTGCTGCTCCGCAGACATGGAAATGGATCTTCCAGCGCCTAAAGATACAGCTCGACCTCTGAACTACAACCAGTCATTTAGTCGGTTGCGCTGTCTCTCAGAGCTTTTACAAAACAAGGTAAAGGCTTGGAAAACGCTCAATAGAAAAATAGTAAAGTCAGGGCACAATGTTTTCCTCAAAATCTTGAACACTGCCTCTTTGGGGCAGGGGCCCAGGGCCTGGGAGCCTTCTGCGAAGAAAGGCGACCAGCGAGTGGTCTGTAGGTTAGGGAATCTCCAGCTACAGCCTGCTGAGTTGGCTCGTCTAGCACAGGAAGTGTGCAGAGCACGTCTGCTCTAGAAAGGGCTCGCAGCGCTTGGAGTGCCAGTTACATCAGAATCATTCCCACCGAGGTGGAGAAGTGTTGAAGCATGGACAACGTATTAAATCATTTTTTACTGAAGTGTTATAGACAGAAACGTAGGCAAACTGTGTGTGTGGCCTGCGTTTGAAGTCATCAGCTGGGTCAAGAAACAGGTGACCTTCAGCTCCGGGAGCCCCTTCCTGGGCAGCACCCCCTCGCAGCAGAGACCCGTGTCCTATGGTTGGACCCCGGCAGCCCCATTTATCCCACATCACTTGAGTGGGACTCAGCCATGCCGTGGGCAGCGGGTCTTTTGCCAGCACGTTCTCACTTCCGACAGCGGCACCTGGTCTGAGTGTTGCCAAGCGTTTGCAAGTGAAAGTGTACCACTTTGGCTGGTCGCGGCCCTTTACAGTAGAGTGGGTGGATCCCCTGGCTTTCGAGCTGTCTTTATCACAGTTCTACTGTCTGCGAAAGCCCACCCTACGTTGATTTTGCTTCAAGTTGTCAATTAGCTTTACCGCGTAGTTGCCATTTTTGGTTCTCTTTACTCCTGTGTGTAGGTCCAGATTGCCATCGTCTGTCTAAAATACTTCCTTTAAAAATTCTTGCAGTTCAAGTCTGCTGGTGATCGATTCTTTCAGCATTTTTACGGAAAAAAAAGACTTAACTTTTGAAAAATTTTAATGGAGTATGAAATTCTAGGTTGGCAGGGTTTTTTCTTACTCTGTTTTAAAGAGCCACCCTGATTCTGAATTGTGTTATTTCTAACAAGAAATGTCATTCTTTGTTTCCTTGTACGTTATGTGGCTGCCTTTAAGATTTTTTTTTTTTTGGTCACTGGCTTTAAGCAGTTTGATTATGATGTACCTTGGTGTCATTTTCTTATATTTCCTGTGTTCAGGTGTCCATCGAGTCTCTTGGCTCTGTAGGTTTATTGTTTTTGTCAAATGTGGAAAAGTTTTGGCCATTATTTCTTCAGATGTTTTCAAGGACTCTAATTACATGTATATTAGTTTGAAATTGCTCTACAGCTCACTGATGTTCAGTTCATGTTTTTAAATTCTTTTTTCTCTGTGTGTTTCCATTTGGATAGTTTCTGTTGCTGTCTCCAAGTTCACAGTCTTTTTCTCTGCTGTGCGTAATTTGCTGATAATCCCATCCAGTGTGGTTTTCATCTCAGACATTTTAATTTTCATCTCTAGAAGGTTGGTATGGGCTTTTATATCTTCCATAGCTCTGCTTAATCTCAATCTTTCCTCTAGCTTTTTGGACACGTAGAATGCCTGTTTTAACATCTTCGCCTACTACTTCTGTTGTCTGTGTCGTCTTTAAGTGGTGGACTTCTTTTTTTGTTATGGGCTGTACCTATGCTTGTTTGACTGGTCGTTTTTTGTGGGGTTTTTTTAATCCTCATCTGAGAATATTTTTCCCTTTATCTTCAGATAGAATGGGGTGGGAGGAAGAGAGAGAGAGAGAAATATCAATGTGAGAGAGACACATTGACTGGTTGCCTCCTGCACGATCCCGACTGGGGCCGGGGAAAAACTGCAACTGAGATACTTACCCTTGACTGGAAGCGAACCCACGACTCTCTGGTCCAAGGACCGACACTCTAACCCCTGCGCCAAACCGGCCAGGGCTCTGGTCGTTTATCCTGGAAGCCAGACACTGGTTTTCACCTAGTCTGGTGCTGGTATTTTTGTATTTCTGCGAATGTTCTGGAGCTTGTTTCAGGACACATTTGAGTTCCTTGGAAATGGTTTGATCCTTCTAGACTTGCTTCTAATCTCTGTTAGGTGAGACCAAAGCAACACTGAGTCAGGGACACACTTCACCTCACACTGAGGTGAAACCCTCTGAGAACCCTGCCCTGTCCCTGGGAGCTGTGGGGGTTGCGCCCTGGCGGGGGATGGGAACTGTTTCCCAGCGGTGAGCCCGTGTCTGCAGCTGCAGCCCTGCGGTGGTTCCTCGCCAGCCTCAGGCAGCCTCTGCACACACGTGCCCATCGGAACTCGCTCAGGAACCCCCACTCGGTGGGCCTCTCTTCTCTGGGACTTTGCCCAGGGAACTCTGGTCCCCTTGGCCTCCCAGGCCTCCCGTTCTGTCTCCTGCCCCCAGAGTTCTCTAGCTTCCACTTGGGTTTGCCCTTTCTGTACCGCATCTGGGAACCACTGAGACTCAGGGTTCACTGCCCTCCATTGTCTCATGTCCAGTGTATTGAAAATCTTTGTTGCATTTCTTCAGTCTAGGTTTCTAGCTGCTTCAGGTGAACAGGTAAATTGGTTCCTATCACTCTCTTGGCTAGACGTGGACATCCTGGTTATTCTTTGATTCAGTATAACAGTTGAGACGCGCCAAGGAAGGGACAGTATGTAAGCGGCCCCACCTCCGTCCACCTGGGTGGGATCTGCCACCTGTGACCAGGAAGGAAACTCGGTTTAAAGTGACGGCTACGTTTGTGCACAGCCACCCACTTGAAGGCCGTCATGTCTCTCTGAAGCTACTTGGGTGAAGGAGAGGTTGCTGATCATCACAATTTTCCTTCTTTTTATTTTATTCCCAGTTTTTAAATTGCTGAGGTTATTTGTTTAAAAGTCTAACTTTATTTAGGAAGAGAAGAGAAACAGAGAGTTTCACTTTTAAGACTTGTTACCAGTGATGTACCTTTTATTGATGGCATATCCCAAGATTCCCCGCCTGCAGTAGTCATTCAGGTGGCTTGTGCCTGGCTCCTGGTGTAGCTTGGTCACCAGTTCCTCTGTCTAAACAAGACCTTCATGCATGGCTGTCCTGACCAAGCCCTGCTTGATCGCTTTAATGCAGTGACTGTGTCTGTTTTGAGTTTTTTCTCAGCAGTGTTTATCTTGTGAAAAGGCCTGGGTTTTTATTAAAGAGGATTTGGAATATCCTGAATTTCCGTACTGACAATCAGGAAGGTCCCTTCATGTATCTGACCTGCTGTCTCCCTCACATCCTTTCCTGGTGCACTCGTGAGTCTCTTGAGGACTCACAGGTAACAAAGCAGGCTCTTCAGGCTGTAGCTCAAGTTTAAAGAGAGAGTCAGGCTGCAGAGTGAGTGGAAGTCAATCCTTTGTAAACTGTCCACTGGAGTTGACTGGTTTGCATCAGCCGAGTTTCCTAGCTTCGCTACCTGTGGATTGTCCTTAGTGCTCATGGGTTGGAACGCAAAGGCAGCAGCTGACGGTGGAGTCAGGAGCCGGTTTTCTGTGCTGAGCCCCTGGGAGTTGCCCTGGCCTCTGGGATGCTGAGATCTCAGGTTTCAGGTCTGGATGGCACATTCCCTCTTCTCTGAGAAGTGCTAAGATAGCCCTGGTTGGGATTCACAAGCATGTTAGAGACTGAAGGCAGAGGAGTTAGAGGCTGCGGAGGGAAAGACAGCCTGAACCCAACCTCATCGGGAATTAGGGGAGCTGCAGAGACTTGCACTTCTCACATCCAGGAGTTAGGGGAGCTGCAGAGACTTGCAGTTCTCTTTTCCAGCACATGCAGCTGATGTTGGTGCAAAAGGAAATTCACTTCGTGCGTCACACAAGCAGAGAGTGTGTGTGTGTTTAATGCTATGTCTTATTTCCCATAGAGTTTGTGTTGGATTGTCGAAAATTTCTGGATTCAAATGCTCTGGGCCTGACTGTCGCAGCCCTCAGCAGCTACGACGCCCCGATGCGAGCGGCGGCCTACAGCGTCCTGGCGGCCTACTACTCACACGTGGAGGGAGCCCGGTTCCGAGAGCAGCCCCAGGTGAGGGGCAGAGGGCGCATGGGAGGCTGTGGATGCCACTCTATGCCTGGGCTGCGGGGCGGGTTTCTGAGTTGCCAGGAGACCTGTGTTCCCACCTGTGGGTGATCCTGGAGGCGGCCTCTGGGCCTCGGCCCTGGGGAAGTTGAGTGAGGCCTCCCCTTCACACATCCATGTCGTGGGTGGGCAAAGGTTCATTTCTGCTGGTTCTTTCTTTGGTTTAAACTCAGTGGCTAAGGTGGCTGTTATCCACGTCACCCAGCCTGGTGCCCGGGAGGTGGGGACAGGAGCAGGTTGGATTGTCAGGGCATGGAGCCAGGGTTCTCTTTGCCCGTGGCCAGATGCCTGGCTCATCCAAGAACAGCAGAAAGCGCTCCTGAGAGCAGGGGTGTGGCTGTTACAAGTGTCCCCTTTAGTGGCCCTGGGACGTGAGGAGCAGGCACCCTGCAAGGCTGTGCCTGAGGCTGCACGAGGCAAGGCTTGTCACAGGTCTGAAAACACTCTTCTCCTGGCTTTAAGGTGCTCTACCTGTTGGACGTAGTCCGGAACGGAATCCGAACTCAGAACATGAGACTCACCTTTACGTTGGCTCTCTTCATTGCCAAAGCAGCCCTGCAGATTCTGAAACCAGGTACCTGATAGGGTGAGGTTGGGTGTGATCAAAAAGTGGAGTCTGAGCAGGGTGACCTGCCGTGCCTGTGAGAAAGGACAGTAGATAAATGGTGGCTGTGAGGAGGGGTTTTCAGGGCCCCTGTGGAATAGAACCCAGGAAAACCACATTGAAACAGCTGGGTGCAGAGCCCGTGTGTGGCATGTTTGCAGAAACTGGGGTGTAAGCTGACCCGCGTGCCAGCTCATGGGCACTGTGAGGGACCTGCACCTGAAGACACTTAGCGGATGCCTGGCACAGCCAGAGGATGTTGTTCAGCTCGGTTAGGCCCCCAGCCAGAAGGGTTGGGCCCATGTGTCCCTGAGCAGCGGCCCCGCCACCCCACCGCAATGGAAGCTAGTCCATATGGGGCCTCGTTGTGGGTGAAAGTCATGGAATGTCCGTGCCATTGGGGACCACAGGGATTTTTAGTGTTACAGGGTCATTTTCAGGTGAGGGAACAGTGCCCCAGCTTGAGGCCCCGGGTAGAGAGCTGGTTCCACAGTCGGTCTCCGGCCACGTTGCTGTGAGAACGCCGATCCGATTTTGATCTGGTCTCGCATCACTTTGATTACATGGGTTTTATCGCTGTGGAGATTTGGGGAGGAAATAAGGTAATTCTCCATTTGCAGCTGAAGAAAAAGCAGTTCTGCCCTGGCCAGTTTGGCTCAGCGGTTAGAGCGTCAGCCTGCGGTCCAGAGAGACCCGGGTTCGGTTCCCGCTAAGGGCATGTACCTTGGTTGCAGTTTGTCCCTGGCCCTGGTTGGTCGTGTGGGTGGCAGCCACTCGATGTGTCCCTTTCACATCGATGTTTCTCTCTCTCCCTCTCTCTTCCTTTCTCTCCCTCCCACTCTATCTGAACAAAAAAATGAAAAAATGTCCTTGGGTGAGGATTAAAAAAAATAATAAGAAGAAAAAGCAGAGCAGTTCTGAGAAGTCCTGGCAGAGGCCACCCTGTGATCCTCGCCTCCCATGTGGTCTGTGCTGTGTGGACGAGTCTGTTCCCATCACCTCACATGGTCGGGTCGGCTGCAGGCAGCCTGGGGGAGCGGCGGGGGAGGGAGTGTCTGCCCTAATCGGCCCCCATATTCCAGAGCCAAGTGCCCCAGGCTGTCCGAGACCCTTTGCTGGGCAGTCCCTTCACTAAGAGGCCGGTGGGTGTGGGTGTGGACCCTGCGCTCTGGGTCCTGGTTCCACTCTCCCTGAGCTGAGTGGCAGTTCTGAGTAGCTGGTGGTTTCTGAGCCCCGAGAAAGCCTGTGTGCGACGTAGACCGGGCGTCTTCCTGCACGCCATCCTGGGAACTGGGATCCTGGAGGCGGGTGCTGGGCGCCGTGCTCAGGACTGTCTCCTGTGTCCTCAGAGGAGCACATGTACCTGAAGGTGAGCGGGTTCCTGCTGTCACACGAGGCCTTGAACATGAGCAAGGTCCCCGGCTTCTTCCAGTTCTTCTACAGCTCGGATTTCCAGGTAATGCCCCAGGGCCGCGCCTCCCGGGCCTCCAGCATTGGCTGCTCACCCTGGTGACCACTGCCTCGCCGGGACCTTGGCCCTCAGGACTGCCCGCAGCCAGCGCGCCTGCGCAGTGTGTTGGGGCCGAGGCCTGCGTGCGGCCTCACATGGGCCTGCGTGCGCGCGCCCGCCTCCAGGCCTGCGCAGTGTGTTGGGCCCGTCGCCTGCGTGCGCGCGCCCACCTCCAGGCCTGCGCAGCGTGTTGGGCCCGACGCTTGCGTGCGGGCTCACATGGGCCTGCGTGCGCGCGCCCGCCTCCAGGCCTGCGCAGTGTGTTGGGGCCGAGGCCTACGTGCGGCCTCACATGGGCCTGCGTGCGCGCGCCCGCCTCCAGGCCTGCGCAGCGTGTTGGGGCCGACGCCTGCGTGCGGGCTTCACGGCGCTCGCTACCGCTGCTGCCTGCGGCGGGGGCGAGGGTTACCTGCGCCTTTACAGCGCACCTGCCTGACTCGCACGGCTCAGTGTCTAGACGAGCTCCGTCCTTGGTCCCTGACTTGAAGCCGAGTGGGAGGTGGTAGTGAGGCTCCTGTGGGGACCAGGGAAAGGGTCAGGCCCGGGGCGTTGCGTCCTCCTCTTCTGGAAGCGGCGGTGCCGCCTGCGGGGCTGACCGCGAGCTGTTTGTCCCGCGCCTGCTGCAGCACAGCGCCGAGCGGGAGTGGCTGTTCCAGCTTCTGCGGCAGGGGATCCGCGACAAGCACTGCTACGACCTCTACGCCAGGCGGGGGGTGTTCCACGTCGTGCTGTCCTTCTTCCACAGCCCGCTGTGCGACCCTGCGGCCCAGGTACGCCCGCCCCCAGGTGCGCCCGCACTCCGGCCCCTGCCGCTGCCCGGTCTCGGCTCTTAGGGCTTTTTGTGCTGGGTTTTTTTTTCTTTATTAATTTTATAGAGAGAGGGAGAGAGAAAGAGAAACTGATGAGAGAGAATATCCATTGGCCGCCTCCTGCACGCCCCCCACTGGGGATCGGGCCCACAACCTGGGCATGTGCCCTGAGCGGGCATCAAACCTGCGACCTCTTGGGGCGGGGTCCACGCTCAACCACTGAGCCACACCGGCTGGGCTCAGTTCCTAGGGTTTAACTTGGAAATTAAAGTTAACTCTCAGGAAATTGTGTAAACTCTCAGGCAGTCGGGGTACGACTGACCACTGAGCTGTCTATAGCCTCACGTGCAAGGAGGGAGAATGATAGTCTGCGGTGTGTGCAGCTGTGCATGGTTCAGGTGTGATGGTGACAGTCAGCTGATTGGTCAGCGTGGGCCTCAAATGACCCCACAAATGAGACCCTCTCGAGTCACTCGAATTTTATGTAATGCCCCAAAGCTGCAGGTCATCAAAACTGGCTAGGAAACGGGGGTCAGGAGGTGACCCTGCCTGCCTCACAGCTGAGGTACTCTGCCAGCTGTCGCCAGACCACGAGCTTGGGTGGGAGCCTCCCAAGTGCTGTGGGCAGTTGGCGGAAGCAGCTAGGTGGAGCCCCTGGTGTCTGGTTTGTTTCTTATGTGATAGAATGTGGTGAGCAGCACTGAGGGACACATGTCAGTTATTTCTTATGGCTGGGAGAGTTCTAAAGCACCAGTTCCTGGCCCTGGGGCCGTGCCTGTCTGCACCTTCCTTTCCTGGTGGGAAGACAGGGACAGATGGGCCGCAGCCTCCCCCAGCTCAGGCTGCTGCCGACCTGGGCCATGCCGTTGGCATGCGCGCCTTTGCTCCTGGGATTCACAGAAATGGGTGCCCGTTGCTGCCTGCGGGAGGGTGCGTTCCTGCGCAGTGGCACTGCTCAGGCAGCACGTGTGCCAGCCCTGTGACCGTGACGTGCCCCTTTGACCACGCCCGGATTTCCCCCTGCAGAGTAACTCTTTGTTCTGGGTTTTCAGAATTGGGTCCTGGAAATTCTACAGAATGCCGCCCGGGATGCCAGGTCTGCCCATGAGCTCCTGCGGGACTACAGCCTGTTGACGTGGGTCCTGCACATCCTCGAGGGCGGGTGAGCCCCAGGGCACGAGGGATGGTGGTGGTGTCTGCTGACGGTGCGCTCACTGGAGATGCCCAGTGGAACACCTCCAAGCCGTGCCCTCTAGTGCCACCAAAGGCTGGCGACAGCTCCAGGCAATGCCAAGTGGCATCCCTCTCTTGGAGACTCAGCGGAGTGCAGCTGCTGTTGGCATGGGGCAGCCCCACCACCCTCCAGGGGCAGGGTTGACATGGACGTTGTGTGAGTCCTGGGGCGGCCATACGATCACCGCAGATGGGAGGGGCTCAGACAGCAGGGACTAAATTTCTCAGTTCTGGGACTGGAAGCCCAGGTCAGGGAGCCACTGTGGGCAGTTCTGGTGAGATCTCTGTCCTGGGCTTGTAGATGGCCACCTTCTCGCTGTGTCCTCACATGGGGGGGAGGGGAGAGAACCTGGTGTCTCCTGTTCCTACAAGGGTGCTAATCCCATCATGGGTACCGCTCTCGTGGCCTCGTTGAACCTATCACCTCCCAGAGGCCCAGCCAGGTGGGGGGTTAAGACCCACATATGGCCCGGCTGGTGTGTCTCAGTGGCTGAGCATCAACCCTGCACCAAGAGGTCTTGGTTCAATTCCCAGTCAGGGCACATGCCTGGGTGGGCCTGATCCCCAGTGGGGGGGCAGGCAGAAAGCGGCCAGTCGTTCTCTCTCATCAATGTTTCTCTCTCTCTCCTTCTCCCTCTCTTTAAAATCAGTTTACAAAAAAAAAAAAGACTTCCCCATATGAATGGGGTGGGGGGATAATTTAGTCCATAGCGTGACCTATTTTGATCCCTGACAATCTGAGTCAGAGGCTGTGGGCTATGAAGCCTTGTCTCAGCAGACTGCACTCCTGCGGGAGAAATCTTTCGAAGAGCCGACTGTCCCGGCAGCGCAGGGACGCCAGGCCCTCTGTGCAGTCTTTAAGGTAGTTTTAGAGATTGCTCTAAGCCCTGGCCGGTCTGGCTCAGCGGTAGAGCATCAGCCCACAGACCAATGAGTTGTGGGTTTGATTTCAGCCAAGGGCATGTACCTCGGTTGCGGTTCGTCCCTGGCCCAGGTCGGGGTCGTGCAGGAGGCAACCAGTCAGTGTATCCCTCTCACGTCATGTCGATGTTTCTTGCTCGCTCTCTCCCTCTCTCCCTACTACTCTGTCTGAACATAAGTAGGAAAATGTTCTTGGGTGAGGGTTAAGAAAGTTTTTCTCTAAAAGAAAGTAGTACCATAAATCTCTCTGGACATCAGCCTTCAGGCTGTTTCTGAGTGGTGGAAGGTGTAGTCGGCTGTTGACACTGGGAGGTCAAGTTGTTCTCGTGAATTGGCGGCGGCGCTGCAGGGTTTCTCCAGCTGGGACTCCGGGTGGGTGTCGGGTGGCAGGGGATCTGGGCCTAGGCTGTGTTGAGGTCAGTTTGTAGCAGACGCCTGTTCTTACCGGGGCTACAGCGGATGTGAGCAGACGGCGTTGTCGGGTGGGAAAGCCTGTGGGCCCCGCGCGGCCCTGCCTCCAGCGTCCTCGTCCCTTCTGGGTCCCGCCCACGCTGCCATGCTGGCGGACCGGGCTGTGGCCATGAGCATTCGGATTGGGTTGCAGGTTCCTGGAGACCCCGCTGCTCTCCAGCATCATCTGCCTGCTGCACACGCTGTGGGAGAGCGTCCTGGGGAACAGGGCAACGGAGGACAGCGGTCGGCCCCCAGGCCTGCCCGGGCCCAAGGAGCCCCCGCAGCTGCCGGCCCTGCACCTGGTCGACGAGTTCCTGTATGTGCTCCTCGTGCTGGTGAAGCACCTGAGGTAGGCCCCTCCCCCGCCAGGCCTGAGCCTGGGGCTGTCACCTCTCGCTGGTCCCCGCGGTCAGGGCTGCAGCCACCAGCTTGCTCAGCTGTCTTCTCTTTTCCACTTCAACTGCCTGGGCTCCTTTCACGGCCCGGGACCCCGAGCACGTCCAGCTCCCCCAGCGCCCCAATGTCTGATTCAAGCTCACAGGGACGCTCTGTAGAGGGGCGTGTTTTCCGTCACCTTGCCGTGGAGAGGGAGGGTGTTCCCAGGCTGGCGTCTGCCTCGGCCTGCACAGGTCCCTGTCCTTGACCTTGCCTGCGAACAGCAGCAGGTCCGCCTGGCTCCTCGGAGTGGCCCTCGTCTCCCAGCACAGCCCGCCGCCCTCAGGCCCTCCGGGTGGGGGCACAGGTGCTGGCTGGGCCAGGGGCTTGGGAGCAGACGGACACGGTCTCAACGGAGTCCAGCCCGAGACAGGGCCTTTGTCTGCGGTTCTGAATGACCCCGGTCGCCGCGCCCTGCCCTTTGCCCGTTTCTTGTGGGGCTGTTGGAGGAGCTGGTCTCTGAGGACTGACTGATCTGGGGTCGTGTGGAGCAGATGGTTGCATCTTACACCCTCAGAGCAGAGAGGTCAGCTTTCCTCCCTGCAGCCACCAGCAGCACTGGCCAAGGGCGGAGCTGTCCCGGCTCTCCTGGGCCTTCCTGGGCCGAGTAGATGCCACAGGAGTGGGCGGTCGTGAGCGCTCACCAGGCGACTCTGGACCTCAGACCCTCGGCTCAGCTGTCCGTCAGCCATGGTTCTCTGGGGCACCTTTGCCTCCGGGGATCAGACTGGGTCCTTGCATGCTCCCTTCTTGCTGTCCTGGTGCCGGGTTGTGTGTGCCTGCCATGAAGGGGAGTGGCCACCTGGTCTAGGGCTGCAGGACAGGGAGGCAGCTTTTGCTCAGTGGGTGCCTTTCTCCCAACAGGCCCGCCTTGGCCTCTACCCAGCTGATCAGCTTCTTTGGGGCCCTTGACTCCGCGCTGAGGTGCCGGGCCACCATCATGCAGGCCTTCGGGGCCACGGACCGCCTCACCGTGAACGAGAGCGTGCTGTCCACCAGGGACGTCCTGGCCCTCCTGCACACGTGGGGCCTCGTCGAGAGGGACGCTGCACTCCAGGAGGCCCTGAGAGCCGTCGCGGAGAGGTTCCAAGTCCGGGAGCTGCTGAGTGCGTGGCCCTCACTGTGGTCTTGCCTTGCTGCGCTGCTTCCCTTGAACGGCCACGTCCTCCCGGCTCTGAGCCGTGTTCCATAGCGGATGAGGCTGAGAGATGCCTGTCCACTGTCGTTCTCTAGAGGGGAACTTGAGGACCTGGCTTTGCGCCGGCTCTGCCCACCAGGGAGCTCCCTGTCCCGGCCCTGATGACAGTCCCCGTCCAATCCCTGCACTTGCTGAGCCCTAGGCAGAGCGACCACTCGGTGCCTCTGAGCACCCTCCTCCGCCCCCTCCACTGTGTGCCCACTGCCGGTCTCACCGTCTTTTCTCTGTGACAGAAATGCTCAAGGACAGGAACAAGCCTGCCGTGCCAGCCCGAGCCAGAGGCCCTCGGGGCCGGAAGAGGAGGCCTGGGGAGGCGGAGGATGAAGTCGGCCCTGAGCTGCAGGCGTCCAGCTTGGAGACGTGCAAGGGCCTCCTCAGGTCCATACTGACCCACTGGGGACCAGTGTTCCCCGGCCCTGACACTGCTCAGGAGCCTGAGAACCAGGCCGCCCCCCAGAGCGAGGCAGCGGGCCCCGTGCACGCTGTCGCCTCCCTGGTGGTCAGCTGGATGCTGCGGTCAGCAGCCGAACGGCCGTTCAGCAGCGCCGAGGCTGTGGGCGTCCTCGGCTGGCTTCAGAGCTACATCGTGCTGCAGCCCGTGGTCGTGGCCGAGCTCCTGCAGGACGGCTTGGCGAGGAGGGGCGTGTTCAAGCTGTACAGCCAGCTCTGCGGCGCAGGGGAGCCGTCGGGGTCTGAGCAGCTCATGCTGCAGCTGGTGGCAGCCCTGGGCCCAGCGGGGACACCCCTCCACCCGGCAGTGCAGACCCTCCACCTGGCTCTGGACGACAAGGAGGAAGCCACACGAGGTGATGCTGGCTTGTGGGTCAGAGGCCGAGGAGGTGCCATGGGCGAGGGTGGGGAGCAGCCCTCAGCCAGTTCTGGGGACTGTGGATAGTTGCCATCGGCCCTGATGGGAAGGGCGGGGAAGCCAGTGCCTGTGCATGCAGAGGTCAGACCTCTGGAGACAGTCATTTCTTTTTTTTTTAATCCTCACTCGAGGATACTTTTTCATTCTTTGTTCAGATAGAGCAGGAGGGAGGGAGGGAGGGAGAGAGAGAGAGAGAGAGAGAAACATCGACGTGAAAGGGACACATCGAGTGGCTGCCACCCGCACGACCAACCAGGGCCGGTGACAAACTGCAACCGAAATACGTGCCCTTAGTGGGAACCGAACCCGGGTCTCTCTGGACCGCAGGCCGACGCTCTAACCGCTGAGCCACACCGGCCAGGGCTGAGACAGTCATTTCGCAGTGCGGGGGTGCTCACCCAGAGCCGCGTGTCCCGCGGGCACTGTCCCCCCCTCAGACCAGAGGCTTTCCTAGTGTCCACCATTCCCACACGAACAATACATCTCACATCGTGGCAGGTGCACGTGTGTGTACAGACGTGTGCCTGTGTGCACACGAGTACAGATGAGCAGTTTACGTGTGCAGCAGGTGCCTAGTAAAGGCTGGACGCTCGAATGAGTGAATAGCAGAGGCTTTACCGCCTGAACGAGCACAGGGAGGCTGTGACCACCTGCATGTGCCACCCCACCTGCGGGGCTGGTCCCTTTCTCAGGGAGGAGGGGGCAGGGCAGGGACGGCCAGCAGCCCCGCAGGTGGACTCACCTCGTCTGGTCATCTGGCTGCAGTTGAGTCTCTGCCTGGAACACCTCCCTGCACGCCGCTAGGGAAAGGCTGGAGGTGACTTCGTGACACTGCTCAGACCTGTCTGGTCCTTGGCACAGGGTCAGACTGAGAGGAGACTGGTTTGTCACAGCTTTGTCTGCGTTCGTCCAATGAAAAGGTTCTTCCGTGAGCCCTGCCGGTGTGGCTCAGCGGTTAGAGTGTCGGCCTGCGGTCCAGAGAGACCCGGGTTCAGTTCCCGCTAAGGGCATGTACCTCGGTTGCAGTTTGTCCCCGGCCCTGGTTGGGTTGTGTGGGTGGCAACCACTGGATGTGTCCCTTTCACGTCGATGTTTCTCTCTCCCTCTCTCTCTCCCTCCCACTCTCTCTGAACAAAATATGGAAACATGTCCTCAGGTGAGGATTTTTAAAAAAAGATCTTCCGTGAACAAAAATGGTTAGCCCAAGAGTTAAGCAAAGGCTAAGTTAATTTGTTCTGTCCACCTCACCTCAGTGGCCACGGGGTACGCAGTTCGCAGGGTGCGCAGCAGGACCCGTGCCCCCACGGGCGGGGGGATGGCTTGGTCTCTGGCCAGGTGCATCTGCCTCCTGACCGCCTGTCCCTCCTCTTCCCAGCCTCTGCCGCCTTCCTGCTGTCTCTGTACATCAAGGACGTCTGGCTGGGGGCCCAGCGGCCAGACGCCCTCTTCGCCCACGTCCAGATGGTCCGCGACGCTGCAGAGGCTGCGCTGGGTGGTGACCAGGAGGCCATCGTCAGCCTCTGCAAGGACATCGCCACCGCGGCCCCCGACTTGTGACACCTGCTGGCCGGTGCCCCCGTTTGATCCTTTCCCGTGGAATAAGTGCAAGGACGTGTCTGTGTATTGACTCAGCTTCCTGGCAAGAAATGTTGCCTTTATTTATGTGACCAGTGAACAGACTCAAGGGACCGTATGAAGGGGTCAGGGTTACAGTGGCCGTGGTTCTTCGGGGCTGTGGGGCCAGCCCTTCCTCTCAGGTTTGCCCCCTTCAGAGGAAATGCCTCAGAGCACAGGATTCCTGTGTGAACATTAAAGCTAGTGTCCAGAGATGTGTCAGATGGAAGAGCGTGAACAGAGGTGTTTACAGTTGTCTTTCTATAAGAAATTGTATCAGCCTTGGCCAGTTAGGCTCAGTGGTTAGAGCATCGGCCCGTGGTCCAGAGAGACCCGGGTTCGGTTCCCGCTAAGGGCACGTACCTCAGTTGCAGTTTGTCCCCAGACCTGGTTGGGTTGTGTGGGTGGCAGCCACTCGATGTGTCCCTTTCACGTCGATGTTTCTCTCTCTCTCTCTCTCTCTCTCTCCCTCCTGCTCTCTCTGAACAAAAAAAAAAAATGGAAACATGTCCTCAGGTGAGGGTTAAAAAAAAATTGTAACAAAGCTTTGTGTAACTTTTTAGAGAAATCAGCTGCTCCAGAGTTTTATTAAGAAGGCGTTCCGTCAGACCCGTGAAGGGTGGACTGGCGGCCTCTGCTCCTATGCAGCTCCTGAATCTTACAACTTGATAATAAATGTCTGTCTGTGTTAAGTTTTTGTATTTGCTTAACGATGTTAAAGGCTACTTTTATTCCACAGAGACCTGCATTTTATTTATTTATTTTTAATCCTTACCCAAGGATGTTTTTCCTTTTTTTTTTTTCTTTTTTCTTTTCGGGGGGGGTGGGGCATTGACGTGTGATAGACACATCGTTTGAGACCTGCGTTTTAGAGATCAGGGATTGACTTTCAAGATTCCTGCGTTAACTGGTGTCGTAGTTGACAAATGTGGACTGTGAAATACCAGGGGTTTCACGTGTAAAATTTTATCCTGTTCATTGTAAACTGCGTGTTCCCACCCCCCGAACACCAGGGCCCCCGGGGCGGCTCGGCGTGGGCAACGGTCAGCACCGTGGCACTCCCTGCCTGGCCCCCGGGCGGTTTTCCCGTGCGACACACCCACCGAGGGTGTTTCGGTTTCAGCACCATCGTGGCTCAGGCCTCCCTTGTTCTATAGACTCTCCTGCTTCTTCCAATAACAAAGTTTTTGACCAAGACAAGAGCAGTGCTTAGCTGCACCCAGTTCCCCTTAACCACAGAGAGGGCTCATCGTCTGGAGGCAAGGAGCAGTCGCTGGCCCTCTCCCGTCCCCCCAGAACGCGGACAGCAATGTCCTTGGAGAACATTCCGCAGCCTTGGCCCTGTTTCTGCATCTCCGGAGCTCGGTCTCCCCTCATCTTCCTTCTGACTTGCTGTCCCCGGTCAGCGAGGCCAGGCGAGACCCTGGGCGTCCTAAGAAAGGTACAGACCAGCCAAGGGAGCTCCGGGTCGGCACAAGGTTACAGCGGTATAGTTGAAGCTAAAAAGGGGCACAGTCAAGATGAGTTAGGGGTATGTTACATCTTTATTTACGTGTAGTGTTTTTGTGCCTTCCTGGAGTGAGTGTGGGCGGTGGGCACTGAAACTGCCCACCTGGGGCTGCTCCCCTGCTGGTGGGCTGCCAGGGCCTCGGGGGTGGGGTTTACACGTGCACCGCAGCGCCTCCTTGTGGCCGCTCTGGACACTTCCTGCTCCACGGGCAGCGTTCAGAAGGCACGTGTCCAGGTTGGTTTGAGTCGTGGGTCGCTGGGTCGTGGCCCTGCTGTCTCCAGGGGGAGGCCGGCTGAGCTTGTGGCCGAGGTCAGCTGATGCCCAGGGGGTCCTCATCGAGGGCCTGTTCCCAGGAGAGCAGAGTGGGCCTGGGGCGCAGTGGGGGGCGAGGCAGAAGGGCTGGGTGTTCTGCTGCCTGGCCCCCTGGCTGAGCTCGGTGGGGCCTGCGGGGTGCCTCGTGGAGCCCTGTGGAGCAGGAGGTGCCTCCGGACACAGGGGGGGAGGTTGAGGCGGAAACTCCAGGGGCTGGTGCTGCGGTGCAGGCTGTTCCTGGGGACAGACGGGAGCCGGCGTCAGGGCTGGGGACACCCTCCTGCCTGTCCCAGGTCGTGGGGAAGGTGCCGCAGAGGGCGCCGTGGGGGGATGGAAGAAAGGAGGTGCTGATGGTGAGCCATTCTCAGGTCTTTCCCTCAAGGTCACTCTCCTCGACCTTCATCCATGGGCTGCGGGGGTCAGGTTGGCCTCACATCCGTCCACAGATCCGAGTAAGCGCGTGGTCCTCGTACCCTGAGCCACCTGTGCCTCAGCCGGCAGCCCGCCCTCCCTGGGGACCCCCGCCTGCCTTCCGCCTCATAGTATCCTCAGGGTGAAACGCGGTGACTGTTGGTAGGGTCTAAGCCGGAGAACCGGTTTACTTATGACACCCTAACGTGGAGGGACCCCGGGGGGCACAGGCTCCTTTCCGAACAGGCTCGCATGACCTTTAGCAGGGAAGAGCAGCCCAGCCAGGCTCATTCTCCTGCGTCTCGCGGGTGCAGAGCGGCCGGGCGGCACTGTCCTCGCGGGCCACGTGGCAGGCCACGCGGCAGGCCACGCAGCCACGGCATCGGCTCGCCCCGGAAGCTGCAGCCCAGGAGCCGCACGGGGAGCTCGGCCGTGGCCACCTTGAGCCCCACACGGGAGCCTTCCCTTGGGAGGCTGCCTGACCGGTCCTGCAAACTGTCCCCACGCAGGGCCTGCTCCAGGCCACCTCCATAGAGTAGAAGTCAGAGGTGATTTCATTACTCTTGGTGGTAAAAATTGCTTAAGTTCAGTGTGAATTCTAAAAACGAAGAAAAGCGTGGATTTCCTCGTTACTCGGCAGCGGGTCCCTGCCTCCCGTGTGTGACGTGGTGAGTACAGACCGGAAGCTGAGCGGCTGTGGGGGGAGGGGGGACTGTGGGCTCGCAGCTCACAGGTCCTCACGGGCACGGGCAGGAGACGCCGTGCGACCCCTTCAGGTGGGGGCCGCCCTCTGGCTCTTTCAGGGACTTCGCTGCCCCTCGGGCCTTCCTGTCAGAACAGCTCTGCTCGGGTCCCTGCCACCACTCCCTGTGCTGACTGCATTCCTTCCCCGGAACCTCCAGGACCCTCGGTGCCGCCAGGCCACAGGCCCCAGCCCTGGCCGTCAGCGACTGCAGGGCGGAGGCAGCAGAGGGTCCCTGCAGAACAGCGGGGGGACAGGTTAAGCTAGAAGGGGAACTAGAGGTGGTGGGTCCATGGTCCAGTCCAGGAGAATTAACAGGTGAGCCAGGTCCAATTACTCCGATTACTACCTGGAGCTCCCAGATGGCCCACCCCTCCAGCGTAACCACTGAGGCACACCGCAGGCATGGATAACAGTGTGGCCGCAGACCTACAGGAGGGTCCCTTCGCTGGTGACCTGCTTGGCGAGACCTACCTGGCCGAGGGGGTGTGTTGGCTGTTGTGTTTATTTTTTTATTTTTTTTTATTTTTTATTTTTTTATCCTCACCGGAGGACATTTTTCCATTTTTTGTTCAGGTAGAGTTGGGGGGAGAGAGAGGAACAGAGAGAGAGAGAAACATCGACGTGAAAGGGACACATCGAGTGGCTGCCACCCGCACAACCGACCAGGGCCGGGGACAAACTGCAACCGAGGTACGTGCCCTTAGCGGGAACCGAACCCTGGTCTCTCAGGACCGCAGGCCGAAGCTCTAACCGCTGAGCCAAACCGACCAGGGCGGCTGTTGTGTTTAAAGCCACGTATTTTATGTGAGATCCCTTCAAGCTGTGAAACCGATGCGCTTTAGCCCATTCCTAGTTCCACAGCCGTAACCACAATCTATTTTAGACTATTTCTATCGTCCCCAAAAGATGGTTCCCAGCACTGGGCCAATGAGCCACGGGTTCGATTCCAGGCAAGGGTATGTACCTCGGTTACGGTTCATTCCCTGGCCCTGGTCCTGGTCATGAGGGAGGCAACCAGTCGATGTGTCCCTCTCACGTTGATATTTCTCTTTCTCCCTGTCTCCCTCCTCTGTCTGACACCCACCAGCAGCCAGCCTTCCTTCTGTCCCTATAGCTTTGTCCGCTCGATCGTCCACACCAGTAGAGCCGTAGGACACGGGGCCTTTCGTGTCTGGCTCCCTTCACTGAGCATCATGTCCTCGGGCTCATCCACGAGGCAGCAGGTGTCTGCTCTTTGTCGGGCAGAGTGATGTCCCGCCGCGGGCACTCGGGGCTGCCGGCCTCGCCCTGTGCGTGCCCCCCCCCCCCGTGCACTCACCTGGCGCGCGGGGAGCCCGGCCAGGGCATGTAGAGCAGCATGAGGAACAGCAGCACCACGAAGGCCGCCAGGCTCACCCAGAAGGCGATGGCGATGGAGTCTGCGGGAGGGAGGGGTGACGGACACGCGTGGGGAGGGGCCGAGTGCGGGGTTCCGCCCGGTACGGCGCAGCGGGAAGTGGTTTTCTGGGTCGGTGTGGAGGGGTTCTCTGCTGGGGGGAGCAATAACGACGGGCAGTGCCCCGGGGGTGCGTTTTTCCAGCTACTGCTGCTGCTCGGGGGCTGGTACCTTCCTCTTTCCTGGGGAGGGAGGAGAAATGGCTGGGGCAGCTCATGGGGCGGGGCTGCAGGGGCCTTTGGTGAGCAGCCCTGTTAGGGCAGCATCCGAGCCCCCAGGGCAGAGCGCCCCTTCCCACCAGCCTGCTGGGCTGCGAGGACGTGGAGAGCCGGTCACTCCCTTTCAGGTGGAGGCCAGGTGGGCGACGCCCAGGAAATCGCCTAGACCCTCCGGGGCCCTAGTGGGACCGGCAGGTCGGGAGGTGGCGTTCTCTGGGCTCCGGTCAGGAACACTCGGCAAGTCTCAGTGTGGCAGGTTTCCGGGGGGTGACTGTGGCTCAGAGCACCAGGCTCACAATTAGGGTCTGCACGAGTCTCATCCCAGACACGCTCACGAGCCCAGGAGGATGCCCCACACCGGGGCCTGCTGCACACTGACGGGTGTGCCCCGGAGGCTCCGAAGGGCGGCCACCAGCAGGTGTTAATTCATCACCTGCCAAGCCAGGCTCTGCTGGCGGCTGTTCAGATTCAGAGGGCCAGCCTGGCACACCAGAACCCCCAAAGCACCCTTTCCTGCCAACACGCTCCTCCAAAGCCCGCGTGGCCCCCAGAGCCAGCCTGCCCTGTCCCAGGTGTGTCTGTCCCAATAGGAAGCGGCCTGTGACGTGAACCCACGAGCGAGCCAATGAGCGGACGCTGCATGAGGGGTGAAAGATGGCGAGTCACCTGTGGGGTGGATAATGGCATGTGAGGGTCACCTCTGCTCCCTAGGACCTAGGACAGGCAGAGGGAGTCACTGGGGACCTGGGAGAGTTGATCTCAGACCCTGACAGTTAACGTCCCACCCAGGGTGCAAGGAAAGACACGCCTTGTGAAGGGACTCAGAGCCCCGCACGCACGGGAGGGCCGCACCGCAGAGACCCCGGCTGCTCTCGCCCTCTCCTCTGTCCCTGAGGACCCCGGTGGCATCTGAGCACTGAGCTGTTTGAGGGGACCTCCGGGGCTCCTGGGAAATGCGAACGAGGTTGTTACTGTCTTTTCTAAGCTTCAGGACTTTGCAGAGAGGTCTCTGACGTTATTTTCTGAGAATTTTGATCTGAGCCGAACTGACGTGCCAGGCACGAGATGGCCGAGGCCCCTCTGCCACCCTCAGCGCCCTTGCGGTTCGCTGCACGTTCTCGCCCGTCCCTGCTTCCGCTCCGCTCTGCCAGTCACAGTCTGTGTCTAACCCTGGAAGTGTGAGTCTAAGCTTTCAGAAAAGGTGGGGATTCGGGTCTGACAGGTGTGGATTTCTGCAGACACGAATTCTCTTTCTCCTTCGTAAACATGGCGCAGGGGCCGAGGCCTCAGTGCCTGGGGCCGTGGTCAGGCCTCGGAGAAGACAGCCTGAGGACTCCCCTCCCCGGGCCCTCGCCCCGCTCCCCACGGGCGCTCGCTCTTCTGCTCCTGCCCGGGGTCATGTCCCCACACTCCGAACAGGACAGGAGACGGCGCCTTCCGCAGAGCACAGTCCCAGGGACAGTGAAACGTGCATGTTGTTGGACCAGAGGCCGATCAGTAGCCATTTCCTGTGTCAAAGTCTTGCTCCATGTTCTGCTGGAAAAGGCAGCCAAGAAAACAGGGTTTTTCCCCTCTTCCTACGGAAGGCCGGGCCTCGGCGCTTGGAGGGAACATCGTGTACCAGGGCAAAGCTGTCATGGCTCGCTGCTGGGGAAGGTCCGACCTCGGGGGCTTGTTTTCTCCAGGAGCCCCCGCTGGCTGGACAACGGAACCGGTCCAGCCACAGAAACTTCCTTCTCTCCACCCCTCCCTTCTTCCCGTCCTTCCTGCTGGGGCCAGGCTGGCTGAGGGAGGGGAATGGGGCGGCCGCAGAGCATGTCAGGAGAAGGTTCTGGGTGGGCTGCATGTCATGTTGGGGATCCCTTGTCCGAACTTCGAGTTAGCAGATGATAAAGTACTCAACACCTCCGATTTGTTGAGGGAAAACTGCTAAGCCTCCGTTTCAACTCTCCGAATGCTGCTCGCATTTGAGGCCCGGGTTCTAGTGGAAGATTAACTCCCAGATTTCCCCCTGCCAGGGGGCTAACACTGGGGTTACAGTCCGAGGGTCGGGAGGAGGGTGGTTTGGAGTTCAAATTCTGACTCCGCCGATGTCCAGCTCGGTGGTCTCAGATGACCTGGGATTTTTGAATCTCCAAATCTATTTCCTCATCTGTTCATGGGGATGATAGTATGTATGTGTGGCTCGCATGGGCAGTCCCTGGCTCACTGGCCGTGCAGTGACCTACAGACAGAACGGTCTTCTTTCTGTTGAAAGGGTTTGTGGCAAGTGATATCACTGCACCCCTCAAGCTCTCCGAAGTGTGAGATGTGAGTAACTGCAGCATAGATTGTCCGTCCGAACACTGGCCGTCATGCGTGTCCCTAGTAACAGAGCCTCTGCCTTCACTGAGCACCTGGCTGCCTAGGAGAAAGACTACAATTCCCAGCCTCCCTTGCAGCTAGGTATGACCATGTGACCGGATTCTGGCCAATGAGGTGTGAGTAGAACTGTGCACAGACTGGTGGACTTCTGCCTGTTGAGGCTTGGGACATGGGAACGAGGGACGGGTCCCAGGGATGGCAGAGCAACGAGCTGAATGAAGCTGGTTCCTGAGTATCTCATGGAGCCTGCCTGCCCTGCAGACGTCCACGTGAGAGAGAAAGCGACTTCTGTGTCACCCGTTCTTGGTGACCAATTTTCTTATTGGATCAGTAAAAAAAAACAAAACTGTCCAAATAAGTGTATCCAGATTTATAAATCCAAATGAATACTGACCCTCAAAATAACCATCCGCTCTCTGCCATAGAATCATGTCAGGGGCCCTAAGGATACGTGTATTGATCAAACATTCGTAAACAGTTATAAATTCTTTTTTTGGAATTCCTTCAGGGACACACACCAGTTTTGCCCCTTGACGAGGTCATAGTTTATTTTTGACTCCCAGGTTTAATCTCAGTCGCCCGATTGGTTTCTCCACGGTTCCTGTTTCCCCAAAGCTGACTCGCCCTCAGAAGACGTATATAGCTCATCACCGCAGAAGTTGCATCGAGGGAGCTGTGGCCAGCGAAGTCCGTTCCACAGCACAGTCCCAGCTCGTTGAGCCACCGCGGCATTGTCCAAATGCGGCAGCTCCGTGTGGGGCCACCTTGATAGAACTCTGGTCCAAGTCAGCGTTCTCCTATCTCTGTTTAAAAATGACGGGCTCTGCTCTGGCTGCCCCCGGGACCGGCCGTAGGCTGCGGAGTTAGACGTCACGCTGTCACCTGAGACTGATGACGCTGAGCCAGAGCCTTTAGCTCCTCTGCGCGGTCTTGGCGAATCCTCTGTGCTGTGCTCAGAACACAAGGCTCCGGGGTGAGTTTCTGCTCTTTCTCCAGCAGCTCTCGGAGCAGCAGACAGACAGATAGACAGACAGACTTCCTACTGGAACTGCCCGAGGCAGGGCATCGGTGGGCGTCCATGGGGAAAGACTGTGCCCTGACCAGAAAGATAGAGGAGACAGCAGGGAGCCAGGTGCCACCCCCGGGAGCCAGTCCACGGTGCTCGCCCCGCAGCGGAGCCTCGGGCCAGTGTTCGGACACTCGCTGTGTCAGAATAACCCGTGTTGCTGCTGTGAGTTTGGACACAGGACCGTTCTCCTAAGCTCAGCCTCTGAAGAGGGGACAGGCGAAGGGTCACTTATGTCATCAGGCAGCAGACTACTCCCACCTTTTGACAGGACTGGGGACATTTAACCTTCCTAGGAAATAGAAGCCACGTGTGACAGTCACTAGGGTAAAAGTCCTTGTCAAGCTCCTGTAACAAAATCACACGGGATCCCAAGCCATCCCTGAGAGAGGGCGCCCACAGCCTCCCCGAACGCAGCATGGACCTCTGGGCGCCCCCCCCCCCCCCGACCTCGATGCGCTGAATCCCGGTGTGTGGGCCTGAACACAGAAATCCTAAATCCCTCCTGCTTGTCTAACCCCAAACTTCTCACAGAAAACAAATTCAGTTCAGGTAAGACTGGGGCCCGGGACACCGGATGCAAACAGGAATGAGGGAGGCAGAGGCACACCTGTCTCTGGGTCTGGATGTAACAGTGTCTGACATCCTCCGTAATAAATTCGAAAGGAACCTCCTAAGGACTAAGACACCTTTGGAACCATGTATTCTTTTATGATGGATTTCTTGATAGAGTTTAATTTATTGCCTTGGGGTTCTAATATGCTGGGAGAGTTTCTTCAAGTGACAGGTTCCATGTTTCCCATCATCTGTTTGCAGACTGGGATGAGAGTTTTTGTCCATCCCCTGAGATGTATCACTTGAATCATTTTTTTGTTGTTGTTGTTAATCCTCACCCAGGGATATTTTTCCATTGGTTTTTAGATGGAGTGGGGGGGGGGGGACATCGATGTGAGAGAGATGGATCAGTTGGTTGCCTCCTGCACGACCCTGATATCCACAGACTGACCTTCTAACAGCTGAGCCAAACCAGCCAGGTCTAACTTGAATAGTTTCTATTAAAATACCAATAGATTCCCTGGCCAGTGTGGCTCAGTTTGTTGAGCATAGATCTGTGCACTGAAAGGTCACCGGTTCGATTCCTGGTCAGGGCACATGCTGGGGTTGCAGGCTTGATCCCCAGTAGCGGGCGTGCAGGAGGTGGCTGATCAATGGATGTTTCTGTCTGTCTCTCCCTCCCCTTCCCTCTTTCTCTAAAATCAATAAAAACATGTTTTTAAAAATACCAATAGGTGTTTACCATTCATAGGGGGAGACCCAGAGACTGGTCTCTCACTGTGGGTGTCAGAGACTCCCCACATCCAGGGTGTTTTGGGGGGCAGATGACTTGCCTCTCAGGTTTCCCCACTAAGATGGCCTTTATTGGCTTGGGGAGCTGTGTCTTATTTGACCTCGTTTCTATGGTCACCAGGTTGTAAACGTCCAACTCGAGTTCAACGTGCAAGACAGGACGTGCCCACCCTCACGCCGGACTCGGAGCACATCAGCCACTGTTCCCAGAAGGGAAGTTGTTTGTGGGCGGGGGCAGGGCAAAGGCTGGGGTAGTGGGTTCAGGAAGGACCCACAGCAGCAGCGGGAGGGGCTTTAGAGCCAGGTCGGGACAGAGCAGGATGCTGGGCACAGGAGAGGGAGCGAGCGTCTGACCTGACCCGACTTTTATCTAATTGTGTGAATTCAAAAACGCCTTTCCCGAACGCAGATGTCCAGTTCCTGGTGCGCCCTGAGGTTCTGGACTTCGGCAGTGTATAAGAGCAGGCCCTCAGCCCTGGCCAGTGCGGCTCAGTGGTGAGAGTGTCGGCCAGCGGACCAAAGGGTCTTGGGTCCGATTCCCAGGCAAAGGCACGTGCCTGGGTTCCAGGTTCAATACCTGGCCCCAGTCAGGGTCACGCGGAAGGCAGCCAATAATGTATCTCTCTCACATCGATGTTTCTCTCTTTCTCCCCCTCCCTCCCACTCGGTCTAAAAATTAATGGAGAAATATCCTCGGGTGAGGATGAACAACAGAAAGAGTAGGCGCGTATTTCCACCCTGCCACTTCCTTCCTTGCCAGTGTCGTTCTCTCGTGAGCTGTGCGTGCAGGACTCTGCATGAGATGTTGACGACATTCCTCGCGTCGGAAATCACTGCAAACCCTCGGGCTCCCGGGAGTATAGTGCGGTGCTGGGGCATGGCGAGCCCTTGGCGAACATGATGGGTGCCTGCGTCTGCCTTCCGGGAGTCACCAGCGCACCTGGAGCCAGAAATGCCTCCCAGCGAGGCACCCCAGCTGAGCCCCGGGGGCGCCACCGGGGGCTCCACCGGGGCTCTGGCTCCCGTCACTGCATAAGGACATCAAGCAGATCTCAGCTCTGTCTGGCGTGTATCGGACCATCTTTCTCTGCACAGGAAAAGCTCCCTTGCCCTTGGTGACCGTGTTTGCTATTTGACAGACGGGTCGTGACTAGTTCATGAAATACCCGAGGAACCCAACACTTTGGGGAAGGCAGAGGGTGGGTTCCCAGGACCGAGACCTTTTGGTTGGTTTTTCATGCTCATTTGTTTGCTCTGCTAACTTGTTATCTTGCCCGAGTAGCTGAAATAACCAGAGAAGAGTGTCGACCAAGCACCAAGTTACCCAAGAGACCCAGACGGGAAGGAAGATCAGAGGAAGGTTAGCTCCTCCCTGAGACCAAGAAGGTTAAACGTCAGTGCGTCTTTCAATAGAAATTATGATGTCATACATCTCGGGGGACGGACACCGTACCTGTGTCCCAAATCTGCGCAGGGACAACAGAAAGCCTGAAGTCCACAATGTGGAGTTCACCTCACGTGCTGGAACCCCAGACCGATGAAATTCTATCAAGAAATCTATCTTAAAAGCACCTTCTGCTCCGAGAGCCCCAGTTTCTCAGCAGGTGAGTTGCAGACGTATTACAGACGATAACAGATTCCACCCCCCGTTTGGTTGTGTCTCTGACGCAGGGCCAGGTCCCGCACCCCCACGACAGCTGTCGAGTGGTTGGAGGGAAAGTCACGTGGGCCAACCCCGCCTCTGCCTGGCCGGCCTCCCCGGGCCCGGACTCACGCTTGTGGGCCCTCAGCTCCTTCTCGTCCACGGGGAGGAGGTCCAGGTAGTCCAGGTAGTACTCGTAGCTGTAGTACGGGGCGGACGCGTTGGACCTGTTGGCCATGTCCGAGGCGCCGGGAGGCCGCGCACCCAGAGCTACTCAGCCCGTGGAGGACACTGGCCAACCGACTGTGAAGTCATCCAAGTGTGTCTGTGGGTCTCCAGGCTCCAGGCCTGCCCCCGGGACGGAGCCATTGGCTGGAGAAAGGTCACAAGGGGGGGGGGGGGTGCCGATGTGCTCACACACACGGACAGCGTCCCCTCGGCCCCTTCTTGACCAGACTCCAAAACAAACAGAGCTGCCGGGCTGGAGACTGTCCCCTCGGTGCAGACAGGACAACAGACCCCCGGGGCCCCTTGAAGAGGGGGTGCAGAATAAGGCTGGAAAGGACCATCGCTTTTTTTTGCCTTAAATATGTAAAAAGAAATTAATAATACCAAAACAAAAGCCTGGTGGTGCCCTTGACCCAGTGAGGCAGTACTTGGTCCATTGAGCAACCGCTGGCTTAGATTCATTGTCTGAGGGCGGAGACTGAGTGCTGTGGGCCCTGAACTTGTAACCTCCCTCATGTACACACAGCCGATTCATAAACCAAAGCAACCCACCCCTATCGAGTAACCCCCGGGTTTTATCCAAGTCCCCAAGACCCAACCAGTCAGCTGCATTGGTTCAGACAGACGAAGCTGTTTGTCTGGGCTGAGGTCCCACCTGGATGGATGCAGCTGCTGGGAAATAGGGCCCCAGGATCACCCAGCCCTTGGCTGAGGACAAGTGTGACAAGGATCCCTCTGGGCTCCGTTAGGGCCTGTCTCCAAATTACACACGCGCTTCTCTCAGAGCCGCAGACAGTCAGGGGAGCCTTCCAAACATTTGAAATGAGCGGGACTGAATGTGACAGGAGCCCTAAGTGTAGCCTTTGAGAGTAAGGAAGTTAAAATGCACAGAATCAAGGGGCCTTTCCCTCCAAAATATCCACTTTCTAGTGTTCCTGATTCAGGTCCACACAGCCAGAGTAAAGTTGGGCACTGCAGTGCAGACAGCCAGCCCAGATCGCTGGGCCTCCAGGTCTGAGCCTGCACCCCCAGCGCCGTGTGCCCGAGGCATTCCGTGGGGACCACTGCCCCTGAACCACTGCACCCCAACTCCTTAGGAAGGAATGAGCTCCTGGGTTTTCAAATGAGGGGTCGACGGTCCACGAGAAGACACTCCCGGCGCCCGGCACGCTCCTGTGTGCGTCCCTCCAGGTGTCCTTGGTCAAGGGGCAGTGGACCAAGGGACAGAGCTTGGAGCCCGGAGCCAGACTGCCAAGCAAGGTGCAGGCCCCGCCCCTGATCAGCAGTGTGGCCTGGGCTAGTGGCCCGGCCTCCGCTCTGCAGTGGGTCCTCACCGTGAGATGGCCTGGGGCCTGGGAGCACACATGGGCACAGCCAGACACAGCAGCCTCCCGTCCACAGTGGGCACCATGGGTGTGCTGTCCCTGGCACCTGCCTGGAGGTGTGGCCTTTCTGCCCCGCCTCCTCCACCTTCCCCTTCCTCACCTTCCCGCTCATCTCTCCTGTGGTCTCCACCCTCTCTACCCATCCTGTCACTTCCTGGGGTCAGTGCGAACCGCGGATGCAAAGGAACCTTTCGTTTCTGGCCTTCAGCTCGCCAGGTTCCACCGCTCCCTGGAAGCCCTCCTGGAGAACTTCCAGGGAAAAGCTTCCCACCTCCGTTCTGCAGCATCGGCCACACCCGCGTGCACATGCGACCACATGCATGTGCATATGCACACACGCACACATGCACACACACGGAAGATTATCGTTATAAGGAATGGACTCACAGAATTATGGAGGCTGAGATGTCCCACAGTCCGCAACTGGGAAAACCAGGGGTGTGGTCTGAGGGCCCGAGAGCCAGTGCGCAGGTGCACTCAGTCTGAGACCGAGGCCCAGGCCCAGGCCGGCCTGGCCGGAGGGGGAGTAGAAGCTCTCCAGCTCCGAGTCGGGCAGAGACGCGCCCGGTTCCTTCTGTTTGGGCCCTGGATACATTGGATGAAGCTCGTCCACACCGGGAGGCCTGAGTCACAGGCCCATCTCCTCTGGACACCACCACAGACACGCCCTGAAAGAGCGTTCCACCAGAATGGCCCCCGTGGCCCACTCAAGTGATACATGAGGCTAACCTCCCTTCCCTCCTCCTTTCCTTCCCTCCCTTCTTCCTTCCTCCCTCCCTCCTACCCTCCCTTCCTTCCTTCCTTCTTCCTTCCCTCCCTCCCTTTCTCCTTCTCTCCCTCCCTCCCTTCCTTCCATTTCCCAATGGAGCACAATTCAATTCTATTGGTTTGGAATTTCCACTTCTAGCTGACAAAATGCTGATTGTGTAGATGAACTTAATGGTCTGATGATAATCTTGACTTTAAAATACCTATGGAAGCCCTGGCCGGTTTGGCTCAGCGGTTGGAGCGTCGGCCTGCGGTCCAGAGAGACCAGGGTTTGGTTCCCGCTAAGGGCATGTACCTCGGTTGCAGTTTGTCCCCGGCCCTGGTTGGTTGTGCAGGTGGCGGCCATTTGATGTGTCCCTTTCATGTCGGGTGTCACCTGAGGACATTTTTTCCCATTTTTTGCTCAGATAGAGTGGGCGGGAGAGAGAGGAAGAGAGAGAGAGAGGGAAACATCGATGTGAAGGGACACATCGAGTGGCCGCCACCTGCACAACCAACCAGGGCCGGGGACAAACTGCTACCGAGGTACATGCCCTTAGCGGGAACCAAACCGGGTCTCTCGGGACCGCAGGCCGATGCTCTAACCACTGAGCAAAACCGGCCAGGGCGAAAGTTTTAAAAATAAAATACCCATGGAAGTCCCTGGTAGAAAAACAATTAAAAAATATCTCCTTTGACATTGGTATGAGCTGATGCTCCCATGAAGATCGAGTCTCCGAGATAATAATGACACATTTGTATTAACAAATACCTCGAAGACCTTGACTGTAGCGCTGTTTCTCTTCCCCTTGAATTTATGACCCAAAGCCTGAAGGTGAAGCTGCCGTTCCCAGGGTGTTGCTTTGGCGGGAAATGCGGGTGCTCGTCAGCTGTCGCGGTGACCACAGATTGAGCCTCCGTGCTTGGCTCGGTACTTGGGACCTGCAAACAGGGTGTGTCTGTGCAGCGGATGCCATCACCAGTCACCAACACTTGGTGGCTTCAAACAGATTTGCCATCGGACAGTCCTAGAAGTCACGTCTGAAGTGAGCCTTGTGGAACCAGCAGGGAGGCGCAGCGGCCGCGGGGAAGGCAGATGTTCTCTGGCCTCTTCCAGCTCCCCAGCCGCCCTCATTTCTGGGTCCTGGTCCAGCATCCCATCGCCTGCCCGCCCCCCACCCCCATTCCCTTGTCACCTGACCTTCCATGGTCAAATCTCTCTCCCTACTTCTCAGGATGATACTTACGATTGCACTGAACCCATCCAGGGAATCCAGGGGAATCCCCGCCCCGCCCCCCCTCCCCCCCCTCACCAGCTCGGCGTTTCTGTCTGCAGAGTCACTGTTGGCATTTAGAGTAACATCCGCAGGCTCCTGGGCTCGGATGTGGATATTTGGGGGGCTATTAGCCTGCCACGTGGGGTCATGCTGTGGGTACACAAATCCTTCAGATAAACATAGTGCCTCTCTCTGCAGTGTCCATTTTGGTCAATGATTTTTGGTAAAAGGTTACATTTTATTTATTTAAAAAAAATTTTTTATCCTCACCTGAGGACATTTTTGCATTTATTTTCAGATACAACGGAAGGGAGAGAGGGAAGAAGAGAGAGAAACATCAATGTGGGAGAGACACATCAACTGGCTGCTACCCGCACAACCCCAACCCCAAACTGCAACCGAGGTACATGCCCTTAGTGGGAACCGAACCCGGGACTCTGGTCCACAGGCCTACGCTCTAACCGCTGAGCCAAACCGGCCAGGGCAAAAGGTTACATTTTAATGCTGAAACAAGCATAGGGCTATCAAAATAAATGCAGAATGTGTGTGACTTAAAAAAAAAAAATCTCCATCAAAGACAATTTCAAACATTTGCAGAAGCGGCGAGAACAGCATGAGGAATCTTGGCTGCAGCAGCGGTTAGGGTGCGCTGGTTGCCTTCGCTCCGTGTCCCTCCCCAGTCGGAATGCTGTGAAGCTAATTCTAAATGTATCACTACATCTGTAAATCTGTCAGTGTGTATCTCTGATGGAGGATTTAAAACTATAAAACCATAATGCTATTATTCCACTTAAAGAGTAATACTAATTATTGCATCAAATATCCAGTGTTCATATGTTCCGTTTGTCTCATAATTTCTTTTGTAATTCATTTGCTCAGTTAGGCGCACGAGTGGCAACTGGTCGCCACGCCTCTGAAGCTGTGTTGAATGCGCAGGTCTCCTCTGCTCCCCATCCCTTTGGTTTTTGAGCATGGGGTGTATTTGCTGAGGAAATGGGTTACTGGCCCTGAGGAGTCTGCCAGCTGAGTCCTGTGCTGTTGTCCCCAGGTGTCCTGCCTTCCTGGACAGGGAGCTCAGATCTAGAGGCCGAGTCAGGCTCGGGTTCAAGAACCCCTCCGGGTGGCTTGGCGCACTTCCCCAGGGAGGCACCTCGTGACGCCGCCTCTGTCCCCTGGGGTTAGCAGCCCGGGATGGTCACTGCAGAGGTCCTCTGAGCAGGTCAGCCTTGCAAAAATGGTGACTTTGCATTTCTTCATTCTTTCCTCATTCATTAGCTGCTATCCTTCTAAAAAGAAAAACAGAACAAAACTAAAAAAGCTTTTCTTCATAAACTAGTTGGTTACCTGAGGAATAAAAGTTTGATGTACATTGTTGGCCAGTTTTCAAAATAATGATTGGGTTTTCCAGCATTCCCCAACATTAAACAATGAACAGTTTTTTGTTTTAATCTCTTATATTTTAAAAATTTACTTATTTATCCTTATTGTTGAAATTATTGCAGATGTTTCCCCTTTTACCCCCATTAACCCCCTCCCCGCTTCCATCCCCCTCCTGCCTTCCCCACACTGTTGTCTGTGTCCATTGGTTGTGCACATATGCGTATCAGTTCTTTGGTTTATCTCTGCCCAGTACTGCCCCCTTCCCTCTGAGGTTTGTCAGAAAGAAAGATCTCTTACCCTTTGAGACAACATGGAGGGAGCTGGAGAGTTTTTTTTGTTGTTGTTTTTTTAAAAATTTTTTAAAACTTATTTTAGAGAGAGAGGAAGGGAGAGGGAGAGAGATAGAAACATCAATGAAAGAGAACATCGACTCGCTGCCTCCTGCATGCCCCCCACTGGGAATCAGGCCCACAACCTGGGCATGTGCCCTGACTGGGAATCGAACCGGCAACCTCTTGGTGCAGGGTCCACGCTCAACCACTGAGCCACACCGGCCGGTGGGACCTGGAGAGTATTATGTTGAGCAAAATAAGCCAGCGAGAGAAAGACAAATACCACATGATCTCACTTATGGAGTACAATGAACAAAATAAACTGACGATCAAAACAGATCCAGAGACATGGAAGTAGGGAATGGATTGAACAGCTTCTTTAAAAATAATCATTATGAAATCAAGCATTTAAACCTATTTCATGTGTTCCAATCCGTGACAGCTGTGTCTTCACGGATGTGCAGACTACCTTGTGTTTGGGAGGCCAGAGCCCCTCCCTGTCATTCATGAATGGTTTGTGTTTGCAACGTCCTTGCTCTCTGAGATGACAAGTGGTTCTAAGCTCATTTTCTACAGGTTTTGCCCAGATCTTGAATTCAGCCATTTCTCCGAGGAATCTGGTTCTTTTAGCAGGAAATGGGGTCCAGCTATCATAATCTGGGTGCAAAGAGTGCTTATTGCGACTGTGTTGGTTACAATGTTTAGGCCTATTCAATGTGGAGAGCTAGGAAATATTTATTTTTAAGATAAAAAACATCATGAGTTCATACTGATACTTCCTATTCTAAATCACAACCATTAGAACAATCATAACCTTATCTTTCTTGACTGTATCTCTTTTCTCCAATTTAAAACCCGATCACCAATTTATTTATTTATTTCCTTTATTGATTTTAGAGAGAGGGGAAGTGAGAGGGAAAGAGAGAGAAACCGATGAGAGAACATCAATTGGCCACCTCCTGCACATCCCCCACTGGGGATCAGGCCCACAACCTGGGGACGTGCCCTGAGCGGGAATCAAACCGGTGACTGCTTGGTACAGGGGTAGATGCTCAACCACTGACCAAGGACACTGACATAATTACCCAATATACACACAGTCTCCAAATCACAACATCAGTATCAAGAACAGCATGGTTACTGAGGACAGTGTAAGCTCTCGTGCAAGGGGCAGTTGCTTTGTTTTTGTTGTGTTTTGTGGTCTTCAGGGTATGTCCTCTAAGATATATAGAGTACAATTCATGTTTTATTTTTTTATCCTCACCGGAAGACAATTTTGCATTTATCTTCAGATAGAGGGGGAGGGAGAGAGGGGGCTAGAGAGAGAGAGAGAGACATGGATGTGAGAGAGACACATCGAGTGGCTGCCCCCCACATGCTGGGGCCAGGGACAAACTGCAACCGAGGAACGTGCCCTTAACGGGAACCGAACCCAGCACTCGCTAACCGCGGAGCCAAACCCACCACCAGCTGGTTTTCAGCATTGTTTAAAAATAAGTGGCTGCCCTGGCCGGGTTGGCTCAGCCCCACAGCGAGCATGCGCACTAGCAGGCTGCTCAGGACCCTCCTCCGTCAGGCCCCGCCCTGCACGGGCTCGGCCCGCCCCGCGCATGCGCAGCGGCGGCCCTCCGCTTCCCGTGGTGCCCCGCGCCGCGTTCGTCGGGATGGCGGGTGTTTTGTCGCAGGAGAGGTGCAAAGGCTGCTCCTCCGTCCACTGTGCGTGTGGCGACCGGGGCACGTGGAGCGAGCCCTCGCTGCTCAGCCAGCGGCTCTCGGAAGACTCGATGCGCCAGCAGCTGCTGCAGACGTGGACGAGCGCGCGCCACTCCCCGCGCGGCGCGGCGGACGAGGACCGGCCGCTGGTGTTCCTGTGCGCCGGCTGCCGGCGGCCGCTGGGCGACTCGCTGAGCTGGGTGACCAGCCCGGACGGCAGCTGCATCCTGCTGCGCAGTCAGTGGCGGGGCGGGGGGGCGGGGTCTTGGGGAGGTGTGGTGGGGCGGGGGCGGGGCCGCCGGGGCGCTGTGGGGGGCGGGGCCGCCGGGGCTTTGGGGCGCTGTGGGGGGGCGGGGCCGTGGGGCGCTGTGGGGGGGCGGGGCCGCCGGGGCCTTGGGGCGCTGTGGGGGGGCGGGGCCGGGCCGCCGGGGCGCTGTGGGGGGAGGGCGGCGGTCCCCGCAGCCCCTGCCCACGGACAGGCCCTTTCCGCGGCTCCTCCGTTCCCCAGCAGCGGCTGCGCGGTTGTGACGTCGGCCGGGGCCGGGCCACCCAGACCGTGCGCACCTGGGGCGCGGCCGCGCGGCGTGACCCCGCAGCCGGCGGGCCGTTCGGGGGCGCAGTGTCGCACCGGGCTTATGCAGGACACGAAGCTCTTCAGCAGCCCGTCCTGCGGGGGTGTCGGGAGGGTCAGCAGCGCCTCCGCGGTCTCGGCTGTCACGACCCCGGGGTGCAGGGCGCAAGGCCGCCGGCCGTGTTTTCCAAAGCGGAGCTTGGCGTGGAAGCGCCCAGGGCCCCATGGGCATCGCAGGGGAGGGAGGTCCCGCGGAGGAGCTGAGTCCTGGCCCCACGCGGGACCTGTGTGTCCTTCCCCGTGCCCTCGTCTTGTTGCTTCCACAGTGCTTCTTGGGGCAGCGGCTCACGTATGCGTCTTCTGCGTTGGTGTAAAAGTGGCTGTTCTTTTTGGGCTTGTTGGAGTTTCCTTCGTGGAGTGAAAAGTACTGGGAAGAAAGCAGGACAACCAGCCCGGCTAGTGTGGCTCAGGGGTGGAGCGTCAGCGCAGGGACCAAGGGTCTCGGGTTTGATTGCTGGACGAGAGCAGGTACCTGGGCTGTAGGTTCAAGCCCCAGCCCTGGTTGGCCTGGTGCGGGAGTTGGCCAGTCAGTGTGGCTCTCTCTCCCTCCCTTCCACTCTATGTAAAAATAAATGGAAAAATATCCTCCGGTGAGGATCAGCCAAAAAAAGGGAGGGCACTAGTGTCCCCCGTTACCGGAAACTTTCACATACTGGCTTTTAACACAAAGATGCATCAATTCATTAGCAGGAATTGCTGAGTCCTTTTTAGTTGTTGAACATAAGCCTGAGAACATATGTTTGCTATAGTAACTTAATTGGGATTAACCCTTTGATCTGTTTAAATCAAATAGTACAGAAGGGTGTGAACATGGAGGACTTACATCCCCCCTCTCTCAACCCTGACACTGTTGGAGCCCAGAGTTAGCATACCCTATTCTCATTTATACTTCTCTGGTAGGCTCCGTGCATGTATCCGCATATTTAAACACGTGAAATTCTAAAAACACATTTGAGATTATGTTATTTACATGTTAATTATTTTTCTGTTTCACACATATATGCTGGGTATTTCCCATGCTAGTGTATATAGATGTACTTTATAATTTTAGCAGGTTCTGTACCCTTGCTGACGCAGTACAGTGTGGTGATGGCCCCTCGACTGTTTGGGTTTGAATCCTGGCCAGCCACTTCCTAGCTGTGTCTCCTTGGGCAAGTTAGCCTCTCTGCCTCAGTTTTCTGCTCTGTGAAATGGGGATTTTACAAATTGATTTAACAAACCCCCACCACCACCACCAAAGATTAAAAAATGAACTCTTGGATTGATACTTGTTCTCTCCTACCCCAATTTGAGTTAGTTGAATTATTTTTACTTTGTCAAGATTCATAATATTTACATACTATTTTGTAGCTGTAGCATGATCATTTAGCTTGAGAGAAAGAAAGAAAGAAAGAAAGAAAGAAAGAAAGAAAGAAAGGTTGATTTAAAAGAAAGAGAGAAACATCGATTTGTTGTTTTACTTATTTGTGTATTGATTGATTGATTCTTATGTGTCCTGTCCAGGGATAGAACCTGCAACCTTTGTGTATTGGGATGAGTCTCTAACCAAGTGAGCTACCTGGCCAAGGCATCCCTTAACTTTAATGGAAGCTTTATATGAACTCATTTCTCCAGTCTGGAACTCTTACCAACATAAGATGGCTTATTAATAGCTTCCTTATTCCTGAGTTTATTTGATTAACTGACATCACTTGTCTCCCATCCTCAAGAAGACCTGAGGTTTTTGGGGTTTTTTTTGCATTTATCTTCAGATAGAGCAGGAGGGAGAGAGGGAGGAAGAGAGAGAGAGAGAACAACCCCAACCTCGGCTGGGGACAAATTACAACCGAGGTACGTAGCGGAAACCAAACCCGGGACTCTCTGGTCTACCGGCCGACACTCTAACTGCTGAGCCAAACCGGCCAGGGCAAGACTTCGGGTTTGAGTGCTGGGAATGTGTTCCCATTCTCATACACTGTATGGCAGCTGGGCAGTGCAGGGGGCGTGCTCGGGGCTGCTTGCAGGTGTGGAGCAGCTGGGAACAGGCCTTGAGGCTGGGGGCGCTGAAGAGAACGCAGCTGAGACCTGAGGAAGGAAGGATGGCCCGGCAGTCTGGGGCCTGGAGGCTGTTGTGTGGAACCAGAATCTTCCACTGAGTGAGGCGTTGAAGCAGCGGCCTGACGGGACCCAGACTTGAATGTGGAGGGAGCGTGGAAGGGGAGGCTGAGCGTGGAAGCGGGAGGTCAGGCGGGAGGTCAGTCAGGAGTCAGTGTGGCCATCCAGGCAGGAGGAGGCAGCGGTGGTTGGGGGCTGGAGGGAGAACGGACTTGTTAGCCTAGTGGGTGTGGGCAGCAGGATGGGGACATGAAGAATCAAAGGTGATACCCCAGGGTCTGATTTGAGCACCTGGATGGCTGGAAGTGGAATTTAGAGGAGGAGGTTTCGCCAAGACTGGCTGTTTTAGGTCCATGTCCCTTCTTCACCTGCCCCACCCCTGCTGCAGTGTGCCCTGAACCTGGATCTTCTAGGGGTGTTTCTTCTTCTGGGGTTCAGCTGTGACCCCCAGTGAAGTCACGGGCTCAGTGGTTTGGGGCTGGCTGCCTGAGGACTCTCGGTTACATTAGGAAGCAGCTCTGCATGGAGATTGGAGGGTGGCGCTGGCTTCAGCGTCGTCTTGGTTCTGATCCCAGCTTCACTGTGCCGGCAGGTTCTCGGGAGTCTTCGCACTGAGGTGCTGATTGCTGCAAGTTTCACTGTCGACTGACCTTTTCCCTCTAACTTCAGTCATTTGAATGGTTTTCTGGAGAGGGAAGGAAATGACTCTTCTTTTACAAATATTTTTATTGATTTCTAGAGGGAGAGGAAGGGAAAGGGAGAGAGAAGTATCGATGAGAGAAATATCCTTTGGCTGGCTCATTCGTGCTCCCTACTGGGGATGGAGCCCAAAACACAGGCATGTGCCCTGACCGGGAATTGAACTGGAACCTCTCAGTCCGTGGACGACACTCAGTCCACTGAGCCACACCAGCTGGGCTGGGCTTTTATTTTTTTCTGGTCTTCTGAGTTCTAGAATAAAGTTGAATTAGAAGTTCTCCGCCCTGGTCAGGGTGTGTGCAGGAGGCAACCAGTCCATGTGTGTCTCTCACATGGGTGTTTTTTTCCTCTCTTCCCCCTCCCTTCCTCTCTTCACTCTCTAAAATCAATGGAAAAATATACTTGAGTGAAGATTTAAAAAAAAAAAACTTAAGAAAGAGAAGTTCTGTGAATGCGTGTGCGTCACGACGAGCCACATCGATCGGTCACTGTCACCTCTGCAGGTGTTTCCAGCGCTGTCGCTGTGGGTAAGGAGCCGGTCCTGTCCAGGCGGGAGAATGAAAACGGCTGGTGAGTAAGGCTGCCACTGCGGTGCGTGTGTTAGAGAGGATGCTGCTTTTCAGATCGAAATCTTTGACAAGGTGATCACCAGTGAGGTTGCTGGGGATAGAACTTTTCCCACGGTAATCAGTATAAAATCAGTCGTCGTAATTTATCAGTTCTTGGGTGATGGGGATCGCCTTTAGATGTTGAAGTGGAAGTTTCTGTTTCTGAAGGCACATTATGACGCTCCCTTCTTGGTGCTAAAGAAAATCGAAAATAAAAATAGAAACAGCCCTGGCCAGTTTGGCTCAGCGGTTGGAGCGTCAGCCTGCGGTCCAGGGAGTCCCAGGTTCGGTTCCCGCTAAGGGCATGTACCTCGGTTGCAGTTTGTCCCCGGCCCTGGTTGGGTTGTGCGGGTGGCAGCCACTCGATGTGTCCCTTTCACATTGATATTTCTCTCTCTCCCTCTCTCTCCTTCCCGCTCTATCTGAACAAAAATGGAAAAATGTCCTCGGGTGAGGATAAAAAAAAAGTAGAAAAAGAAAATATCTGTATCTTGAAATCTCAGAGCCAAAGGGTCTTAGACCAGTGCTGCCCACCTTTTCATGTCATGGTCCCGGTAGAAGATGCTGATACCACACGGACACACACACCGCACACGGCCTGCTGAGGTAAATAGACAAGGCCGCGCACAGCCAGAAAGGACGGCCCGGGGGCCACCCACGGTGGCGGGATCAGTGTCTCGGCGCCCTGCTCCTGTCCGCTTGAGCGGCCTCTCAGCAGACTGACCGGGCAGCTCTGCCTCGTGCGGTTGTTGCCCGGAGCGCGTCCTCCTGGTGTCCCAGAGTAACTTTCTGGGGCTCACAGACAGACAGACAGACAGACAGTAAACCCGCGCTCGCGCGCGTGTGTATTTTTTTTTCTTAATCCTCACCCGAGGATATTTTTCTATTTGTCTTCAGATAGAGGAGGAGGGAGGGAGGAAGAGAGAGAGAGAGAAACATCATCGTAAGAAGGACACATCGACTGGTTGCCTCTCGCACGACCCTGACCAGGGCAGGGAAGAACCACAACCAAGGTACGTGCCCTTGACCAGAATTGAACCCACGACTCATTGGTCCACGGGCCAACGCTCTAACCACTGAGCCAAACCGGCCAGGGCAATCATATGTATTTTAAATGTATTTAAAGTACTGGTTTTTCATTTTTAATAAAGCTAGACTGTCGTATTCAAGTAAAGTATATTTCAGTGTAAAATTGCTCTACTTAAGGCGAATGAAATTCCTGAAACAGGTCGTATGTGGATGTAACCGAAATGTGCTCTGGCTTGCAGGCGATTAAAATTCGGAAAACCCAGCCTTGGGTTATTTCTCCTTTTGTACATGAAGGAAGTGGGCCCGGGGAGCTGAGGTCACGGGGCCGCCTAGCTGGGAGCCAGGATGGCGCACATGTCTCCTGTTGCCTGCAGAGTGCTCTCTCCTCTGCTTCCCAGCTCTGGTCGTCCGATGTCCCCTTCACGGGGTTGTCATACCGCAGCCAGCTGAGCTGTCCTGTACTGCATATTTGTCATCTGTTGACTCAGAGTTTTTGTATTATGTACTGTGATAGATAATCACAATTTTAAAAAAAATGTCATCAGCCCTGGTGGGTGTGGCTCAGTGGGTTGAGCATCATCCTGTGCCAGTCGCCAGTTCCATTCCTGGTCCGGGCACATACCTAGGGTTGTGGGTTCGATCCCCAGTAGGGCGCATGCAGGAGTCAGCTGGTTGATGTTCTGCTCTCACATTGATGTTTCTCTCTCCCTCTCCCTTCCTCTCTCTAAAACATTAAACAACTGTCATTATGTTCTAGCTGAGATATTGTTGCCTGGCTGGTTCTTAGACTGAGGGCTGTTCTCTGTCTCTTAAAAGATTTGTAACTGAGATTTGTGTTAAAGACATTCTAGCACCAAACTGAAACTTGCTTTTTTTATAACCAGGAATGCCAGAGAGTTGGGAAGGGAGTGGCTTTCCCCCTTTGAGCCCGTGTTCAGTCCTGCTCGCGTGTCCCTGGAGCCAGCACCGTAGGATGGTGCGTTGTCTCGCGTCTCAGCCGGGGCACGCTGCACGCTCCTGGCGACACCGTTAGACCGTTGAGCAGGCGGCCAGCGAGCGCGAGTGGGTAGAGACGGGTTCTGAAGGCTGCAGTGCTGCTTCCTGTTTTCATTCGGACCCTGTCACTTGTCAGGTGTCTCACCAGCTAACCATTCCTTGTTTAAAATCACCTTGTGATTTCCGGGTCTGCTTTCTCCACGTGGCTCAGTGCCGAGGGCTCCTCCGGGCCCGCCTTGCCGCTGCGTCTCTTCGCGGCTGCCCAGGGAGTGCGGTGGCTTTGTGTCTTCAGTGGCGCTCGGCTTGACTTTGCTAGTTCAGGATGAGGCGGTCTTGTCCACTGGTCAGTGTACTTCATGCTCTAGCTTATCTGAGCGTCCTTTCCTGTGTGATGGCGCTGTGCTCGGGGTCCGTTCAGGCTGGCGACGGTGGCGCCTCGTGATCTCGGAGTCCGACGTGTGGCCTGGATTGCCCTGGTCAGCGCTGGCGGGGTAGGTGTTTCCTCCTGGGGCCTGTGTTTCTCATGTGGAACGACGCAGAAGCTTCTGGCAGCCCTGCACGACCTCGGCCTGTCATCCAGCTATGGCACCACCAGGGAGAAATCGTCATTGTGTTTGTGTTGCTCCTGTTGCCGCGGTAACAGGTGTCGTGTCTGCTGAAGAGGAACGCGGTCTGCACTGTAGTCTGCATCGTGGTCGGCTCCACTTTGCCTGATGGTGGGGGGCTATTCAGTTATTACAGGAGGCTCACGCCAATGTGGTGACGTGCTTTTGAAGTAAGAGCTGTCTTTTGTGCTGTGTGCTCACGCTCGCGGTCACGACTGGATTTAGATCCCCAGTCATCAACTTGCTGTGTGTGGGACTGTTTTCTGTACAGCTGTTTAGAGAATGTAGGTTTGGATGGGTTCCTTTGACAGGGCATTTAGGAGACGGGTCCTGAGTTAAAAGAGACGTGAATCGGCATAGGTGGGGGCGGGGCACGTGTGTTCATATGAGCCTGAATTGGAAAGTAATGGGAACAGAGGGATAATCCTGTGGAGAAATAATGGTGAATTAGTAAGTAAGATATTTGTGAATTACCTTTGTGGAACACATCTGTATGATAGAAGTGTGTTAGTGTCAAAATGTAAATTTTTTAAAAAATCCCCACCCAAGGACATTTTTCCATTTATCTTCAGATAGACTGTGAGGTGGGGAGAGAACGAGAGAGAGAAACGTTGATGTAAAAAAGACACATCAACTGGTTGCGAGGGCCGGGCCCCAAACCACAATGTGCCCTTGTCCTGACTCAAACCTGCGACTCTGGTCCACAGACTGACATTCTAACCGCCGAGTCAAACCGGCCAGGACAAAATGTAAATTTTTAAAAATAAGGGAACAAATACATCATGAGCACATGTCAGGTCTGCGAGCTCAATGGTGAGGGAACCAGGGTGCAGCAAAGCCTGTTTGGGGGAGGCTACTCTCTAGGGCGGGCCTGGCCGGCGGCCTGCGGGTGGGTGAGACCCGAGCCCCTGGCTTCTCTCTTCCTCCGGCAGAGGGCGTCCGTGCAGACAGGAGCTGTAGCTCGTCCTCCTTCTTTCTGGAGCCGCCCTCTGAGTTTCGCTTGCCTGGGGCGAATCAGTAGTAAGTGGCGGACGAGCTAGGACACCTCCATGGCAGCAGACTGGCCTACGGGCCGGGCCGGACGCCTGCTTCGTAAACGCATTTCTACTGGAGCACAGACGATGCCCTGTGCAGCCGCAGGCTGACATGCTTGTTCTCGGATCACTGCAGACACAGGCGCCCACCTCTGCCCCAGAGCGCTGACGATCCGTGGTGGGCTTGGTGGACAGCGCAATGTTGAAAGGGCACATAGAGTCTTTTTGTCTCAATTCCAAATTTGAGATCATCTTTAACAGTGCCAGATGGAGGCATTTCCGTCGCAGCACCACCGTGGTGTCCCAGCAGCGCCCGCGTGTGCCCTGGTCACCAGGTGCTTGCGGCAGTGTGTCTGGAGGGGACTGAGCGTGCCTGACAGTAGTGCTCCCTTGTGCATGCGCAGGGCTCAGCTGGGCAGGAGCAACGTGCCGCAGCAGCTTGCGGGTTGTTGTAACGGTGGGGCTTGTGCGCTTCTCCCCTGCAGCGTGCTGGAGACTTTGCACTGCGCGGGGTGCGCGCTCAGCCTCGGCTACATATACCGGTGCACGCCCGACCACCTGGACTACAAGAGGGACCTGTTTTGCCTCAAAGTTGAAGCCACTGAAAGGTAAGTCTGACATATAAGCAGATACCTCATAACGAGTTCTCAGAGTTGTTGGCAGAGAAGTTGGCATGAAAACATCAGAACTGCCCTGGCCGGTTTGGCTCAGCGGCTGGAACATCGGCCTGCGGACCGGAAAGTCTCGGGTTCGGTTCCCACGAGGGGCGCGTACCAAAAAAAGAAAACATCAGAACTGAGTCCAACTTTGGTTAGTGTAGTAAAGCCAGTGATTGGGCAAGTCAGACATTCTGAACTGTACGGGGAAAACACTTTGAGAGCGTTTTTCAGAGTAAAGTATCTTCAGTGGTTCTTAAAAATCAAATTTTTCAATGGGGGGAGAAAAGAAACATCTGTAACAAAAATAAATTAATAAAGTAAATAAATAAAAAAAAATTAAATTTAGTCCTGGCCGGTTGGCTCAGTGTCGGCCTGTGGACCAGAGAGACCCGGGTTTGGTTCCTGCGAAGGGCACGCACCTCTGTTGCAGTTTGTCGTCGGCCCTGGTTGGGGTCATTGGGTGGCAGCCAGTTGATGTGTCTCTCTCACGATGTTTCTTTCTCTTTCTTCCTCCTTCTCTCCCTCCCGCTCTGTCTGGAAATAAAAATGCAAAGAAATGTCCTTGGGTGAGGATTTTAAAAAATCTAATTTAATTTAATAGGATTTTTAAAGCAATTGTGTGGATCAATACATTTTATCCGTTTAGTTTTCCCCTCGGTTTTTGGCTTAGAATGCCTTGAAGAAATAGGAATTTCGAAACTGGTTCATGAAGTAGTCCCTCTGGTGTTCTGGAAAAGCAGAGGTACAAAGCCCAGCCACTTCTGTCTTTGTGAGTCCAGCAAAGAAGTCATCTTCCACTCTTTTGAAAGGTGCAGGGGGTGCCTTGACCCTCTGGGATTTCTAGAAAATGTTAGGAAGCAAGGTGAGTTAGGGTCTGGGACACTTTCAGTTTTCTTAATGGCCTTCCAATTCATTTGCCTTTTTATATATATATATACACACACACACACACATATATTTTTTATTTTATTTTTTTTTGCCTCACCCAAGGACATTTTTGCATTTATCCTCAGCTAGAGCGGGAGGGAGAGAGGGAGGGAGAGAGAGAGAAACATCCTCACATCGACTGGCCGCCACCCACACAACTGCAACCAGGGCCGGGACAGACTGCAGCCGAGGTACATGCCCTCAGCGGGAACCAGACCCGGGTCTCTCTGGACCACAGGCCGACTGACACTCTAACCTCTGAGCCAAACCGGCCAGGGCTCATTCGCCTTTTTTAATCGGAAACACAAATTAAATAAATTAATGGACGCTACTGTATTTTCACTTCATCCTGGAAAAGATGGAACCCTTAAGGCATTCAAGATGCCTAAGAAACCTTACATCCCAGGACAGAGGAACCACTTACGAGGTTAGTGCCTGTATTGGGATGACTCGAGGATTTTTCATTCCTGTGGAATTTCTTAGATTTTTCTCTTTAAAAAATTTAAAACTCTAATTTTATTATAATTTCTCTTCTAATTATTCTTTGATAAGTGCAGTTTCACAACCTTTTTTAAAACTGGAAAGGTTTAGATCAAATTTTTATTTTTTTTTATTTTTTTCTTAATTGATTTTAGAGAGAGGGGAAGGGACAAGGAGAGAGAGACAGAAACATCGATGAGAGAGAACATTGATTGGCCACTCCTGCACGCCCCCCACTGGGGATCAGGCCCAGAACCTGGACGTGTGCCGACCGGAATCGAACCAGTGACTTCTTGGTGCAGGGTCGACGCTCAACCACTGAGCCACACCAGCCGGGCTAGATCAGATTTTTAAAATCTGCAAACTTTTTACAGCTTTTACGCACAAGAATACTGTGAGTGTGGCTCATGGTGTAAAGCACGTGGGTCTCTGCAGAGAGCAGGTCTGCTCCGGCTTCCACAAGCGAATAGGAGCCCAGCTGAAAACAGGCGCTGCTTCACCTTGAGACCTCGACACAGGTCTGCGGAGACCAAGTGAGGAAGAGGCGGCTGTACAGACAGGAGATCTCAGCACAGAGGGAATGGGGAGGGGATCTGCCCAAGGAGCAGGAGTGGAAGGGGGAGGGGATCTGCGGGGGGCGGGGGGCACGAGTGGAAGCTGTTCTGGGCAAACCTGGACCGCTAAGGAGCCTGGTTTGTTCCGAAGTGGACGCCCTCTGTCATGTAAACTTACCGCTTTATAAAATAGTGCTGTTTAATTTCTCCACCTCCTCTTACTTTTTCCTTTTAAACAGGTTAATTGCCTGCTGCAGTGTTGCCCCGTGCTGTTCTTAGGTATCTAATGAGCAGGGTGTTCACGACAGGACTGTTCTAATTAGATGCAGGAGGTGACACACGGAGTTGCTTGTGGGTGACTGACTGCCGCTAAATAAATGCAGCTGAGCCCAGTGTTCTTCCCTGAACACTGGCACCGCCGCCCTCGCTGTCAGCTGCTACTTGGTTCCCCCACTGGCCTGCTGTCCCCGCTGGCCGGCCAGGCTCTGTCCCAGTGGCTCCTGCCCCCGAGCCCAGCAGAATGGAACTTGGAACAAGTCTGTTGAGGTTGCCCAGATTTGGGTCATCAAGAGCTGATTCCACAAATTATGATTTACTGACAGTGAAATTTGAAAGTACACGTGTTCCTGAAATGTAAAGAAACTTTAAAAGCCTGGCCGGTGTGACTCACTGGTTGAGCGTCGACCCCGCACCAAGAGCTCACTGGTTCGATTCCTGGTCAGGGCCCAGGCCCAGGTTGTGGGCCTGATCCCCAGTGGGGGGCGTGCAGGAGGCGGCCAGTCCATGTTCTCTCATCCATGTTTCTCTCTCCCGCTCCCTACCTCTCTCTGAAATCAGTCAAGGGCGTGCAGGAGGCGGCCAGTCCATGTTCTCTCATCCATGTTTCTCTCTCCCGCTCCCTACCTCTCTCTGAAATCAGTCAAGGGCGTGCAGGAGGCGGCCAGTTGATGTTCTCTCATCCATGTTTCTCTCTCCCGCTCCCTTCCTCTCTCTGAAATCAGTCAAGGGCGTGCAGGAGGCGGCCAGTCGATGTTCTCTCATCCATGTTTCTGTCTCTCCCGCTCCCTACCTCTCTCTGAAATCAGTCAAGGGAAAACATTTCAGAAAGGAGCTTCAGAACAGAAGCCTGAGCTGTGAGTGCCGGTGTGCCGCCTGCCGACCCCAGGAACGGGCGGACAGCTGAGCGTGGGGGCCACATGGGGTGTCCCAGCAGAGCCTTTGTGGAGGAAACGTGACTTTTTTTGTTCTTTTATTCCTCACTTGAGGATTTGTTTCTACTTATTATCTGATAGAGCAGGAGGGAGGGAGGGAAAGCGAGAGAGAGAAACATGGATGACAGAGCCTCCCACACGACCCAACCAGGGCCAGGGACAAACAACAACCAAGGTACGCGCCCTTGACCGGAATCGAACCTGCGACTCATTGGTCCGCGGGCCGATGCTCTGTCTGCTGAGCCACACTGGCCAGGGTGGAAAACGTGGTTTTGGGTCGCGTGGCTGCTAACAAACATGGTTGTGTTACGTGTCGACTAGGTGCTGACATGCAGTGTCGTATGCTTGGGATTTTAATATGATTGACGAACACAAATTCAATGTACACTCACCTTTTGTGTTTTAACTTTGTACTGCAGTTATGTTCTAGGGTCCTCTGAGAAGCAGATCGTGTCGGAAGATAAAGAACTTTTCAACCTGGAGAGCAGAGTCGAAATAGAGAATTCTCTGAAGCAGGTAACGCGGCTGTGGCCTCCTCCGCTGAGCCTGTGTGGCCGGGCTCGCACCGCACTGTGTCCTCAGGCGTTCGGAAGGCCGAGTCTTGGGGACAAACTGCCAATTAAACAAACGCTGTATAGAAAGAAGATAATGAGCCGTTTCATGCCGAAATCGAAGTAGTATATGTTCTTGTTCTAAGACTGCTAAGCTGTAGGAATTTCCGTTTGAGTCAGGTCGCTCTTGCCCTTGCCCCGCTCTGGGGTGGGCAGTCTGCGGGTGGGCGTCACATCGTCCCCGGCCAGAGGCAGGCGGAGGGACCGGAAGGGCTCTCGATGGGCTCAGAACTGCTGCTCACAGACTGTGTCCTGTTTACGTAAAACTCAGTTTAAATAGTTTTACTAAATACACATTGCTGTCTACGTGTAAAGCATGACATTCAGCAGTTGTATTACTGATGTAGATTTTAATCACTTAACCATGTACGATTTTAATCATAATCATGCCATTTTTTTTCGTGTTCCTTTTTATCTGCATTAGATGGAAGATGTTTTGAAAGTGTTGCAAACGAAGCTGCAGGACGTGGAGACAAAACTGTCCTCCAGTTCCCACGCTGAGACCTCCTGCGAGTCTCCCGTCTAGACTTCCGTGCCGACGGTGGTCTCTGCAGGTAGCGGTTCTCGGCGTAACTACCTGCTCGGACTGGGGGGAGTCTCACCGGCTGTGTGCACTGTGTTCTTTTCACTGATCAGGTGAAAGTAATCGTGGCTGTACTGGATGGGAAAGAGGTGATTGTTTTCCAGATTGGAATTTCAAACCAATTTAATACTTACTGGAAATAGAATTTAGGAGTTTCTATTCAGATAAGAAGCTGCCATGATTTTCTGAATTGTTTTCTTCTTTGTAACAAATTCATTCTTCATTTTGTACTTTTTAAAAATGTCTCTTTCCCCTTTAATACTTGGAATGGGAATAGTATGTACTGTTGAGGGGAGAGGTGATGGTGGTGGTGGTCCCTGTGCCTGTGCTCTGGGGATGTGCCCGCAGCCCCGGAGGGCCGGCCAGCGCGGGGACCTGACGTGGCGCGGAGCTGTGCCCGGGAAGGGCATGCCCTTGTCCCTGGGCGCTGACTGCCTCCAGCTCTGCGGCACGTCTGCTAGGAAAGAAGAAGTGGTCACTCTGGGGGGGTTTCCACGGTGCTCAGCCCCCAGTTTTCTGGAATGAGACGTGCGGGGGCCGTGCTGTGTCTGTGCTCAGGACGAGAAGTGATTGAAAGGGCTTTGCGAGTGGTTTTCGTGGGGTGAGTTGTGGTATTTCACGGAGCTCAGAAGTCCTAGGGCTGCGAATTCCGCTTCTCTGGACACGGCACTGTGCTCGGCCTGCTCGGGAATATACGGGTGGCAAGGGCCCAGGCCCCTTTCTCTTCTGGGTACAGACGAGACCACCTGACAGTGTTCAGTGCGTATGAGCAATTCGGCTCAGTGTCTGCTCAGAAGTTCCCTAACCGTTTCTGAGACTACTTAAAGTTATCATCACAAGTCCCAAGTCAGAGGGACTTGCTGGCTCACGGTGACGGAATCCCTCTTACCAGTTGTCAGTAGCCTCAGTGATTTGGAGCTGGTGAGCCTGTGGGTCCCTCACAGACGTGCCCGGTGGAGGCAGGGTGTGCGCCTGCGAGGTGAGCCGGGTGCAGGCCCCTGCCTGGAGGAGCCCAGGACAGGGACGGTTCGGGGCACAGCCGGCGGGCCCCTGGGTGGAGGAGCCCAGGACGGGACGGTTCGGGGCACAGCCGGCGGGCCCCTGGGTGGAGGAGCCCAGGACGGGACGGTTCGGGGCACAGCCGGCGGGCCCCTGCGGGGAAGAGCTCAGGACGGGACGGTTCGGGGCACAGCCGGCGGGCCCCTGGGTGGAGGAGCCCAGGACGGGACGGTTCGGGGCACAGCCGGCGGGCCCCTGCGTGGAGGAGCCCAGGACGGGACGGTTCGGGGCACAGCCGGCGGGCCCCTGGGTGGAGGAGCCCAGGACGGGACGGTTCGGGGCACAGTCGGCGGGCCCCTGCGTGGAGGAGCCCAGGACGGGACGGTTCGGGGCACAGCCGGCGGGCCCCTGGGTGGAGGAGCCCAGGACGGGACGGTTCGGGGCACAGCCGGCGGGCCCCTGGGTGGAGGAGCCCAGGACGGGATGGTTCGGGGCACAGCCGGCGGGCCCCTGGGTGGAGGAGCCTAGGACGGGACGGTTCGGGGCACAGCCGGCGGGCCCCCTGCGGGGAGGAGCCCAGGACAGGGACGGTTCGGGGCACAGCCGGCGGGCCCACCCCGCAGCCCCTCCAGGGCTGTTTCGGAGCGGCAGCCTTCGCCTCCCTCCTCTTCCCGCCTGTTCACTGGGGCAGGGTCCAGCCTCCGCTGTCTGGAAAACCCACCGCCAGTGGAGCGCGCCTGCAGTCCATGGTTCTGAGACTGTTGCGGCTCCGGAGAGCACAGCTGGGGGCCTGCGGAGGGCCTCTGAGGGCCTTGTGCTCACCCGTCCCGAGCTGTGCTCCTTTTGGGTCCTCAGCGAGCTGTCCCCCTGCCCAGGGCGAGAGGCGGAGCTCAGGGGCAGACCCTCGTCCCCCACCGAAGTACCCGAACCTGACTCCCGGGGACGGCTGTGTCTCGTGAGGCACTGACGGGTGGCCTTGTCCTCGGGGGAGATCTGAGGCTCAAACTGCCCAGCCCTCGGTGTCAGGCGGGTCTGCTGTGTCCCCTGGGTGCTCGCAGGGACACTGGCAGGGGAGGGCCTGTTCCTCACTTGGGGCCCCTCTCCCGGGCCGTCTCCCTGAGGCTCGGGGCCTGGCTCCTCCGGCTCTGCGAGAGGTCTCAGTGCTGCTGGCCTGCCTGTGTGTCACGTGTCAGCCTGCGACCTGGCGAGTGAGTTCCTGTCTCCCTGGCTGCTGGGCACCGGGAAAGCGCCACCTGTGGGCGGGGATGCGGGTTCCAGAGCTCGGAGTGGCCACTGAGTGCAGAGGACCCCACGGGCAGAGGACCCCACGGGAGCTGAGACGGGAGACTTCCTGCAGTCCCTGGAGAGGACACTGCCCGTCCTCCCGGGAGAGGCTGTGGGGGCTGAGTAGAGCCCATTACACAGTCTTACTGGCTGTTGTGAGTCCCTGTGTGTGGATGTGGACGTGGCTCTCACCCAGGAGTGTGGGTTCCGTTGTCCTCAGTAAGCGCCGTTCGTAAGTTTCCCAGCTCAGGTGCCCGCTGTGGGCGTTGCTCTGTGCACCATCCACCCTGCACGGGCGTGCCCACCTGGGTGGTGCTGGGGCGTCGGAAATGGCCACACCAGGAGCGCCTCCTTGCAGACAGCGAGGCGTGGAGCAGGGACTTGAAAGACAGAGCCGTGGGTGGAGCTTCCTCACCGTGGTTCTCGGGAGCTCAGGGCAGCACAATCCTGGGTCCAAGCCAGTTAGCCGCTTGGGTCGCTGTGTGACCTTGGGCAGGTCACCTCATCACTTGCGCCTCTGTTTCCTCATCTGTGGGTCAGGGTGTAATCAGATTTCCTTGCGTCACGGATAAGCTAAGTGATGCTTATGAGAACAGCCGTCTCCTCTAATCCTGCCCGATTCCCACTGTTCCAGTTAACCTGTAGTCATCTGTGGTCCAAATATATTGAATGGAAAATTCCAGAAATAAACAACTTGTACATTTTAAATCAGCTGCTGTTCTGAGGAGCAGGATGAAATTCCGTGCTGTCCGACTCCATCCTGCCCAGACGTGACGCGTCCCTCTGTCCCCGTCTCCACGCTGTAGACGCTCCCACCTGTTAGCCACTGAGCAGCCGTCCGGAAGATCAGATCAACTGTCACAGAATCGCGGGGCTCGTGTTCAAGTCGCTTTTATTTTACTTGATACTGACCCCAAATTACAAGAGCAGCGATGCTGGCAGTTGGATGCGCCAGAGCGAAGCTGGAATGGGCACAGGCGCACAGGGAGAAACCGTGTGTGATGGGTTTGCTACTGCCCAGGGTTCCGGGGTCCTCGCTAAGGGCAGCCTGCTGGGCTTGGGAAACGGAAGCGCCCCAGAAGTAAAGGCAGAGGTCCTGCCTTGTTTACGGTCGATCTGCTTCGGTCTAGCCAGTCTGCTCACAAAACGATGCAAAAGAAAACGTCTGAAACACCAAATATTTTTCTCTTCAAAGTACAATACATTGAAGAGAAACAGGAAAAAATAAACACATGGGACTACATCCAACTAAAAAGCTGCACAGCAAAAGAAGCATCAAAGTGGAAAGGCAACCCACTATATGGGAGAGCATGTTTGCCAAAGATACATCAGATAAGGGGCTAATTTCCAAAATATATAAAGTATTCATACAACTCAACAAAAGGAAGACAAACCATTCAACTAAGAAATGGGCAGAGGTCCTGAATAGACATCTCTGCAAACAAAACGTATAAATGGCCAAGAGACATATGAAAACATGCTCAACGTCACTAATCATCAGAGATGCAAATTAAAATGACAGTGAGGTATAACCTCACACCTGCCATCAAGAAATCATTAAACAACAAGGGCTGGCCAGGATGTGGGGAGAAGGCACCTCATGCCCTGCTGGTGGGAACGCAGACGGTGCAGCCACTGTGGAAAACAGTGGAGTTTCCTCAAAAAACTAAAGATGGAACTGCCTTTTGACCCAGTGATCCCTCTAGGAATATACCCCAAAAAGCCTGAAACACCAATCAGGGAGAATATATGCACCCCAATGTTCAAAGCATTGTTATTTACCATAGCTAAGATCTGGAAACAACCCAAATGCCCATCAGTAGATGAGTGGACAAAAAAGCTGTGGTACATGTACACAGTGGAGTACTATGCAGCTGTAAGAAAGAAAGACCTTTTCCTTTTGATACATGGAGGGACCTGGAGAGTATTATGCTAAGCAAAATAAGCCAGCCAAAGAAAGACAAGTATCACATGATCTCATTTATTTGTGCAACATAATGAACAAAAACTTGTATAAAAAGTAGAACCAGAGCCATGGGAACATGGAACAGACTGATGAATCTCTGAGGGAAAGGGGGGGGCTGAGATTAACCAAAGAGCTTATATGCATATATACATAAGCAATGGACACAGCCCATAGGGTGGTGAGGGCCTGGGCTGGGCAGGGACCAGGAGGATGGGGCAGTGGGGGGAAAAGGAGGGGACATCTGTAATAGTCTCAACAATAAAGATAACAAATATATATAACACGTTGGATTTATTTCATTTATCAATTACACATATATGAACATGGTAGAACATTTGAAAAACAAGAATACCACACAGAAAATTAAATCCAACCCTGGCCGGTTTGGCTCAGCATTTAGAGCGTCGGTCCTCAGACCAGAGAGTCATGGGTTCAGTTCAGGTCAAGGGCACCTGCTTCGGTTGCAGTTTGAGCCCTGGTGAGGTCGTGCAGGAGGCAACCAATTGATGTGGCTCTCACATTGGGCTCTCTCCTTCTCCTTCTCCCTCTCCCACTCTGTTTGAAGATTGTGGGAAAATATCCTCGGGTGAGGATTAAAAAAAGTGTTACATAAATCTTTTCTGTTCTTCCTGAATAAACTAAATAGCTGGGTAGTTCCATGCCTGTGGACAAGCCGGGGAAGTTTGTTTGCAGTTCTTTTTAACTGAATTGACATAAAAATAAAAAGTAACTACCCCCCAAAGTGCAGTGTGTGGGGTTAGAATTCAATGTTAACCATGCAAATAGAAATTCAAGGGAAAAGTACCAAGTTGAACTCATTTACCCGGGTAATTACCCACCTGAGAGCATTCTACTGTCTTATCTATTC